CCTCAACTCGCCCAGTATGTTGCCCTCTTTTATCTTCACCTAGCTCTACGACGACGCTAATCTGACAGTCTCACTCCCATCCGCCGTGCTCGCTGCAGACCTCACCGCAGACGCGACTGGCTCCCGCGGCATCAAACGCAGCCGTTCAGAAGACCGGTATGGCGAACAGCTCGTCGACCAGGACGTCGAAGATGGTGAGTTTGGAAATCGGTTTTGTAGCCTCGTCGCCTACCCAAACCTTAGCGTAGCACTCAAGGAGAGGGAGAGGAAGAGGAAAAAATATTAACAGTATCGCAGACAGTAGGCGCAAAAGAGGGCGACCCCCAAAAGCCACCCGCCCGCCCAACATCACCGCCAGCCATAACAACATCAACAACAGCAACAACAACATCACGCCCATCCTCGCTACGACGATAACGATGGCGTCCTCGCCCAGGATAGCCCCAGACCTCGCCCTCCAGTCCTCTCCGCCCAAGACCACAAAATCTGTCCTCAAGGCCCTGCCCACCGTCAGAGACCACACGACCGACCAGCTCGGCGAAGACGGCGACGAGTACATCCCCAAGGAGTTCGATGCCAGCGGCGAGAAGAAGGTCGATGGCCTGGGCTACCTGCAGGATACCCGCACCTACAAGTGCCGTACCTTCCGCCTCGCAAACCGCGGCAACAAACTCTTCATGCTGGCCACGGAGTGCGCGCGCGTGCTAGGCTACCGCGACTCATACCTGCTCTTCAACAAGAACAGGTCCCTGTTCAAGATCATCGCCAACCAGGCCGAGAAGGACGACCTGATCGCACAGGACATCCTGCCGTACTCGTACCGCTCGCGACAGATTGCCATCGTCACCGCTCGCTCCATGTTCCGCCAGTTCGGCAGCAAGGTCATAGTCAACGGCAGACGCGTGCGCGACGACTACTGGGAGAGCAAGGCTATCAAACAAGGATTTACAGAAGAAGACATGGCGGGCGAGAAACGTCCAGGCGCTGGCAAGGCACGTGAGGCTGCCGCCGCCGAAGCTGCTGCCTCCATGAATGCCATACCCGCCGCGCTGGGGCACAACGACGTCATCTACACCAACACCTCGACCGACGCACACGGCCTGACCTCGACGCTCTCCCATCCCGCCTCCCTTGCTCCGTTGCCCATGATAAACCCTGCCCCGTCCGATGACCCCCGTCTCCGCGAGTACAGCGGCCTCCCGCGCCCGAGACAGGATCTGGGCGGCCAGCCGTACCAGGACCGCTCCGTCCCCAGTGCTGCCGCCGATATCGTCAACCAGGCCTCGCATACGGCAGAGTTCAGCAAAATCCTTAATCAGCAGCGCAGCTTTCGCGCAAAGGGGCTGGAAGACCACTGGAACCGGCCGCGCGAGGCTCCGATATCAGACACCGCTCTCCCGTCGTCGTCTGGTGGCAGCCAGCTTAACAACACTCACCTGCAATCCCCACAGCTCAACTCTTCCGGCATGATCTCTTCCCTGCAGCCGCAGTCGATGCTACAGCAACCACAGACCCTCATGACGCCGCATACATCATACTCGCCCGCCATCCACCAACAACAGCATCACCAACAACAACAACAGCACCAGCACCAGCACCAGCACCAGCACCAGCACCAGCACCAGCACCAGCACCAGCAACCGTCCCTGTCGCCTCCTCTCCGCACGATGCAGCAAGGCCACCACCGCTCCCCAAACAACCCCATGTCGCTTCCTCTCTCCTCCACGCCCGTCTCTCTCCCCGTCTCCTCTCAGGCATCGTTATATACGTACCCACAGCAGCAGTTCTGGGGAGCGCCACCGCAGCAGCCGCTTTCGCATCAGCAGCCGCAGCAACACCATCCATCTCAGCCGTCGCCCTCACACGTGCAACATCAGCCCCAACATCATCAACCCATCGGAATGCAGCACCCACAGTATGCATCTCCGCTACACAACCAACACCACCCACAGCACCCCTCACAGTCACCAGGCCAACGACAACTGGCCTCTCCGCAGCTCCAGCCACAGCCACAGCCCCATCCACAACAGCCAGGCATGAATTCCATGGGCTACCCGGGTGTTGTCAACGCCGCATATTCCATGGCAGGTCCAGGCGCGGCCGTCGGGGCAAGAATGTACTCTTCCCCCGGCATGGTACAACAGCCTTTCGGTATGGGAGTCGGAGGCGTGAGCTCTGGTGGCGCAGGCATGATGCCGGCCGTTTCAGCGGGTACTGGCGCTAGCCTGCCGTGGTCACCAACAGGGCAGCAGGGACAAGGGCAGGCAGGCCCGCAGGGAGGACACGGTTCATGGCCCGGGACATACTAGAAAGAGTAGGGGAATATCGAACGACGGGGGGGTGCAAATTGGTAAATTCGGTTTTGGCAATTTATTCTTATATCCTAACATCTTCCCTTTCTATACTTCGTATATCCTAACATCTTCCCTTTTCTATACTTCGTATATTCTGTATTACTTCTCTTTTCCCCCTCGGCTTGTTCCCTTACCATGGTTTGCTTCTGAAACCGAACCGACCGAGTTCTGCTTCATTGCCTTGCCACGATCGTTCATTTTGATGCCTGCATATTAAGATACCCCTTCCCTCACTCTACCCTTATTCTCTCCTCCCTTTGATATGCGCACACATTCACTCGTATACTTTTGGATCCCCTGTTCATCTCTTGATACGCCAGCACATGGAGTCTGCAGAGCACAGTACTTAGTCTCTTTGGAATCGATATTCATGTTCAATTTGTTAGTCTCTGGCCTGCTGGTTTCTGCTTCTTTATTTGCTCTTTCTTCTTCTTCTTCTTCTTCTTCGTATGGGTTTGAGCCTGTCTGCTTTTCCTTCAAGTACGGTTAATGCGGTACATTTCATTATTTCCTCTTCTTCTTCCTATATACTATTACTTACTAATAAAAATTGAAACTTTCCTCCTGATCTACATACAGTTGGTTAAAGCAAGAAAAAAAAAGGGGGGGCAGATCACTCCAAGTTTTATATCATGCTTATGCTTTTGGATAAAGCCATCTAGCTATCAATGCGAAGTAGACTTTTGATATCTCGGCAAACGAGGGAGACTGTTTCAGATGGAAAGGAAAAAAAAATATATCACCATAGCCTGTATGTGGAAAGTGATGGGAATTAAGATTAGAAATTAAGTTATATGGGTAAGTAATTATGCAGTATGCAAAGAATCATAATAGCAAGAGGTATCAAAGTTGTGATAGTACCAAGAGAGAAGAACCTTGGAAGACAAGCCAAGAGAGGGGGGAAAGAAAAGCGAAAGGCTCTAATAGCCCAGTTGTGCATCCTGAAAATATGTATGAAATATTTTAACAAAATCCAAAGATCCATCCCTACCTATCCCACATATATCGTTGATGAGTAAAGCAAAAGAAAAAACAAGGCAACCATGATGTAATGAAATGAGAGACTGCATCTGCAGTGGCTGGAGTCCATGCTCTGTTTCGGTATCAAGAGCGCAACGAGGAGAGAAAAAGAGAGACACCACGGGTTATATGGGTGGGAAAATGGCTGTGCGGTAGAAGTCATTCGGGGTCTGGTTGGTAAAGGTGTATGTCCGGGCTCGTTGTGGGGGGAGTTGCTGTGCAGCCATCTTCAATGCTTCATCTTGTTGGGGGAACTCCTGGATGTAGAACTCCGTGCTGGCTCCTTTACCAGTAGAGTTGTAACCCTGGCCCGACTCTGAGATGGGCGAGTTTGGGCTAGTCGATTGTGTGGATTGCTGACCCTGGCCTTGCCAGTCCTCAGTGGCTGCGGAGTCTTCTACTTGCTGCTCGCCCTGCATTTGGTCATCATATGCAACGGGAGAGATGTGTGTTGGTCGAGGCATATGGATAACATTCAGGGATGGATCAGCCTCGGAGGAGGTGAGTGCCTGCTGTTGCTGCTGCTGTTGCCCGCAGTCTGGAATAAGCTCGTTGAATGTGGTGAAGTTAGGAGGAGCGGACATTGGTTCGGTGAAAGACTGATATGACTGAGCATGGGGCATTCCAACCATTACAAATGGTGGTGGCTGCCTTTTTGACTCCTGATTCTCATCAAAGTTCATTGACTGGGAGGTTGGAAAGGAATGAGCATATCCCATCTCTTCCTGGGGGGAGAGACAGTATTGGTTGTCAATTGGTGTGGGAGGGAGGAGATATTGCATCTCATCTGGTGTCAAGGGAGTGGCTGGGGGTATAGAAGAAGTAGTTGACGAAGGCACTGCCAAGTCTGTGTTGGATAAGGCATGTTGCCTTCCTTCTAGTGAATATGGGAAAGGTGATCTGGGGGAGCCCGAGAGCTTCCTCACACTAGCGTATCTAGGGCTGAGCTCAGCAAGCTGCGACGACTTTCGCACACCGCCCCAGGCGGCGCTCGAAACTCGTCGCGTCGGTGACATGGACGGAGGTCCGCCCAGAGCACGACTCAGACCTGATGTTCCAATGGCGGCTGGTCGTGGGCGCTTTCTCCGCGCTGCAAGGCCAATTGCGTTGTCAGATGTTGAAATGTGAAGGCGAGGCAATTGGCGTCCTTCGGAATGGGTCAACTCAGAGTCGGAGTTAGGGCCGCTGCGAGGGGATATATCGCCTTGCTCCATCGGAAGGGAAACATGCCGCTGGTTGACGAGGTTTTGTGAAGAATATAGAGGCATATCCGATTGCATAAACGACTGGGAGAAAGGTGTTGTATCTGGCTGAACTTGGCAAGGGAGCTCCTCCGGTGAGCTGCCGTTACAGAGAAGGTCAGTGAATGGCTGGTTAACGATGCCGCTAGAATCAGGGGACCAGTAGCCATTAGAGTCGAGTTCCATAATGGGAGCTGAGGTTGCAACCGGATGTGCGTCGGCAGAACCAACTCTGACTTCGATCTGGGGGACGGGCGTAGGGCCCCATTGTTGGAAATGGCTGTCGACTCCAGGCTGTGAAAAGGGTGGTTGAGCTGTATTGTGCATATCAACGACATTACCTGACATCTCCTGGTCTTCCTTCATTGGCGGGCTAGGAATCAATTTAATGGGCTCTGGGTTAGGGACTTCAGCTTGAACTTTGGACTGATGTCCAGCAGCATCAAACCTGGGCTCTGGTTTCTCCTCTGCAGGTGTCTGTAGCCCGTGCTCTCCTTGGCTTGAAGTAGCACCACGAGTGTTTGTGAGGATCGAGTTCTTTTGATCCTGCTCTGATTTTTGTTGCTCGTCAGAGCTTTCTGATTGTTGCTGTTGATTCTCACTTCCCTCGGCCGCCATGGCCTTCTCTTTGGCTTGCATTTTCTCAAATTCCTCCTGTCGTTTCTGCTGCTTGGCCTTTGCTCTTCGGTTCTGGAACCAGTTCTATACACCAGTTAGTATGTGGCATTTAATTTATTCGTGTATGAAAGTTATGAATAGGATTTGACCATACCGCAACTCTGGGAAGGGTTAAGCTCGTCTGTAAAGCCAACTGGCGTTTTGTATTGCTATTGGGCTTTGGATGAGCCTGGAATTGTGATTCCAGAATCTCAACCTGTTCCTTGGTCAAACGTGGCCGTGACAGATTCTCGACATACTCCTCGTACTCCTCAATGGCACCGGTGGTGTAGAAGCCATGGATATCATTCTGATGGTAAGGAACATAGCATTGGTCCATTGGCTGGTCATAAGGATGATGTGAGATAGGCATGCCATAGCCCATAGGCTGGTCCATTGGCACTGAGTACTGATACGGGGCCTGGAGGTAGTTCATAATTGCCGATATCGACGGTAGGTAAATGGCCGAGGTGATAATAGCACGCTGTGTTAAGGGAGGGCGTGCCACCAAACCACTCCTTCAGTTATATATGAAGAAACACCGAAATATGAAAAAAGGAAAACAAGACAGGAGTGTCGACTGCAGTAGATGTTTATGGTTGTTGCTGTTGAATGAGAGTAATGAGTAGCTGTTCTGTAGCTATAGTAAATAGTAGTAGTAAGGAGCAGTAAGTATGTGGGAGTTTAAAGGAATGGCGAGTTCAGGATAGAACCAGAGAGATAAAAACAAAAATGAGGATTTTTTAAAAAAAGGATTGACGGTGATCTTAATACTAAAAGAAAGATCGGATAATGAACGACGGGCTCCCACGCAGACGGCTGGTGGTCAAAAAAACAACAGGTCGACGAAGAAGATGGGGCGACGAGGGGAGAAGAAGTAAGCCAGACCTCGCCGTCGGCGCAAGGGGGCGCCCGCGGACAGCAGGGGCGGCTCCATCACACAAGCCGCGTACCAAAGCCTGGTGTACTGTAATAAACGGTGCCTGGGCGGACGTGTAACATCAGGTACGGCTAAAAAGGATGCCCCTTTTTCCGCCGAATGGCTGAGCAACCCAAGCAGTCCACCAATCCACCAGTCTGCACCCCGCTGGGGGAGTCCACTCTAATCACAGTTCTTGCGCTGGGGCTTCTGCATCATCAGAAGCAAGCCTCCTGCTGCCAAGTGGACTTACAGCCAGGGATTATTGACATTAACCCCAGACAACCGGCAAGGGCAAAGTCCAAGTGAACTCCGTAAGTACCGCCGTAAGTAAAAAGTTCCAACGGGTTGTTAGGCGAAAGGTAAAAAAAAAAAACAGCCAGCCTAAAGTGGCAAGCAGATATCCCTGTTGGTCATCTTTTAGGTTGCCCTCTTTTTGCGACGAAGATGCAAACTAACGGTGTTGGAAGCGTTTAAAAAAGAGAGTCAGAGCAAACCCTGCCGATTGATGATGGTAGCTCTTCGTATGTTATGGAGCTGTGACAAATACTTCACCCTGTAGGTGGACGAACAGCCATTTTGGCTTCCCTGTTAGGCATTGGCAACAACTTAACTATTTGGTGTGATACGTAGCCATCCTAGGTTGTTGCTTTCTTCTCCTCTCTTTTTCTCTCTCTCCACGCTAATATCGGGGGGAACCGATCGCCAAGGGTGACGAGAGAAAGGCGAGTTTAAAAAAGAAAAAAGAAAAAGGAAAGAGAAAAAGAGATGAGAGAGAAGAAGAAAAAGAAAAAAGAAAAACAAACCTGAAGCCCAGTTGAAAGGCGAGCGATGCCAGAGCGCAGATTCTCTTCAAGCGAAAAAAAAAAAAAAAATGAGATCGAGACAACATCGTGCATTATGCATACTCTGTACAGAGGGACCATACCCGGAGTACTCCGCAGTCTTTTTTTTTTTTTTTTGGGCATGCCATCTCGAATCTAAGCACAAAAAAGTGTGCAGCATTTTTATAGAAAGGCAGTATGGCTGCAGGCTTGGTCACACTTCAAATTCCGGGCTGTTCCTGCATCGTAGGTAAGCTCGTACTCCAACCACTTGGAGCGAGAGAAAAGGTTGTGTGAGCGTAGCGTATACCGAGACTCCGTAACCTCCCTGAACCTGGATCTGGCTGGGCCGTCTTCCTTTACGGGGAGTCTCACAACGGGTCCAGTTGACCTTTTTTCCCTCCCACTCTTGCACTTTTTCTCTCTTTAGTTGACTCCGCAAAAACCAAAGAGGTCGAAGAAGGAAAAAAAGGTGACTGATCTGAACCCGCTCTATTGTTCTGAGAGGGCACATGCTTGGAAGCCTGGCCACCCACTCTCTTGTCTCTCCATGTACCTAGCAATAGCAATTGGCGCAAGTTCCCTGGCTTTCGAGCTGTCTTGTCTTGTCTTGTCTGGGGGCAAAGCAACTCCCCAATGGGCCAGTCCCTGCCATTGGGCTACGGGAGGCCCCTTTCGACCCGTAGGCTCCATCTTCAAGCCAGGGGCGGATTCCTCCCGTGCGTTATTGGGCAAGGAGATTTGCGCTTGTGGGACGATCGTTGGCAGGGTTGGTACCCATGAACTTGGGATTTCAAAAAGTCTTGTTGCTTTCCTGTGCTAGGAACTGTGCCGTGTAAGCTATGTACCCGCTGAATGTTGGATATCGGACGAGTGGTGTACCGTCCTGGCTCCCTCTCTCCCTCTCTCCCTTTTGCTTGTTTCTTCGTCGTCTTTTTCTTCCTGTCGTTGAAGTTGTTTTTTCTTTTCCTAAAAAGGGCGTATCATGTGATGCATGACTAAGCTTGTGTTATATAAGCTGTACTGTCACACCTGGTACTGATACACTATAAAATACCAAAGTCCCTGTTTTTTATTTTCCTTACCGGGTAATAAATAAATTAAGAATAATATTTTTATTTTTTTTGGGACTGATCAGAAGTTATTTTGGACTTTCGGTGATTCTAAGACAGCAAAGCAGGAAGATGATATCTCGCATTTCTCGTCGTCACTTGGAGAGAAGTACTACATCTTAGGCGAAGAAAAGTGTTCTCGACTTGTACCTATATTCAATTTGGGGCAAGTCGTCCCCCATACGAAGACCCAAATTTGCCCCAAAAGTTACACTTTGCGCAACGATTGCAAAGGTCAACTCAACAGTCTATCTCCAGCTATAGAACAAAAACACTACGAAAACCAAAAGAAAAAGGAAAGAAAATGATAGGGATGAAAAAGAAAAGATAAAAGAAGTCATCTTCGAAATCCTGCAGTTAGGGAAACATCCCGCTCAGGGGCTTCTTTTCTTCTTCTCATTCTCTACACTTCTCTCCGTGGAACTGGAAAACATGGTGGGAAACATGCGCCGGCCGTCGATCTCCATATCTACAGTATGGAGTACAACTTGCACATATACATACACAGATGTATACACACCACCCATATCATACCGAGTCAACGATGATCAGAGAAGGCGAGAGAAGGAGGCCAGTAGCGAATAGGCTGCCTTTCTTCAAGCCTCTTTCGCAAGTGAGGAGATGCCCAGGCGTGCTAGATCGTCGACACTGTGTATACATTAATATCTATACATACATACCATTACCTGCCTCTCTAAATCCCTTTGAGAATGTCAATGGGTACACACCCACACATACACATACACTACCACTGGATCTTCTCTGGCCAAAAATTCTCCGGGTGATGATCCGATCAACATACAGTACACAACCAAACTCCCTCCCACACTGTTCCTCCCACACTTTTATACGCCAAGCCATGTGAGTGATCAGCTTCACGGCACAAAACTTAGATTGCATACTATAGATTTATGCTCCGCTGGGGGAATAGCTCGGGAAGACACTAGAAAACCACATCGATGGGACGTGACGAGATGGATATCTCTAGATCCTGCCCCTTGGGAGTCTCATGCAGGTGTCACTTTGTTGCTCTTGTGGCTGTCGATCTCCTGTTTTCGCCATCTTTGCTCGACAAATGTATGACTATACAGAGAGCTAACTGCTTAATGTGTGTGGAGCATTTCCGCAGTTGAAAGACTGACGAAGGGATCATAGCACACATTCGCATCAGAATGTACTCCGTATGCAAAAAAAAAAAAATGGTGGCTGGCTTAAAGTCACACGACGATGTGTCTGCGATGCAGGTGCAGGCTGGTTTCCTTTTCTCCCCTACCCTTGCCTCTATGGAGAGTCTCCTCCCCATACCTATCTAGTATGTGGAATATATGCAACATGCACCTATATGAGACACAATGCGAAAGTCGGACGTCTCAGCTCTGTACCATTTGCCACAGCTATTACTATGTAAGGCGTACGCGGAAATTCCATCACATCGGTCTTGCGTGACGAGGGAACGGACGCTACTCTACGGCTTTGCTTTTTTGTTTCTAGCATGATACAAGCCGGCTCCGCATCACAGGCGACTTCTCAGGCCCTAAAGACAAATGCAGGAGGGAATGGAGGGCGAGAACCTCAGATGAGGGTGACGTATTTGGTATAGGCTTGCACATTTGAGTTACGAATCCAGGCACTCGATTCTATCTATCTCTAGTTCACATTCAGGCGTGCATGACACTCCCCCCAAGAAAACGCATATCCCTAGTGCAAGCGACTAGTCTATCAAAACGGCGTGAATAATAAAGGCTATCTAGCAAGCAACGAACGCTGGTGGCCGACGCACGACAGATGTTCAAATCAGCCAAGCTAAAAAAAAAAAGGCGTATGGATGCTTGTACCAGGTCATCGATCATAACCCTATCTCCAACACCCCCTGTCGAGGCGGTTAAGCGCTATTGAAGTGTATCCCAGACTTCGAGCTCGACCTTGCCATCAGTGTACTTCTTGAATGAGGCACTGTCAAGATCTTTGATGATCCAATCTGCTCCAGCCTCCTTCAGCTCCTCTACCCCATGTGTTGTGGCGAGCGCGAGAACTTTAAACCCAGCGGCTTTCCCAGCGCGGACACCCGAGGGAGCGTCTTCAATCACGAGCATCGAATCACTATGCTCCAAGCCAAGCCGCGAACGACCTAGTAGATAGCAGGAAGGATCTGGTTTGCCAACCTGCACATCCTCTGCAACAACGAGGTACTTTGGGTGCGCGAGCTGCAGGACGCCGAGCCAGCCGGTAATCAACGCATTGCTGCCAGACGTCACAACAGCCCATGGTGCTCCGGCCTCTTCTAGAGCGGTTAGAAGCCGTCTTGCACCGGGTATCTCAGTAGCATCAGTTCCAAGGTCCTTTGGGATTCGCCCTTCAATCATGCTAACATCTGTGAATTACGCCATAGTCAGAGACTAACTTTCCGTGTCATACCGCAATTCCTTTCCTTCCCTTCCCTCCCGTGGGGGAGGAAATAGGGCAGGTAATATCTGACGGATACTTACATTCCCAAGTTGCCTTTTCAGGAGCAATGATCTTGAGTGTGTCAATGCTTCTTCTGCCGTGGGACGTTTGCAAGATCACTTTCGGATCAACTCCGATCTCTTCTCCTATTCTTCCAGGCCATAGCTTTAGATGGAAGACCAAGAAAAGAGAGAACAGCGCTTTGCGCATTCAGGGAAGGCGTTGTCCCTCAAATAGCGGGATGTGCCAGACTCACATATGCCAATGTTTCACAACCGCTAAACCACAAAATTAGCTTAGACAAGAGAAGACTGCATGATGCAAAGGCGGCTTACCGGCCGTGGAATCTACAATTGTTCCATCGAAGTCGAAGAGCAATCCGTCGAAGCTAAGTGATATGCGAGTGCCGGTTGAACCCATCTTGACTCTCTGAAGACCTGAAGCAAGGTAAAGGTATATCGTCTGGTTCGATCAACCTCTATTAGCAATAAGTAGGCGAACGCAGTCAGTAAGAAGAAATAAAAAAGAATGATTCCTTTCCTTCTCCCTTTCTTGTCTTCTCCTCCGTCTCTTTCTCCCCACCAGAAGACTTATAAAAAAAATCCCACCTTGATGACTTCTCGCTTTCTATTGGCCATGCATGATTACTCAGCGAGATAACGTCTGCTTAGTCATATTTTTTTTATCTTATCTTTTGCCAAGCTTTTCTAATCATAAAATCTTGGCGCGCTTGGACCCACATTAAATTATTTTTTTGTGTTGAAAAGTGAAGAAGAAAGAAAACTCGAGACCAGTTCTGGGTGTAAAGAGGATACAGACAAGATGGTGAAGCTTGGTAAGTGTGCACTCTGCTGAAGATTGTACCTTTGTCTCTTTTTCTGACTGTGTGTTTAGGGAAATCGTCAAAGCGGACGCCAGTTCGGCTCCGGAATAAGATCGAAAAAGCTAGCGCTGCAAAGCAGAGAAAAGAGCGAAAGCTCGCCAAAAAAGTTCGCGATTCCTGTTAAATTGGTTCATTGGCTTATGTTCAAGCTTGAGGAGTGTGATACTAACGGCTTTAACCTGGACTAGAACCCTCAATGGCGGTCAAAACTGAAGAAAGACCCCGGCATTCCAAATTTATTCCCCTATAAAGATAGGCTTCTGCAAGAGATTGAAGAGAAGAGAAGGCTAAAGGCAGAAGAGGCGACAAGGCTGCGCGAGGACGCAAAGCTACGACGCCAGGCGCAAAATACAGAAGAGACTGCTGATGTTGACATAACGGAAAATGCTGACCTTATTGACGATGATGATGACCTGGTGGACGATGATGACATGGATGTCGAGGGAGAGGAATCAAACCCTATGGCTGCGCTTTTAGCTTCTGCAAAGGCTCGCGCTGCTGAATATGCGGAACAACATGATGACGACGCAATGGTGGATGACGATGAAGATGGTGGGGTTACCTTTGAAGATTCAGCAGTGCCAACTACGAAAGAGAGCTCCCGTCGAGCATTCGATAAAGCCTTCAAGGAAGTCATTGATAGAGCCGACGTCGTACTGTACGTTCTTGATGCCCGAGACCCTGAAGGAACCCGGTCCAAAGAAGTGGAACGGGAGATTATGGCTGCCGACCATGGATCAAAGCGACTTATTCTCATCTTGAACAAGATTGACCTTGTACCTCCGCCGGTTCTGAAGGGATGGCTGGTGCATCTACGGCGCTATTTCCCTACTCTTCCTCTACGGGCGTCCACCGGAGCCCCCAATGCACATACCTTTGACCACAAACAGTTAACGGTCAAGGGGACCTCTGAAACACTCTTTAAGGCCTTAAAGGCATATGCACACGACAAACAGCTCAAACGAGCCGTGTCTGTTGGTGTCATCGGATACCCGAACGTGGGCAAATCTTCAGTTATCAACTCGTTGACAAGCCGTGTCACCAGAGGCAATGCCAACGTATGCCCCGTCGGTGCAGAGGCCGGAGTCACTACAAGCCTTCGCGAAGTAAAATTGGACAGCAAGCTTAAAGTCATCGATTCCCCAGGAATTGTTTTCCCCAATTCCGAAAAGTCCAAGTCATCAGAGTCTCGAAAGATAAACGAACAGGCTCGCCTCATCCTTCTTAATGCCATACCGCCAAAACAGATCTCCGACCCTGTTCCCGCAGTCACGCTTTTATTGAAGAGGCTATCTTCATCTGAAGCTCTGCTTTCAAAGATGCTTGACTTCTACGGCATTCCTCCTCTTTTCCCTACCAACGGTGATAAGACGACCGATTTCCTTATCCAGGTTGCTCGTCGAAGAGGCAGGTTGGGAAGAGGCGGTGCACCCAATATCAACAGCGCAGCTACGACTGTTATAACTGACTGGAGAGACGGACGTATCCAGGGATGGCTTGAAGCCCCTGCCTTGCCCGTGTCTACTGGCGTGGAAGACAAGTTAACCGCTGAGGGAGAAGCCGGTGGACCGGCTGCAGATACGAAGCAAATAGTGACGGAATGGGCGAAGGAGTTCAAACTTGAGGGTCTATGGGGAGATGATGCTGCTCAGGAGGATAACGACGAGCAGATGAAAGAATAAAATGCATTTTTTGTTGCTGTTATCTGTTTATGTCTGGGTATATTAGGCGCATAGAGTGTTTTTTTTTGGTCCTTCCACCTGCTTTTATATGTAGATATGACACATTCCTATGCGCGGCGAACAAAGGCCGTGATCAATCTTTTGAGAAAGACATCAGTTTATACTGTCTTGTAGTTACTAAATCAATATTCCATGTAGCGTCTTGCTGGTTTCCGGAGTTCTCGCATTATTTTTTTTTTAACTCTATAACAACTACATCCCCACCCACAATTGTACTATGTATAGCAAGGAGAGCAACTTCGCCAGCATCCCATAATATCCCTTTCTCACGCCCGTTACAAGTCCAAGTCCAAGGTATGTCTGCTATCTCTCGCGCTCGTGTAAAATAGTGCGCTGTTTGCTAATTTGTGTACAGCATTAAAAATAACATCTAACTTGAAATACCCACAACGCAGATCGATATATAAATCTACGAACTCCCCAGCAACAACCCTACCTCGAGAGATTTCTTCCTGGTCTTGCATCCGCAGTCGCTCGAATTCTCTCTGGGCTGCTTTATTACTTATTACACAATGTCTACAAACGAAGCGGGAGGAGCAGAACCGAACGGCAAAGAGTTCATTAATACCCAAGCCGGTGAGACGGACGGTGGTGATAATGCGCAGGGTTCTGAAGGTGCCGAAACGGGATTGAGCGTTGATGTAAGGCCTTCTAGTTGTTTTTATATGCCCTTCTTTTTCCTCTGGCCTATCTTATCAATGGTCCAACCCCCGTTACGAGTACATATCAATGCAAGGAGATGATGAGACACTGACAAGAAGAGATATTTGTCTAGGATATTCTACTCCCACGAAGTGTTATTATGCGGCTAGCAAAGGACATGCTGCCACCCGGGACCGGTGTTCAGCGAGACGCGGTCACGGCCATATTAAAAGCTGCAACAGTATTTGTTTCGTACATATCTTCACAGTAAGTCGCTGTACGTCTTTTTATCATCTTTGCCTTACAAACCCCCGGCTAATGCGTATATAAATAAACTTACAGTGCAAACGACATGACAGACAAGAAGACGTTAACACCGCAGGACGTGCTTGCGGCACTGACAGAAGTAGAACTCGGTGACTTTCGACCACACTTAGAGAAACAGTTAAAGGCCTACACGGCCATTATGGATAGCAAACGCGAATCCAAGAAGAAAGGGAAGTCAGGCAAGGACGGCAGCGGCGGACAGGATGACCCGCCAGGGAGTAAACGGCTCAAGCGGGACAACAAGGAGCAGGAGACGGCGGCGGGATCTGGAAATGGTACCTCTTCTACTCGCGGTGCAACACGGGATACAGGTAGTAGGAAGAACCAACGGGAGACTCTACATGGTGCCGACGGGGGCAGACCCGACGACGAGGACGACGACGACACGGAGGCAATGGAGGACACCAACTTGAGCAACGAGGAAGAAGACGAGGAAGAGGAACCGGGCGAAGAAGAGACAGAGTCGCATGGAGAGCAGGAAGATGATATGGATAGGATAGAGGACAGCGACACGCAGAGAAGAGCAGCAGCAGCCGACTCTGGCGACAGTGACAGCGATTGAATATCATTTTCATCCCCTACATAATTATCTAGATATATATCTCTATGTCTATATGTGACAGGCCCTGACTATCCCCGGTCACTTGGTCGATTTGTTGTTTGTTTTGATGTTCGCACTAAAAGAGGGAAAAAAAAAGCCCCTTCTTGTCCTCCGTCTTTGCCATCAACATCGTCATCGACTTCTTCTTTCTCATCCACACAACAAGCAACAAACCGACTTTTTCTCACGGCCTCATCGTCTTACCAATGGCGTCGATTCCGCTATAAAAACGAGTTAGGACGCGTTAAGACACGACCCTTCTCCCTGGTTTCTCCGGTTTCTTCTTCGTCCTGTTTGATACACGCTCTTGGTGGTTTCGTTTCGCGCGGCTGCTACGAGATGGACTTTGAGCTCTCCGACACGTCTTCGGAGCTGAGCTCTCTCCCGTCGACGCCTCCTTCAGAAGACAGTCTCTATCCTTCGCCGCTGGTGTCCCATGCCGTTGCCGCGTCCAGTGCTGCAGACGTGGTGGAATCCGCGCCTGTACGCAAGAAGCGAAAGATAGAGCCAAAGCCCAGGGTCACCAGGCATCTCGACCTGACGCACCCCGACAAGCATGTCTGCCCGGAGCAGGAAGCACAGCTACAGACACTACTGAGAACGCTCCGTGAGCACCGCAAGATAGTGGTCGTGGCGGGCGCTGGAATCTCAGTATCTGCGGGAAGTAAGTTTTTGTACCCTTTTTCTTTGGGTGTCCTCAAGTTATCAAATTCGCTGACCTGGTAAAAAAAAACTACAGTACCCGATTTTAGGTCATCTAATGGCCTGTTTAATACTCTTAAAAAGGATCACAAGCTCAGGGCTTCAGGGAAACAGTTGTTCGACGCCTCAGTCGTCTATCAGGATGAATCGATGATCTCGTCCTTCCACGACATGGTTAGGACCCTCTCCAAGCTATCTGCGTCCGCAAAGCCAACTGCATTCCACCACCTCCTTGCTCGTCTGGCAAAGGAAGGGCGTTTGTTACGCTTGTATACCCAAAATGTCGATGGAATCGAGGCCTCCCTGCCGCCATTGAAAACGGAAGCACCGCTGGAGGTGAAAGGACCCTGGCCCACCACCATCCAACTCCACGGCGGTTTAGACAAGATGGTCTGCCAGAAGTGCAGCAATTCTTCAAGATTTGAGCCGGAGCTATTCAAAGGACCCGATCCACCGCTTTGTGGAAATTGTGAAAAGAACGAGGAAGCAAGAACTGTTGGCGGCCAGAGAAGCCGCGGTATCGGAAAATTACGGCCTCGAATGGTACTCTATAATGAGTACAACCCAGACGAAGAGGCGATAGGTTCCGTGGTTAGTGCTGATCTACGCGCCAGGCCTGATGCACTTGTGGTCGTTGGTACCAGCCTAAAGATTCCTGGCGTACGACGCATCGTCAAGGAAATGTGCCGTGTTGTAAGAGGCAGAAGAAAGGGAACAACGATCTGGATCAACCACGACCCTCTCCCTTCTGGCAAGGAGTTTGAAGATTGCTGGGATCTAGCTATCAGGGGCGACTGCGACAAGGTTGCCCTCCACGCCGGCCTGAAGAAATGGGACGACAAGAGCGACGAGTCCTTCGATGAGTGTACCGCGGAGGAGGTTGAACGCGCCAAGTCAGAGAACGCCGGGTTATCCGTCGTCATTACACCTCAAAAGTCCGTCAAGTTTTCCGAGTTTCCAAACGGTATACCTACACCATCTTCCAGCTCGGAAGACTCGGTCAACCCCAGCAAGAGATCCCAGAGCCCAACGCCTTGCGCTCCTCCCAAACAGAAAGGGGCCAGGACCAAGATTGTCAAGAAGCCCAGCCAGCCACGGAAATCCAGAGCAAAGAAAGCAAAGGCTGAAGATGTCTCCACAAATACTATTCCAATTAATAAGGCATTCCAGAGCAGAAAGCTTACGGTCAAGGAGTCCAAGGTTGTAAAAGACCAGCCTTGCAAGCTAGAAGACGTCCTAAACCCGATACATCCTGAGTCTGCCCGAAGCAACGGCCCGGCACCCCCGGAACCGAAGGAGAATGAGCTTAAGGGCCATGTTTAATTTTAGAGCCGTTTGCTCTTTAAAACCTCCGAATTTTCCCCCTAGATGACCTTTCCCTTGGTTCCTGTTTAATGCTCACCTGAATATTTTTCAACTAATTGTCGGGTTCCTGTCGTCAATATCGGCTTTTTTTGAGTAAATCCTGCAGCAGAGAAGATACCCTGGTGAATGCTGCTGACGGACAGGCATGTACTACTATTATCCGGCGCCCTTTTTTTTCCCCCCCATCATCCATTCTACCCGGTATGTTCTTTTGCTGGGACTTGATTTATACTTGCTCATTTATCTCATATTTTATGAAGCCTCATGGAGTCGGCGCTGTGGCAGACGTGATTGTAATAGAGCCAAAGAGAGCTGTTATACATATCATACATCGTTCGTTTGAAATGGGAAACAAAACTGATTTAACAATCTTAACCACCGTATATCAGACTTCTCGTATGAATGTAAAAGTAAACAACAACGACTCTGCACTTAGTTGAATAATCAATTGCTGGTATTTTTGTTGTTGTTTTAGTTGCGGCCGAATATTTAGTTAGCCAACCGCAAAACATTAACTACAGCAATTATACAAGGAATAACCATCTGCTCTGCAACAACAGCTAGAAACACAATGTTTATACCATAGTCATATTAATCGAGACATCGTCAATCAGGAGAAAATGGTTGAAATGGAAGAGACCCTGGACGACCTCTTTGGTGACCCGGGCGGACTGGAGTTGAGCCTGACCGCAGCCGTTCCAGCAAAAGCTTTACCAGCACGAATCGACGAACTGCGAATTCTAGGATGTTGTCAGTATGTATAAATAATACTGTAAACTCGAAGGATTTTTGTCTGTCGCGCTGTTCATTTGCTGATACGTTTTAAACAAGAAAAATTGCCTGGTCCAAGATGGGCGCAATCGCGTACATCGCGCCAGACGGATCAAAAGCATTTCTACGAAACCTCAGCTGTAGTCCTGAGGATGGGAAATGGAGTCTGAGTGATGGAGATCCTGAACACCCCATCGCTGAGGCACAGGGCGGGCACACTCTGGTCCATCTCTCGTGGAACGAGCCCGGGATAGACCTTGCCATCGTTGACTCCTGTGGGCGTATATCGGTTATTGGAATGTCGATAGGCCTGAATGTTCTAATCCAATCACGTCCGGCGGCTTTGGATCCAGACGATGATGGGAATCAGCCTGTTGGGCTCATGTGGCTTTCCATGAACCGCTCGGTACGTGACTACACCTCTCTCATTGCATGTCTTGTTTCAACCTTGCTGACCAGGATATCCCGAAAGGTACATACCTTTAGCCACGCTGGCAGAGCAAATGGTCGATGGGCCTATGTTAGATACCCACGCAGACCAATGGGACCAATTCATCCCTTGCACAAGCTGGCTTTGCTCGTTGTTACGAGATCTGGCAAACTAAGGCTGCTTTATCAAAACCAGGAATCTAAATGGGGAGATATGGTCGTTGAATTGCATAACACAGGCTATACTGATGATGTTTTAACACATGCCTCCATGACCCCAGTGGACGGTAAGATATATACCCGCATCATGCAACATATTCGATGAGCCGCTTACTGACACCATTTTTCAGGTGGCGGAATCATGATTGTAACTCACTCTACGAGCAACGAGTTACGGCTCTACCGTGCTCAGCTTAAGTGGGAAGGCGCACCGGTAGATCCGAATCATCAACGGCCCAATAATTCTATTGCGATACCCAGTATCCAGCTGGTCCATATCGAGGTTGAAGTTCCCCATGTAGTTCCGTCTCCATCAACATATGTGACTGGGGATCCGGAAAATATCACTAACAATGCAAATGGATTATTTGCACTTACGCACTTGCAAATAATAGCATGTCCAGTTGACGCCCCAGGAGGACAGACAGCTCCTATGATATTAGCTGTGTTCTCCTGCCCCATTCACAATGCGCACGGGCGGTCTCATCTACAGCATCCCACTGTACTTGCACGCTGGGAATTTCGCACAGTCAACCAGAACCTTCACAGGAGCTTTGATAGCATCGTGTCGAAGCAAGCATGTCAGCCATTATTGGTAAGACTATCGCGTATACCCAGAAAGTTTCTCTATAGCTGACGATGCTCTCTTTAGCCCAGCACCGAGTTAAAAAGGCAGGAGGACATATATTTTGAGAGACATGTAATCTCTATTGACTACATGGAGGCCGGGAATATCCTTACCATCACCACGGAGGACGGCAACATTGCATTCTATGACGCGAAAAGTTTCACACCTCTATCTGGGCCTAACGACGTTGAGACTGTTACAAGTCTACCACAATCTGGCTTTACATTCCCGGCAGCAATTTCTCCAGGTATGGTCCATCCCCTTGCTCCAACTTCCATTTTGACCAGTGTATGCTGACCAGTTGTGCAAGGAGTTCATATTTCATTTTCACCGAGTGGCTGTATCGCAGCCTCACTCGACGAGAAATCCCAGGTCCAGATTCGTATCATGGAACATTCATTCGGTACAGAAGAGGATGGCCTATTTAATGATGGTAAGAACAACTCCTCCTGGTTGAAATATACATGAGCTAACTACATTTTAAGGAAAATTTATGAGCGCGCTTGCTGCCCTCACCATGGCCTACTGCAGAGCATGCAGCAGTGATAGTAATAATGATGATATTCTAATGATTGTTATACAGCAGCTGAACCCAGGCAAGCCAATTCTTCTTACAATCTAACATTGTGACAAGCTAAGCTAATATCATATACTGCAGATTCTCATAAGAAATTTATAAACGAAGTATATCGAGCTCTTTCGATGAATGTTGATTTCACTGTCGACCAAGATAAGCTCATGAATAATCCATATATCCTAAAATGCTTTAGCATGCAGGCTGCACTTGGATTCAAAAACCAGCTTGAACGCCGTAGCCTTCCGGCGGCCATTCCCTGGCTCACCCTCCAACTTCGACAGATATCCATCCTACTGACATATTACTTCCATCTTAACAAAGCTAATACTGAGGTTGAGTGCCATGATCCTGGTAAGTTTAATGATGAAATCCTTAACGTAGAAATATATACTAATTCCCGATTATAGAAGTTCTATCGATAACCCTGGGAAATGTGAAATGGGCTCTTGACCTTGCTAAATATCTTGTTGACGATCTTTTCGAGATTTCTGACAACTTTAACAGCCAGACGGGTAGCCAGGAGTCAGGATCTTCGTCAGGTAAGGAGGCTACTATCCTATGTGTTCTCCCATGATATGCTATATAGGATAAGCTAACACAGATCTCCTTCAAAGGCAAACCATACGAATCACTGTCCCTGATCCTCATTATCTCAAGCATTCCACGGTCGTTCCTTAAATATATATGCCGTGGTCTCCGTGGCTTGACTAACGGATTCAGGAATGCAACGAATCTCAGCAATGAATCATACCAGATGTATTCCCAAATAGTCACCGTGATTGCGGAATCCGCGCTGAAAGTTGATGTATATGAGAAACTACTCGCATATGTTGACAACGATATTAAACACGCATATCAAAACGCTGGCTTCACCAACGCTGACCGTGCGGCCCCTGAACGCGATCTACTTATAAACGGCAGTATACCCCCAGTCTTACAGCCAGCAGTGACTTCAATTCTAACCAAAACCATGCCTATGATCCGAAATGAAGCCAACCCTATGTACCTGTTTCTGCAGGATTACAGCTGGTTGGGTGTTGGAGATGACAAGCGGTCTGATATATTCAGGCAAAAGTACGAGCTGGACATACTTCGAAAGGTTTTGATACCGTTAGATGAGTCAAGGGGTGCTGCACGGCCGAGTAGAAGATGCGTTCGATGCTGTGGGGTGTCAGAGGATGTTCCGCCAAAGTCTGTTGCGGCAGTGAGGATGTTGATGAGAACTGTAGTTCTTCGGGCGTGTACCTGCGGCGGAATGTGGTCTATGAGCAATGCGAATAGCCTGAGAGGCACTACGTTACCAGGATGGAGACAAGCAGGGTAAATAATGTAACAATTTAGCAGGCCTTACCAATATTATTTATTACCCTCTATAAGATTTTATTTACGCTGCGGATTATTTTTAAGACCAACTGGATCTTCTTCTTTCACCACGTAGTTGTTAGCTAGGATATGTCTTAATAAATTAAAATCAAAGACACAAGATAGGATTCGATAGAGGAGTCCCCTTTTGTCATTGTCTAATAGTAGAGGAAACTACCGAAACGCAGTGGTATCTATAACGGACAAAACTCTCGTCGAGTCATATCCAGGCAACCGGTTGGCCCACGCATAAAAAGCGCGCACCTCCCCAGCATATTAAAAAAACGAGTTATACGTCGGGGAATCGTAGGAGGAGCTGAATTTGAAAATATTATTTTCCATTTTTTTCATAATTGCTGCGTCATTGCATCTTCTATTGATACATCCACAGCTATTCGTAAAGACGCAGCAAGCTCAACCAAGGGGGAAATGCGCCGCTTTTTGAAACTTTGAACCAGAAGAGAAAAAGAGACATTTATGCCTATTCGTGGTTAGTATCTCGTGTGCTAGATGTCTCGTATTGGTCGACGTGTGTCGATTGCGGTATGAACGCACCTTAACGGCATATTTCCTCTGGGGGAAGTGCATCAGTTTCTTCTTCTGCTTCTCGGTCTTGAGAGCAGCTTGGTGAGGGGTGAGTCGTCGTCGGATGGCGCGGGTCTTCTTTGCTCGGAGGTCAAGTGGGAGGTATTTCTTGTTCTTGTAGAAAAGGCGGAGTTGCGAGCGCTGGTTCGCGTTGATGACTGTGAGGACCTTTGCAATGGACTTGCGGAGATCGTGGCTATTAAATTCAAAGTCGTCCATGTTAGCCTATCGTCCTTGAATCTGAATCGCAGTTCCGAGCAGTTTCTGAATAAGAGACCATCTCTTCATCCAGCCCGCAGGTTATTTCTCCCCCTCTTCCACCCTGGCTCAAAATTTGTTCCTCGAAATGAAAATATCTGAAAACACTGGGCGTAGGATCATACATTCTGGTGAGTTTCGAGGAAGAACCTCCAGCGATCTTCTGAACACGGAGCTGGCCCAACTCAGTCTTCAATTCATCGAGCTGCTTCATGAGGTCGTCTTTACTCTTGCCCCAGAGCTGGCCGGTCTTGACTTTGGCGGACGACTAAAAAACATGTCAGCACTGGCGCTTCAAGATCTCCTTCAATTTTTCTATTCTTCCTGTCTTCAAACATACCATGGTGACTGGTTGCGGTGCTGTCGATGTTGATGCTGACCTTGACGAAGCTGAATGTCGAAGTTTCTCGTGGAATGTCAAAGTGTGGGACTTTAGGGCTTTTTTCGCAAGCTTACGCGAATAGTCACGTGATATAATAATTGCCAAGACTTTTGAGGTCGAAAGTCGAAGACGAAAGATGAAGATGATGAAGATAGCAAAACAAACGAGAACGGACGGGGATATCTGATATGTGACTGTTGGGTGTCTGTGGCTGACTTGATACATCTTATCGTCTTGGAGAAATCATGACGACTTCAACTGGGACCGGGTGGGCGCAGCTCCGACAACAGGCCCGGTCTCTTGAGACCCGAGTATGTATATAACGATGAGAGCAAGAGACACAGCTCCTGAGATAACGAACGGCTGCTAATGAAGATGTGCTCCAGACAGAGTCTCTATTCCACTCGTATGCCCAATATGCTTCCATGAGCCAGCTTCCCGCAAAACCGTCGGAGGATGAGAACAGGCTGGAAGCTCAGATCCAGGATATCCTGAGCAGGGTACGTCACATATTCTATCTGCTCCTTTTACGCCAGATGGCCAACTGATAATGTATTATCACCCTAGCGAGAAACACTCATATCCCAGCTTTCCCGCCTTCTTGACTCTGAGTCCGCCTTGACCGCCTCTGCATTAAAACAGAACAACCTTTCCCGTCACCGGGAGGTCCTGCTCGAACATCGTCAAGAGCTCAAACGCCTAAAAGCCACTATATCAGAGACCCGAGACCGCGTGAACCTGCTTTCTAATGTCCGGTCAGATATAGATGCGTACCGCGCCTCAAACCCTTCTGGAGCGGAGGCAGACTACATGCTCGAGGAGAGAGGTCGGTTAGACAGCAGCCATAACATGATGGACAGTGTCCTGAGCCAGGCGTATGCTGTGAATGAAAGCTTTGGCTTACAGCGAGAGACACTGGCCAGCATCAATCGCCGCATCGTTGGTGCAGCGAGCCAGATACCTGGCGTTAATAACTTAATTAACAAGATCGGTGCCAAGAGAAGACGGGATGGTATTATTTTGGGGACATTTATCGGAATTTGCTGCTTAATGGTGTTTTTCTTCAGGTAAATGATGACTCTTATACCTTGGCCTCTGTATAATTTGATATGACGGGCGGCGTTCGTGGGCGAGAGTTTAGCTGGCGTTGAGATTTGATCTGATATGGTTTGATATGATCTGCTCTTTGTTTCTTTATCATCTAAGTTTCCGCTACCACAACATGGTAGCTCATATGCCTATATACAATATTATCGTACAATATACTAACGCTTGTTTCAAGCCGTCTGAGCGGTCTTTTCTATTTCTGACACTGAGACAATCTTTGGCATTGCCTGGCTTACTCTCTTTTCGCTCACCAGCTTTTGCAAGCCTTTGTTCAGGGAATCCAGCTCCTCGGGCCCGGCAACACTGCTTCCAGCCCATCTGATCTTACAGTTCTCATCCAGAAGATAAACATAACCAACTTTCCCGTTAAGCATACCAATCTGATCTTTCAGGTAGTTCGTAAAGCCCTTCCTGACCAAAAAGTATCTTCCGTGTTGCTCCTTTGGCATCTTTCGTCGCATACTCCCCATGAATATCCGTACTAGAAGAGCCTTGAGCCAGTTATCTTCATTATTGATATCGACTTTCTGGACCAAAGGACCAGCATCTGCAAGTATCTGCTGTAGTTCTGGGTTCTCCTTTTCGCCGACGAATGTTACCGTTTGGCTCTCTGCCCAAAGACTAGCAAAGACCCGAACAAGAGATATTTTCCCGCGAAGAACCGGTGTAGTATGCCGCATTGGATTTGACCGTAAAAGTGTTCGGCCGAATAAGTTTGGGAAATATAGAGAAAAGTCCTCTTTGAATAATCGGGGGTTGCAGATAAATACTTTTCCGCTGTGATAATTCATTCGATGCCATTCTCGATAGTATGGTTTGCTGTATTCCTTTATCCTGTACACTGTTAGCAGATGAGCTTGGGTAAAATTGGTACTGCTACCCTTACAATTCCGACTGCCGTTGTTGGTATTTCTCCTTGTCCACAAGGTCCCCTCCACGCTGTCGTAATGTTCTTTTATCGACACCAGTATTCTGGCCTTCCTCGGGAGCATATGGTAGCCCCAATGGACGTTTCAATGGCTTCGGTGTAAACTCTTTAACTTCGGACTTGCTTAGTGCCACGGGGTTCTGTTCAATGGCTGGCGGAATATTCAATTTTCGCGGTTGTTGCTGTGTTTGCTGTTGCCGCCATTGGGTTGACAAACTGAAATAGCGGTAGGATGAGTGTCTATAGGATATGCAGTAGCCCCGACGTAGGAGGCCAGCCTCAAAGAGCGAGGAGACTGCCCGTGGCCTGCTCATTGTGAAAAGTGATCCGGGATCTAAATGTGGTGGTTAGAAAGGATAAGCTATTTTAAAATTCAGAGGAAATTGAGTGAGTACAATGCCTGGATAATAAAATGCGGCTTCAAGTCCCCCCACAACTTCAGTGACCTTTTTTCTTTTGCTTGTCTGCTTGCTGGCAATGAGCTTTGTAGTTCATCATTGGAGATGTTCAAATAGCTACTCAGAAACAATCAATCTATTATCACGTGACCAATTAGTCTATCAAGAAACGCTGGGTCTTGCTTGCTGCCTGGGAGGAACCACGGTTCATCTCTAGTAGCAGATGAGAAATACATTATATTAAGCACCGGTTTATACCCAACGTTCAGTCAAGAAACAATGATACTCTCACTACATATCTATACCCATGGACAAGGAAACCTTCTGTCGAGAGCTTTATGCATCAAGTGAAGATGATCAGGATGATGATGATGACATCCTATCTACTTTGCAAGACTGCCGCCGAAGGACGGGTGGCAACAGCATCTCAGCTCAAGATGAGCCCTCAATGAAAGCAGTGCATCAAAAATCACCTAAGAATGAGGCTAAGGGGACACAGGGGGCCGATCATCTAGTAACGGGTAAGCCAAATAAGAAACCAAAGTTGGCTAAGCGTGATAAGGGGAAGAGGACCAAGGAATCTTCCCGTATTGTTAAGAATCACCCTCCAGTTCTCAAAGGCCTCGTGTTCTGTAAGCTATTGAATGAATTTGCGACTTCATCCCTCTGTACTGTAAGCTAGGAGTGACCGCTAATCACTTCCTAGATTTCATTCCCAATGATGATATATCACAGGTTAGACGAATTCGCATTTCTAGGGTGCTTGAATTTGGTGCAACCCGAGCGATGAAGTTTGATGATTCCGTCACACACATTGTCGTAGAGAAGCGGCTTAACTACGAGGATGTGATCAAGTATCTCCAGGTCCCTTCTGTTCCAGTAAGCTCCAGACATGGAAATTTGGCCGTTTGAAGAACCTAACATATTTTCTTAGACGGATGTTATTCTGGTCAACGAGAACTATCCTTCAGAATGTATAATGAATCGCAGGATATTGGATGCGTCGAGTCCTCGTTTTCAAATTAAAGGTACCCCGAGCCTGACGCTGCAAAATTCACCCATTAAGGACCAGCGGCATGATTTCACTCCACTAGACATCCATCATGATAATAAAAAGCTTGATGGCGGGCTTATTGAAGAAGAGCGTCTAGAACCTCTAGAACCACTTCATATTACTCCGGCGAACAATGCCTGTGATACAGGCTGTAATAATGACATGCAAGACCCTGGCCCAGACCACCTGGATATGGCAATTAGGCATGTAAAAGAAATTACCGCCCTCGTGAGTCCATCTATATCTGCTAAGCAGTTGTGATCCTGTCGGCTAAACATTAACTAGCCTCTGGATTCCTCTGATGAAGAAGACGGTGGAGTAGTTCCTGAAGAATTAGGATCTAGCGCCACAAATGCTTGTCCAGCATGGCAGAAATCATTTAGTTGTATGGGTAAGATGGATGAGAAAGATCACGCGGATAATCCAAATTCTCGAACTATCGAGGTTCTGCAACAGATGCTAAACTACTACGAACGAACTGCCGACCAGTGGCGTTGTCTTGCATATAGGCGGGCAATTTCTGCTTTACGCAGGGAGAAGGATAAGGTAGTCACGAAAAGCCAGGCCTTGAAAATACGGGGAATAGGAGAACGCCTGGCAGTCAAAATCGAGGAAATTGTATGGACCAACCGACTTCGGCGACTGGAGCAGGCGAACATGGAGCCAAACGACGCCTTGCTTTCCCAGTTTCTTAAAATATATGGGGTTGGATATCAACAAGCTTCTAAGTGGATTGCACAGGGGTACAAATCCTTGGATGAGTTGAAGGGCGGAGCTCACCTAACTACTAACCAAAAAATTGGGATTGAGCGGTACGATGACTTTCAAAAACGAATACCTCGAGAGGAAGTAGAGGCACACGGTGCTATCGTACGAGAGACGGTTTTGGCCGTTGACAGTTCGTACACTGTAATTATCGGGGGCTCCTACAGACGGGGAGCTGCCGATAGTGGAGACATTGACTTGATCTTAACAAAAGAAGGCGTTTCCCTGCAGGAGATAAACAGTCAGATTACGACCACTGTTGTTCCACAACTATTTAAACGTGGATTTTTAAAGGCAAGTCTTGCAGTGTCCTCGCGCATGGATGGGTCAAAATGGCATGGTGCGTCGGCGCTCCCTGGAAACCCTGTATGGCGACGGATAGACCTCCTGTTTGTTCCCGGAGACGAACTCGGTGCTGCACTGATATACTTTACGGGCAATGACATATTTAACCGAAGTCTACGGTTGCTGGCAGGTAAGAAGGGTATGTGCCTTAACCAGAGGGGCCTGTTCTGCGACGTTATTCGAGGACCTGGAAGGGTGAAGCTGAATGCTGGTCACCTTCTCGAAAGCCGAGACGAGAAGCGGATCTTTGAGCTGCTTGCTGTGCCATGGCGGCCACCAGAGCATCGAGTTTGTTAAATCTTCATCTTCTCTCTTTCTCTTCATATATAAATTTATTTAGATCTAAATAAGAAAAAAAAAACGTTTTGATGCTTTCACGGGAAAATGTTTCTCCGTTACAAAAGAGGTTAGAAAAGGCGGCGGAGGATGTCAGAAAACACACCGCCTCCGGAGAGCTTGATTTTGCCATCTTCAAAGATATCAAAAAAAAGAAGAGAAGAAACGAAGCAGGAGAACATAAACATACCACATATAACATATAACGCTCGGTTAGGAGCTGCAGTCCTGGCTGTGGGCTGCCATGGCATAGCCTTGCACGTTATCTAGCTTGTTCTCTATTCTAGACAGAATTATCCTTCTTGACTGAACCTATTTTCCCACCCTGGTAGTTAGTTCTCCCCGTCTATTGATATCTAAGTGGGAGAGAGACTATGGGCTCCTCCCAACAACGCGTCTGGACTTTTCTTTTTACCTGAATGATGCTATAGCCAGCTCTTACCGGGACTTGGTTCTACATTTAATGACTGGCCGTTTTCTACCACCATGGGCCGCAAGCCAAACAAGCTTATCACCGAGTTCTTTCGCCGTGGTGAAAAGCTACCGGACTCCAGCAACAGATATGAGCACACATGCAGGCTCTGCGGGGAGAAGTTCTTGAAAGGCCGCCCGGATACTCTAATTAACCATATCACGAAGATATGCCCGGCAATTTCCACTGCGGACAGAGATCGGGTGGTCTACATATCTGGTACGGCCACGAACCGATATCGAGAGAAAGACATTGTACGACAAGGCCTGCCAGTTTCAGATTCTAATGGCGCGAAAATGGCAGATTCGCCTCGTGGGAAACGCGCTGCCGACTTCCAGAATGGCCCTAGCTTAAATGGCCTCAATGTGCTTGCCGAGGCTTCAAGGAGAGTCGGAGCTTCGAATGAAGGGCACCTACAGGATCGCATATTCGAGCTTAATACTTCAGATCGTGATGTGGTCGTTGATCCTGCTCTCGATAATTCAACGAAATTCAACCTTGGTGAGGCGGTCGATGATCTTTTGACTTGTAGCCTATGTACTAACGTACTCTATTTAGAAGCTGAGTTGCACGCCCAGTTTGTTCACACGTCCTCGCCTACTGCTCCTTTCTTCTCAACCTCGTCTGTAGACGCTAGTTCGCCTCTTCCAATGCCTGCTGTACATGCTTTGTTGCCGGTCGACTCACATCCAGACCAGCAGTCGTCACAGCTTTCTCTGATTGCAGCCTCTGCAAACGAGATCGTCACCGAAGATACTGCTGGCTCCCTGGAATCAGCGGCCATATGCCAAAAGTCTGATGCATGGCATCTTCCGTCCCACACGACGCAGCATCAATCTACGTTGGGCATCGCTCCGCCCATTGAACTTCCAACTGCGGACGAGATGATGATCCAGAATCATATTTCTTCTGAATTGAATCTTCCCTCTAACTCTCATGAACGGCCCGGGATTTACCTTCGGCCCCTTGCAACGAACCCTGAAATTCAACAGCCTAATGGTGATTTTTTTTGTGAGGTGGTGGACAACAAAAAGTCTAATAAGAAGCGGTCAACCTTCTCAGAAGAGAGGAGGAAGGAAGTCCGAGTGGTCCGGAAGATGGGAGCCTGTCTTCGATGCCGGATGCTTAAGAAAACTGTTAGTAAGGCTGTACCCCCAGGGATTGATAGGTACATTAACATTCCTTAATATATTAGTGCTCAGCTGGGACGCCTTGTGGTCAGTGCCGGAATCTTCAGAACCCGCGTGTCTGGATGGAATGCTGCATCAGAGCCCGCCTTATGAATCAGCTGGAATCCTATTCAATTGGTACGTTGGTTGCCTGTACGTGTGGAGTGACCTAACGTTAACTCAATAATAGGATTACATTCGACAATGGCTTACCACGATATTCAAAGTATCAAGGGTGAGATACAGTTTGAACCTTCAGCTGGCCGTATTGAGGTTATGCACTTTGAACTTGACTCGCTAAGCTTCCTTACATTTTCTGCCCTATACGGTCAAAGGCAAGCCGGTCAGACAATTGATTCTCAGATATCTACCTCTTCCACTGATTCTATACTTGATGGGTCACTGCATTACGTGCATATCTTGGATGGTGAGATGGAAGAGCTGAGTGCTAAGCTTGACATGTATATCAAGAAAACATCCAATTTGTTTATTGAAAGTGAACAATCTGATTTTATCAGACAAACGCTTCTTCTGGCGTTAGAACTCGCTAAACAGTATGAGGTAAGCTCATGTTCCCCCATTTATCCATTAATTTCGCGTTCAGTTAACTAACTCATGGGCTAGGACGAAATGCTAGATGCTGCATTGGAGTTATGGGTAGCTACTGCTATACTGGTAGATCCATTCCTCAAATGGACCGTCTATATCAATCCGACTTTGCCTCCACTGGCAAACCGGCCACTCACGTCTACTTCAAACGAGTCGAGGATCCCGATAAACAGCATGAATCAGTTAGAATCCTACTCATTAATATGCACACAATTACGGTCTGCTGTTGAGAAGAGAGCAGCAAGAGTGTGCAGGATACTGCTTAGTAAATTTGAGCAACGGCTGCTTCAGAAACAGCGTATCGGCAGTTTTCGAACCTTCCTGGCCACTATCATCTTACTCAACTGCGGTGAAAGAATGGAATGGCTATTCCGGTCGTGGGAATGCGAGCATTACATTCAACGAGTGAGTCCCGTCCGGTATCTGTCAGTATTAATAACTTTTGTATTAACGAAAGAATAGTGGCCCTTGGAACGACAGCCTTCTTACTTTGCTTCCCAGATCGAAACGTTCGCTGGCGTGGTCTCCCAGCACCTAAAGATGAGATCATTAGCCCCTGCGTTTGTTATTATGCCTACGGGTGCTGTCAAAGCTAGAGATGCAAGCGATAACGATGTTTGTCGATGGTTCAACGCTGTTAGTATTGATTGTACGACTCACTTCCGATCGTAATTGGCCAAGTATACCACTGATAAATTATGAACATTTAGATCAATACTTGCATGCCCGCCAAACAGCGGAGTTCGATGCAAATGATTCCCGTTCGCTTGACCTTAAATACTCGTCCATGGTAGTTCTTTCTGCCAGATGTTCGAGAGATTGAACGGCAACACATCTATCTAACGCTCGCGTTACGACTAATGATGCACGCTTCTTGATACACTTGAAGCCTCATGATGTTTATGTACTAACGATCGTTACCCTCTCCCTTTTTCTATTCTCTTCCCCCCTTGCCTGATATCTACTTGCTATTTGTTTTAATTTTCGTCGTTCGTGATTCGCCTGTCTTTTCCTGGCGTATGGAGTTGACCCTTTACGGCCGAATGTATTCATATACCCATCTCGGGCTCTCTAAATGTTCGTGTACAATATATTCTAACCGGGTGCTAGAAGGGGAAATGAAGAAAAGAAAATGCAATTGCAGAGGTATAGCGAAGGAAAATAGTTTTTTAAAAAAATCCCAAGTCAGATTTTCTTTCCAAACTAAATAGAAACCAGAAACCAAGGGATATATAGCTATAAAATAAAATAAAATAAAAATGAAATGTCAAGAAAGAATGAATGCAACAACTCTTTGGTATTTTAAACAAATGAAAATCGTTCAGCTAAGCCGAAAGGCATAATGGTGGGATATCCAGAAAAAGAAATGATTTAAGAATTGGCTTCTAATGGCGATACGCCATCTAATATTCTTCGGGCAGCTTCCAATCTGCGTCGTAAAATGGTCACGATCCGGTTATCAATATTAGACTGAAAGTCGGCGGTTGAAGCTCGGAGGAGCTCGAGGCTCACGTTTCCTAGGCTTTGGATGACGGCTTCCACAAGTTCAGCATCAGCACCGCTTAGGGTATCGCTGTGAGGAGAGTACGTTCGAGAGTCACTGCTAGCTTTTTCATTTGCTGCTGAGGATAGAATAGACCTGACAAGCAGGGTTGGAGTTGGTGGAGTAGCAGCAGCTCTCTTAAGTTCCAGAATTGACGCTAATAATGCAGCTTTTTCATCGTTTGTTGCATTCTCTTGCTCTATATAGGCACGGGGGGTGGATGAGGTGGATTTCGTACGGGGAGGGCTGGGGGTATTGCAGTTATATTGTTGATGAGCGGGGATTGTTAGAGAATCTTTAGTGAGGTGACGGGTTAGCACACCGGTATCGCCATATTCATCGTCTCCTTCAGTAGCGGTTGCAAAGGATGCATCTGTTAAAATCGAGTCGTTGCTAGTTACTCTTGAAAGAGACGGTTTGTTTTTTGGCTTTTTCCGTCCATCGACCAGGCTGGATGGGCGTGTAGTTTCAACTGATCCAACAGAACAAAAGCTGCCCGAACGATTCAAACGGCCTGTGTACGTTCCCAACGCGCTGTGGAGAATGAAATGCTCATAGTCAAAAGCGTCGATTCGGTCCTCATGGCGAATTGTCTCTGGGATGGCTGGGACAGCAGGAAACTCTTCCAAAAGCTCTTGGTCTAGAGTGTCGGTTGGACTACTCAATGGTTCTCGCAGTATCTCTTCAAGGGCTTCTCTATCGATTTCAGAATGTTCGGATTCCTCATCTGAATACCCAAAGTATTCGGATTCGCTGTCATCTGTCTTCGCAGCAGCATCCTCAACAGACTCTTCAACCAACTCTTCGGCTGATTCTTCCACTGGCTCTTCAACTGACCCTTCAATTAATTCTCCAACAGGTCCTTTGATGGGCTCTTCTTCAGGCTCTTCGACGGGCTCTTCTACGGACTCCTGGACAGTTTCTTCCATGACAATCTTTTCCTCAGCAGGCCGAGATGGAGATGGTTTACTCGTAGTATCTTTACTCGTAGTATCTGGTGTATCTTCATTGTGTGTAGGTGAGGGCTGTGGCTTGTCATAGTTGGGAATAGACAGTGTCTCTGGGTATGAAGATCGCCTTTGGTACTCGAGTGGATTGGCGTAGCTTTGGTCTGCTACGGTAAACGGGCTAGGCGTGCGCAGGCTTTGCTGGCTACGTCTTCGTATGGATTCCTCCTGGGTTCTTTCTTTGAGAGTGGAAAGCTTCGACCTTAATCCATCCACCTGGCCCTGCAGACCGCGCATTTGAATCTGTGAGTTTGTGGGCGATGGTGGGGTGGTAGACTGACTGCTGGAGGTAGGTTGGTTGATCAAGGGTTGAGATTTTGATGACGAAGGCGAGCTCTTAGCATCACCGCTGAGAAGAGGAGAGGCCTGCGATTGTTCGTTGGAAATAGATGGGGACCTTGAAGGTGTAAGTGACCTTGATATGTCAGTGGTGATTTCACGGCTTGGAGAGTTGGCTTCGACGGATGGTTCCTTATCGTATGGCTCGTCTGGCTGGGAGAAGAAGCCAGTCCTGTACTCAGAGGCGCTTGTGGACCCGAGGGCACTGTATGACCTGAATTGCCCATTCGTGCCTGACAGACGGTTTTGTGATTGTGATGAGGGCGAGTATAGATCACTCTGCCCTCGAAGATGAGAGAAATTACCGGCAATGCCTTGGTTAGCTCTTTGGCGCAGTAATGCTCCTGCAAGAGATGTTTGAGACCGCCTCTCCCCCTTTGCGAGGGGCTTATAGTACGAGCTGCCGGGACTGCCAAACGCACGATTCAACGACGGCGCGGGCGACGGAGTCATGCGAAACGAGGTTCTTGCGCGGTTTAGATTGCCTTCCATATGCTAGATGGAGCCAGTTAGAAAAGAGATTTCCAGTCCTACACAGCAATTGAATGAACAGTGATATAGCAGAAACATACCGTCAGCTTCAGCTTTGCATTCTCCAGCATAGAAGTAAGCTCCTCAATATCGTCAACTTCTCCCCCCTTTTCAGAGTGCCCGTCCTTGTCCTTGTCCTCATCGTCTTCATCCTCTTCTGCTATTGCGCCCATGGGGAGAATGCGGTGTTCCGGTTCGAAGATGACGGCCCCCAGGTCGTCTGCGCCTGCCTGCGCATCCGGCTGCTCTTCGTCTATATGCACCTTATCCTGATCGAAGAAACCTTCCGATAGGTCCTGCAGCTCCTTAAGCTTCGAATGCCGTTTGGACACTCCATCGTTCGCAGCGAGTCCATAGCCGGGATCTACAAGACTGTCCACACTGCTGTTGTTGATGATGTTGTTGTTGTTGTTCCTACTTGGTCGTCTAGAATGGGACCTTAACGTATTCTCTATCTCTGAAATATGGGATCTCGTATAGCCGTTTCCTGCACTAGAATATATTACTCGCGGGGATCCTTCCACCGAGCTATCTGCGTAGTGGTGCATCGGTTCGTCTGGCCCAGAGGAGCTTCGATCGTAGGACGTCGTCGTCGAGGCAGACGTGTTGCGCTGATGCATGAGCGAATAGCTGTTGGCAAGCAGCCTGGAGTGTTCCGCCGCTCTCTGGAGGGCCTCGAAGGGGGGTGAGGGCGTAGAAGCCTCTCGTTCTCCGCCGTAGGGGAGTATCATGTCCGGGTTCGTCAGTGTGGGCGAGGGAGCGATTGCAGAACGGTTGAGGCCCAGCTTGTCGTTATGGCCGGCCGGGGCCATACTGGAGAGCATCGGATTCGGCATGACTCGCTCGATGTCGTCACTGGCGCATTCTCATGTGCTCTGATGCGAAGCGTATCTAGATGTTTCAATCTAGTAGAGTTGGGGCGATTTATTTGGTAACTTTTGCGCCGCCGTCAGGAACGAAACGCTGGTTCGACCGATCAAAACCAGACGGATAGAAGGCCGGGGCGAGGCTTTAATAGCAGGATGGCCGACGGAGAAGAAAGAAGATGGCCTTGCTCGTATAATTCGCTTTATTCTCCGTTGGGCAAGGGGGGGTTGGTGATATTTAATATCTGGACAGGGAGCAAGCCTGGTTTTGTTTGCCACTTAGACTTGAGTCTTTCAAGTTATTAAGCTCGTTCAGGGGAAAAAGAGAAGAAAGAGAAGAAGAAAAGAGAGAAATCTCGTATATCAACTGTTTGAACGGGACGGGGTGGCCGGGATAGCAAGTTGGACCAGCGGCAGAAGATCCGGTTCTTCTCTTCTTTTTGTCCCTAAAGAATATCTACGAAGACACAGGGGAAAAAAAGGGAAGAAGAAGAAGAGGAAAAAACAAGCATGAGGTAGGGCTTAGTTCCCTTCTGGACAGCTGGACTATCGATTGTATCTCCATGTGCGTAGCGTTTCTTCTCTTTATATACAGAAAGACGGGCTGGATGGTAGAAGTTGAAGAAGTTGACCAAATCCATGACGTTTCTACATAGATATTTTGCCTTATGTTTTACTATTATTTTTTATCTTTCTACTATTAAATGTTTATATCCTTGATATGCTTCTGTCATTTCTTGCCATCCCCTTCCATCCTTGCCCCTTTTTTGCTTTTTTGTGGAGGCGGACACGATGTATGGATATTTGCCCCTGGGTCAGCCCTGGCCCAACAGGGGGGAGAGGTTATATGAAAAAAATAGTAATAGTTGTTTTTTTAATCATTGAAAAGAGTACATAGTATGTATGACAGACCAGGGACATATATATTGGACATGTTTTGTAACGGGAGTACGGCGTCTGGATGATTTTTTTTTTTTCACGCAATCATTTCCAGGAGCAGCTTTGCAGCGCTGCTTGCCGGGTCGCGCTTCTCTTCTCCCTCTCCCTTGGACTTCTTCGACAGCTCCGTCAGCTGGTTCTTGCTCGTCTTCAGGGTCGATATGAGCTCGTCTCTCTTGTCGAAGCTCTCGGACTCCAGCAGGGCAACAACAACGAACGGATTCCACTCGGTAGCCCATGACTTGATGTTATCCTTTATGTGGCTGTAGAGGAGGGAGTCGAAGTTGAGCGGAGGCTGCACCGGCTCTACCTTCTTTGTAGCATTGTTGAATCGTCCGCCCTGGATGAGAGCCTTCAGCATTCGACCAGCGTTTGGAGACTTGAGGACGTCGCCCTCGGAGTCTGCCAGTGCTGCAACGGACTCGAGGGCAGCGGCCTTGTCTCCGGTGCTGTCGAAAAGTACCTCTGTAATGAACCGAGCTCCAAAGCTGGTTTCTGCCAAGGCTGCGGCGTTGGAGACAATGCATTCCAGTAGAGCTGGGGACGCCGCAGCGATGAGCTCGCGTCGTCGGACGTCAGGGTCCTTCTTGGAGGTCTGTGATCTAATCTCAAAGACTTCATCCAGGATCTGGCGGTCTGTATCGGTGATGAGCCATCCGTTCTTCTTACCAGCAAATGGATACAGTAACGGAATGCGAGCCAGTTGGTCGTTGGCCCGCGGAACAAGGTCGTCCTGGCTAAGCAGCTCGGCCAGTAGTAGCTTCTGGGTCAGCTTCGTGTCGTCCACGACTTCATACGCGACCAGGAGCACGGCGTGGCCGTGGACGTCTCCAGACATCAGCTTCACGGTGTCACGGTACATTCGGAGCAGCAGCTTTCGGTCTTTGGCATTCGAGTATGCCAATGCTAGGCACATGAGTCTTGCGCCGGACTTGGTGAAGGCTAGATTCTTCGCCAGGTCTCCGTCCTCATCTCCCTTGAGCAACTCGATAAACTCATTCGCCTCAGTGCTCCCGGGCTTCGTGCTCAGGAAGTACTGCAACATCGCATCATGGAGCATTGTGAAACCCGTAGTCTTCTTCTGAATAAGTTGGTTGATCATCCCGTGGAGATGCTGCATGATAGGCGCACGCTTCTCCGGGCTCTTTTCCAGTATCTCAGGTAGTGCTAGAATCTCATCACTCGTCTCATTTTTCATAAGGGTAAATTCCATGCCGTACCATTCTCGCAACAGCCTGTACTTCTGCATGGGAGTGGCCACGGTCCGGTAGATATCGTCCAAGATCCATGAGGCTTCGGGATGCCGAATGAGCCTCTTCACATGGCCATAGAACTCTGGAATGATCAGATCCCGTATTTCCGCATCGCCATGCACCAACAACTTTCCAAGCAGGAACTTTGCGTACTTGCTCTCTGCCAGGCTCCGGTAGTCGCCTTTCAATTCTACCGCAATGTTCTTTCGCTGTTCCAGATTCGCATACTTCAGAGCCGTCTGTATAACTCGGACAGAATCATGTTTGAAAACAAAGTCCTTCACACGGCCTGTTATGATGGCGTATAATTCAGTAACCAGCTTCTTTCGCTCCTCCCGGGGGACATGAGATTTCCGTCGTAGTCTCTCCCAGATCTTCTTTGTGCGCGCAATGGCATCGGCATTGGGTCTCGCGGCTTTGCGCTCTAGTGCAAGTGCTTTTTGCTTTGCGTGAGATTCTCTAGATGTGCTTATTTCTGCGCGAGCCAATCGTCAGTACCGTTTACAAACGTATCGTAGAGAGTGTGTGGTTTTATACTATTTTCTGAATTGCCGTTCGCGTTATTCTCTTTCTTTGAGTGGTCGAGATCCGACTCATTGCTCAATTCCTCGTCCTCGTCCTCACTGTCTTCTTCCTCTTCTTCATCTACTTCATCCTCCTCCCCATCGTCATCTATCATATCTTCATCGCTGTCCAGCTCGGTAATTCTCGAATCTTTAGATGTATGGCCTGTTTTCAACTTTCCCTTGGCTTCCACCGACTTTGGCGAGGACTTCGACTTGGTCCTTTTGCTATTGGAGGCTTCCGTAGCATCAGCTCTGCGTTTTATTCCCGCCATCTTGTGTGTATATCGGATTTGTTCGCTAGAAACTGAGCTTCTACGTTTTTATCAAAAATGTTTTTTTTTTTCTTGAAGGTTTTCTATGTTTGCGCTGTTTGCACTGATCTGATAAATGACTAAGCCAGTTGACTGTCATGTGATATTTACATTCAAAAGCTCAATAGGGGGAAAAAAGGAGAAACCAAAACGCCTGAAAACCAGCATTGTACAGTTGGTAGTTGGGGGGAAGAAAGAACAGCAGGCTGAAAGGATATACTTGCACCGAGAAATCCTGGAGAATGGATCGTTGAACCGGCTCTTGGTGTGGATGGTTAGGAAAGTCACCCAGGCATATCACTCCATACAGGGTCTGCCACGGACTGGAATGAAGGTGTGAAGTAGAACTAGTATGGTTAATCGTTCAAGCCTTGTATTATTTAGCTTGGTCCATGCTCGTTAGCTCTGCGCCTTGACCGCTCTGACCTCGCCGTCTTCCCGGGAAATGAAAGGTATGATGGGAGGACAGCGACTTGCCCTGGACCTGTGAACCGGCGGACGAGTCACCAAGGCGGGAAAAGAGCCCTCGTTTCTTTAGCTTGGAACCATCGGCCAGAGGCACGTCTTCGAACGGATCTTCTACCTCGTCTATATCGTTGACCGTGGGGGGCTCCGGGACGCTGCCATTCACCGTTGAGCGGGGACAGTTTCGGGAGAGGCGGGAGTCGAGAGAGGTGCGTGATGCGGCTGTATCTGAGTGTTGGCTCACGGGAGATCGAGCGGATATGTCCTGTAGTCGATGGTATCGGTTAGCCATCTGCGTTCCGGCGAGGAGTGTGCTTTCCACCCTGGCCTTACGAAGGAACGACGATAGGAGTCGAAGGATTCTCGGGATATCGAAAACGGTTCATTCTCATCGAGGAGGTTCCGACTGGCTTTTCGAGACGACGGTCTCTGCCAGTAACTATTCGTCTCCGTGGGCGAGGGCTAGCGGTTGGGGTTTTTAGTACGGGGAGATATATGAGACGGCTGAGGCTGGAGGCTCATACCGGAAGATAGACTCCATTGTCGCTCACAACTACATGTGTAGTACGATACAAATAATCCGTCAGCCAATACTTATGCAGAGTACATGCTAGATATCGGGAATCAGGGGGATGCGGCTCGTGGATTGTTGGTTGGGATTACATCCGGACGAGCCGGAGTTCAAGGGCGTATAAATAACAGAAGCTTTACCACTCATTTTATATTCGTTAGGCTCGTCGACTCTACTCCTGCCTAGAGTTAAGGACGGCCTCGAACTCCTGGCCGGGCTCCTCTCCGCAGACAGAGGGCCAGGCTCATCCGATGCTTCCTCCACATTGACGGCTGGCGGGCGTCGGGGGAACAGGTTACGAAACGGCGGCATCGTCAGAGGAGGCAGTGATGTAATTGTATATCTATTGCTAAAAACGACGTCGAGGAGAGAGTCTTGTATCGAAAGACCAAAGATCTGATATACGTACATCCAACAGATGTACTGATATCATAGCTATTTATACGAAAAGCCAACGGCAACACATGATTTGATGCTGGGATCCGCCAATGCTGGGTTGGTACTCGGCAGTTCACCGTTCTTTTGCTCTATACAGCCCCTAGTTATATGATAATGTATGTAATATCAAAGTGTCAGCGAATCGATCGATATACGAGATCCCTGATCTACCTTCTGCAGCTTCGTCTTGTTCAATAACGAATAGCCAGCAAAAAAGCAAAGGGCACCTTGTCCATCCATCCGCATGTCTCACATTCGCTGTAAGTCGTCGCTTTGTTGCATTTTTCTCGAGAATGAAACATTCCCGGTGGCGGATGCGACGTTGAGGGACATTTTATGATCTTATTCTTCTTCTTCTATATCAACCGGCTTAGTTCATCTCCTCTTCCTCTTTTCCCGTAGGTGGCTGCATCGCTTTGTTCCACCACATCTGCGTGGGATTGCTGCTACGTAAAGCAACCCTACATACAAAACTCATAACCTTTCTCTCTCCATCAGGTCAAGTCGATGGTTTCTTTTTTCCCTCCTCATGAGAGAGCTTGAAGTTTTGCTGCATATACGAATATATATACCAAGAGGCAGTGACGACCAATATTTATTTTTCCTTGCTCACTCTCGAGTCAACACACAAGCAAGAGAAAGAGTAACAGCTTCTACGACGACTGGAGATACATCTCTGTTCATGTTTTGATGAATAAACGGACGGCTGTATAGCTATCAAGTCGCACACGATGGGGTTCTGGACTGGCTGGGAGTTATGGGAGCAGATGTGCTTCGTAAGTTGGCGCCATTTTTACCAAGGTACATGTATATATACCCAAATATTGACACAGTGGAAACAGGTTCTTGGTGGTCTCATTGTAAGCCTTGATAACAAACGGCCTGTCTCATGATTCAGATCTTCCTAACAAATCTCGCGCCAGGCTCTTGTCCTCTTGTACGGTACAGGTGTTCACATATACAACTCTTGGAGGATAAAAAAGATTGGGGCGGCAGAGAAACTGAAGAAATCTCGAGAAGAGGAGACAATTGGAACAAAGGGGCTTGACCTCATTCCCTTTGGCTCCCGCGCCCTCGAGAGCGGAATCGAGATCGAAGGAATCTGGATATCCAAAAACAATACACCCCAAGCGAGTCCGATCCCGCCTGCTACCCCTGAAGGAACGAGGCCGGCTAGTCCTACGTGCAGCAACCTTGATCTTGGACTTGCAGCTGTTCCAAGGGAAGAAAGATCCAGTGCGGAGCGCTCTCTGTCAATAGGCAACGGAGAGGAAGAGATATTCATGGAAGCACATGAACATAGTGCGGTAGCGGATAAACCAGAAGAGCTGGACAAGAAAGATAGTTCAGGCTCGTCCAGCACAGGCCACTCTGGCGAGATAAGTCGGCCATCACCCTTGGAAAGAGTTGGTATGTGTCTGCGAGAGAGCGGCCCCGGCAACCAAGAAAACAAGGACGGAATACTGACAAGAGTCCAAACAGAGAGTGAGATTAGAGAGCAGACACATCATCGAACCGACTCAAGAGGCGTATCCATCTGCAGTCGTAGCCTCGTCCCTCACTCGAGAAACCAGTCTAGCAGCCATATCCCCGTAGAGGGCGAAGACCATCTGCAAGCCCTACACAGCCACAGACAGTCCCACGTAGCCGAGACCGGCCAGCTGGGGGGACCCTGGAGACACCAACCCGTTCAACGACCAAGTCCAGAATAAAAAAAAGAAACAGACTTGATTGCCCCACGACGCAATGATTGATGCATGCATGTTACTTAGAGCCAAGTTCTCATTTTACGACTGTGATGATACCTAAGACAAATTTGATTCTTTTGGCGCGTTTCTTGCATATGAGATTAGAATACAATATGATTCACGGACTTCTTCTCCTCCACGGATACATCCTATCTGTCACAGTCATTAGTCTGTATACGAACAGTCGAAATGCCAAAAAATGTAGCAAAAAAGTCCACTTTCCTATTTACATCACGTGAACACGCGTCTTTTCCCACTTGCGAACTTTTTGCTGCCTTCGCAACATCGAAAAAAGAGCAAAGAAATCAACAACCCGAGCTGCCTTTTTTCGTCTCTAGTCTTTGCGTGTTTGGCTGTTCATCTAGTCTGTTACTATCCTCTATTGCTACTTTTCTAGTTCTACAGAATCCATCCTTGTTAGACACCACTCGACACGTGTCTCAGGCGCGCGCTTCTTTAAATATAACCCAACCATAGCGATGACTGCGGAAGAGGCTTCGCAGGCTGAGCTTGAGGAGGAGAATGGCCTCCCTGGACCAGGCGCGCCTACGCCTCTCTCTGCCCTTGAGGTTTGTATCTTTGTATCCTCTCCCCCCTTTCTTTGATGAGTGGCTAATGTTGTTTGTGCAATACTTAGGGAGTTGGCGGCCTTACCGCGCGAGATATCAAATTAATTACCGATGGAGGTTTTCACACCGTGGAAGCAGTGGCATATACGTACTTATCCCATCCTCTTCATTTCCCCCTCGAGCTCTCTCCGGCTAACTTTCCCTAGACCGAAGCGGGTGTTGGAACAAATCAAGGGCATCTCGGAACAAAAGGCAACAAAGATATTGACAGAAGGTTATATCCAACTATCTTCAGTGCTGGTGCAGAATACTGATGGTTACGTATAGCGGCCAAAATTGTTCCTATGGGATTTACAACTGCTACAGAAATGCACTCTCGTCGGGCAGACCTGATATGTATCACTACCGGCTCTAAACAGCTCGACACACTACTTGCGGGCGGTATAGAGACAGGATCCATTACCGAACTTTTCGGTGAATTTCGAACAGGGAAAAGTCAAATCTGCCACACCTTGGCCGTCACATGTCAACTGCCATTCGACATGGGTGGTGGTGAAGGTAAATGCCTCTATATTGATACCGAAGGCACCTTTCGACCCGTACGGCTGTTGGCAGTGGCCCAGCGGTACGGACTCGTGGGCGAAGAAGTGCTAGATAATGTTGCATATGCCCGTGCATATAACTCTGACCACCAGCTTCAATTGCTTAACCAGGCATCTCAGATGATGTGTGAAACACGGTTTTCTCTTCTCATCGTGGACTCCGCTACCTCACTTTACAGGACTGATTTCAGTGGCCGTGGAGAGCTATCATCAAGACAAAACCATCTGGCACGCTTCATGCGCACCCTCCAGCGCCTTGCTGACGAATTTGGCGTAGCAGTCGTCATAACTAATCAAGTTGTCGCACAAGTCGACGGCGGGCCGAGTGCAATGTTCAATCCCGACCCTAAAAAGCCCATCGGAGGTAACATTATTGCACACGCGAGCACCACACGATTAAGTTTGAAGAAAGGTCGAGGAGAGACCAGGATTTGCAAGATTTACGACAGTCCCTGTCTTCCAGAGAGCGATTGTCTGTTTGCCATCAACGAAGACGGAATTGGAGATCCTAGCCCGAAAGATCTAGAGAAGGATTCATAGATCTAACCTCCGTTTCGAACGATTTTTTTTACTCATTTAGCTCGGCGTTTGGGGAATTTCACATCTCTCTTAATACGCATTTTAACTATGATTCCCTCGTCTATATTATGCAATTATAGAATACAAATATGAATAACGATGGATGCTTTTTAAATCTTCTGTTGTTGTGGATGTAAATCGGTTGTTTGAATAATACCATGTCAATACGGAGTTGTTGTATTGCTGTTACGCGCTAACAGCTTCTTTTCTTTTATGAAAATAAATCAAAAAAGTTGAACATCTACAAGAAGGTCATGCTACAACCGCCATCTCTCCCACTCCTAGCCTTCACGCAGATGGGTCAGATCTATTCTCTCACACAGTAAAGAAGAATGTTGATAACGCACAGGGGCACGAAGGTCGATATTGGGCCAAACACGTCGCACCCCACCGTGACAGTCACCATCAAATCGCATGGAGCTCAGCATAGGGCCAAATTCTCGACATCGACCTCCTCGAACGCTCACGATGATACGATTCGAGACGAGGACGCGTTCGCAAAGCGCTTCTTGACATCCCAGAGCTCCATCTACTTCCGCAAGCGAAAAACCTACCCTCGATGTTTCTTCTGGCGGGTTATTGAAGATGGCACCTGTCTCGAGCTGAGAGCTGTCGACCTGACGAAGAGCTCACAAGATCATCACGAAGCGAATGTTGCCATTCGATTGGAGTTTGAAGATACCATCGTGCCTCATGGTGTGGCTCTGGCGGACTTGGAGGGTCACGAATCACTTAACGTCTTTGTTATGCTGAGGTCGAAGCAGCTGTATACCTTCACATTGAGACCGGAATACTTTCGGAAACCAGAGTTGATAGATGAGAACATAAATGATTGGTGCAAGACGTGCAGTCCGGCGCCTTTAGGATTCTCGTTTCCACACAGGCTGTACGCTGCCTCGCCTTATGAACTGTTTATTTCGCTTGATAGCGGATCTCTCTTACGTCTGACGAGGAAAGTTGGTGATGATGGTGAGTACTTATTCTGAATGTCGGGTATATATTATTTTCCCCCTGCTGTATAACTAATTATATACTCCTTTTAGGATCTCATTGGTTCCCAGTTACCTTCGATGAAAAGAGTTGGAGTTTTTCCTTACGGGGCCTCGTTAAGTGGAACGGTGATCAAACGGTGCAATATGATGGCAGGTTTCTAGACCCAAATACTCCCAATGCTGTTGCGACAACCTCCGACCAGGCGTTTGTCTTTGTGGTTAGCTTAAATCATACGTTAAAAGTCTGGAATCTAGCAAGCCAAAAGCTCGTTGGGTCTAAGGACTTGTTGAACCGAAACAGCCAGTCCCAGGATACCGGGTCTTTGACCTTGAACCCGGATGAGTCCGCATTTATTCGGGTTTTTACCGCAGAGAGGGCGACGGAGGGTAGTATGTACTATGTCGTGACATACTCGCCTCAAGATGATGGCCAGTTTAAATTCTGGGCCGTTGGAGGTGGAATGACAGGCCAATTAGTGATCGAGGACCTTTTCCCGGACACGAAACTCCAACCTGCTGACCCAGACCCGTCTGGAAGCGTTTTCTGGAATGTGGCCGACTTCCAAATCAAATCAATGGACGAAGGCAGAAATATGGCACTTTGGGTACTCTGGAAAAGCCATAACTCTTATCGGCTTTACAGTATTCACTTCGATTTGGTCGATTTAGCCAAGGTGTGGAATAACAATTGGACAATGACCGCGTTCACATTCCCAGGAAGCAGTGCGCCCCCTAGCCCCATACGATCCGATACCACGGATACCCAAGAAAAATGGATTGAATACATTTTTGCGCCTGGCAGGTACTCAACCGAGATTATCAGAACCGCGCTGGCTATTTATCAAGATGCTATGAAGCTAAAGCACACTCGCTCTATGAATAGCAATTCGATGTCATCATCACTACAACAGGACGTCAGTACAGCTATAACGCAATCGGTTACACTAAGGCAGCTCCCTGGCGCGGAAATGGACTTCTCAAAGTATTATAGAGACCTGGAAGCAAGATGGCAGCAATTCTGGCAGATTGTCGAGGATATTAACAAGAAAACACAGGAAGCGATAAGCCTTGCCTATGATACATTCAGTGACCTTCCATGGCTAATATTCAGTGGCGGATCAGCCATAATCCGTGAGTGTGATAGTACCGAACTCATTTTGCACAATGATGGGGAAACCCTAGGCAATGGCATTGGTGTTCTTGAATCCTGCTGGCCGCATAGGAACATCCCACGAGAATTAAGAGATTTTCCTGGCCAATCTGCAAGCCTTGCTAACCTTGCAATGGCGTTTCGAAAATTATTCCCGCAGGAGCTTAGCGAGTCAAGCCGCACTGCAATGGATAACGAAGTCTTTTCGGAGCCTTCCCTTTCTGCTGCTGAAAGAGTCGAAGCTTTCCATAGCAGCTGTGGCTTTGCAGACCATATCACGGAAGAGTTATTTGAAGCTGGCTGTGCAAATATCGAGGAGTCTATTGGATACAAAGGCCTCACCAACGAGATATTTTTCTCCGTTATTGACACACTACCCTTAAGTTTCCCGGGAAAGGACTCGGAGCTTCAGTCTACGGCCTTTGGGCGCCACGCAATAACTTATGGTGCTCTAGAGGTCCTAATCCAGAGCAGGCAACTCATCCATGACCTGTTGCTCTTTGCCGTTTTCGTCGAGACTGAAGTGAACCTCGAGGCTGAGAACACTCAGTTTGATGGGCCTATGATCTTCAGCACATTAGTCGACCTTCTGAAGGAGTACGAGTTAATGATATGGCTGGGGACAAATGTACGATACCGACAGAGGAAGAACCGGTCTGATTCTGCCCCTGTTCGACCCGACCCAAGAGGTTGTGGATACAACCACTGCTCTACTGTCCTGGAAGACCTATTTGCTATTCACATCAAGCCTCAGCCTGCTGCGGGTGTACCCCAGATGTACTCAATTACACAGCAGATTCAAGACGTCATATCTTGGGTTACAAGACAGGGAGAAGTGTCCTTCTCAAACGTTTTAGTATTCATTCAGTGTGACTTGCTCGCTTCCGACAACCTTGAGCTTGCATCTGATTTCATGCGTTTCCAACCAAATACTGCCTGGGCAACTTATGTCAAGGGGCGACTATACCTCGCCAAATCCGATTTTGACACTGCAGCTATTTACTTCCAAAAAGCTGCTTACCTTCTTTGTAAGTCAATCTTTACTTGTGGCCGTACCAACCATTTGCTGACTTTTATAACTCATAGCCTACGGAAAAGCTGTTGGGAACCTACACGAAATGTCCTCAAATTTGCTTGACATTGTGTCAGTGGATAGCTTCTACAACGGGCTTCCGAGATATTTCCAGCATGTTGTTAGCCTTTTCGAACTTGCTCGGGCTTTCATCCACGTTGCCGACTTTGCCAATCTCGCTTTGCAAGCTCTAGGCTCTAGCCCAAAGAAAAATGAAACAGATCTGGAACATAAGAACCTTCGAAGTGACCTACTTTCCCGGCTATTCCACGCATCTTTAAAAACATGCCGATTTGACGATGCCTACTCAGCTCTTGCCAGATATACAGATCTCGCATTGCAGAAATCAGCGCTAACCTCTCTCACCACTACAATCTTGACAGCTTATGGATCCGGCACAGCAGGCTTACAGAAAGTCCTTCGTCTCCCACTTTCTCTGACCCCTCATCTTTGTTCTCATGTGGATGACATTCTGTCATCTCTTGCGAGCAAGCAATCGCTTCTAGGTTCTTCTTCAAACCAAGCCGTGCCCCTAAATACTTGGCAGGGTTCCCAAAACATCCCAGAATACCATCATGTCCTAAAGGCCTACCGAATTGCACGAAACGATATCCGTGGGGCAGCAGAAATTTCATATCAAACAGTTAACCGTCTAAGAGACCTTAGAGACCGTCCGGCTGCTTCGAGAGTGAAGTTCATAACACCCGATGATGCCTCTAACGATCTAAACGAGGACGACATTGAGAGCAGAGAGTTGCGAAATGAACTTCTTTCCCTTATCAACTTGCTTGCATGTATGGAGAAAAATGAGGCATACATCGTTGTTGAGCAATTTGATCCAAATGCAAACTGGCGCGATAGTATGAGCACCCTCTCCCGACCAAGAAGCAGCATGGAAGATCCATTTACCACCTCACATTCCTCCGCCAAGAATCCCTTCTCGCAGAGCTTGGATTTGCCTGACTCTCCCACTGCCCAGCATAATTCAGTTCTATCACGGTCATCTTCTAGCCTAAAGAATACTCACGCAAAACGGACCGTGATCACGCTCGAAGATCTTCGAAAGGAGTATCAAAGCGAGTTGGATCGAGTGAGCAGGATTCGAAGTGGAGATTGGGAATTTGGCGTGGTGGAAGACCTAGAAATGGCTGGTGTATGATAGATTCTGGTGTTCATTAGTGTTTTTAGCAACGCGGGATAGGCTGGGTTAAGGTATGTTGGTTTTAACAGACTATTCTTGATGTCAAGCGTCCATAGTCAAGCAATTTGATGATGCTAAATTATTAAGATTTTCACATTCAACCGTGTAAGATGCCTTTCTCTAGAGGCTAGTTTATAGTTATATGGTCAAAAGCTGAGCGCTATCTCTATTAAAGAGTGGGAAGAAAGCCTAAATCAATACCTTGTGATGTAATGTAGCATCTTGACGATATGAAGAATCAACTGCCTAAGGGAATCTTAGTTTGGTGCACGTCGCCCAGACAAAAGGGGAAACACACGGACAAACACGCTTCAAAGGTATTTGCTGCAATAGCATTCGTAGATACAGCTGGAAACGTATCGATAAGGTAGTTCAAGACAGCCCAGAAGGTGATAAAAAACCCATAGCCCATATGTAGTCCATCTCCATACAAGATAGCTTTTGTACAATCACACCGCCAACAATTGCTGTCACGGTTGAACGGCCGACTACATTGAGTATCCAAGTCACAAATGAGGACAGAGTTGTCTCACATTGACCGATCTAAGTTGACAATAAGACTTGTAATAGACTTGATATGGCCCAAGGGGAACTAAAAGGGGCCGTTTGGCCAGAATCTCGACTTCTCAGCCTACTGGTGGCCATTCCATTGCGGTCGACATGACCGTATCAAGCTTCCTAAGGCGTGCCTGTTCGCCGTCCTATTCCATAGAACTGTTGCTCTTCTCATAGAGCAGGCTTTGATGTGGCGAGGCCCCCATCCGTGGGATCTATATGACGTGGATTTAGCTTGGGAATACTAGGAAGAGGATGACGAAATGAAGCCGTTGGAATACTCCAGAAGATATAGAGAATATTCGCTAGCCATGTTCATCAAAATCCCAACGAAGCTGGGATATGTATTAGCTGCAGACAGCGGTATTATGTGACAAGTGATCTGTTAAATGGTTGAAGCCGTCTATTTGGCATGTGCCTCCTCCCATTTGGTGATTGTCTCCTGCGCGGTGGTGACCTTCAGTCCGATTCGGGCATCCAATTCGTACGATTCCCACTTGTACACCTTCTCCAGCCATTCCTTGCACTCCTGTACTTTCTGTTCGTCCTCGGCGGCGCGTGTTGCTTCGTCCTTGACCTGATCATCCTTTTTTGATACAGGCAAGGCTGTGGCACGACCAAAAGATCGATAGCAGTGACGTTCCATCCACAGATTCGCAGCCATCTCATAATGTGCGGACGGGCATGTCCAGTCATCCTTGTTCGATCCCTTGAAGAGACTCCTATCATGGCATAGGATTTCAGACTTTAGGATATTCTTTGCCTCGCTATGCTTCCTCTGAGCTCGTAATAAGGAAGCTCGAAGAAGGGCTAGAACAGCGTGTTCATCGAGAGGCTCAGACGACCACGTCTCGTTATTCTCTGACCACGCTAGATTCTGGAGTGCAACCTCCAGCTGATCGTCAGGCATGCGGCTGTGTCCATTCCAGAAGAAGTTCATTTCTTCGATAGGTGACACACCGATTGCATCGATGAAGGGCACGTTCCTCTCTTTCGCACGAGCTTCCCATTTTGCAATCTTGCGGGTCACAAATACGTCGAATGGAAGCTGACGAGCAAGGAACTTCTTCTTCCCTGCTTGGGAGGGTGCTTTCTGAAATAGGTCCTCTGCCTTTTTAGCATGTACTTGCGCCTCTTCTGGTGATTCCTTCAAGTGTCTGCGGTACAGTTCTACCTGTGCAGCACCGGCAATGTAGAAATACAATGCTCTGGACCAGGAGTTGAGTTCAGAACACTGGTAGACAGAGTCAGCAGGGGAGCTATTATTAACAGGACAAGAAAAGGCTGTTCAAGGAAATACGTTACCTCTATGAATGACTCTGTACATAGCTCGTACTGATGTAGGTGCATGGCATCGATACTTCTCTCAAAAACATGGAGAGCTTGTACTTGCTTCAGAGGACTCTTTTTACCATTACGAATTAGCCTCATTGCCTCTTCCACTTCCCTATTGGCCCCTCGCATTCTCGACTCTTCAAGGACCCAGAGCTGACTGTGGGGGAAACGGCCTCGCATATCAGCTAATAAGTTCTCAAGTCGATGCATCGGATAACCTTCGATATCTTCCACACTACCATCAACTGGATCCGGCAGAATGTCGGCAGCACGCACAAAGCTGTTGTAAAAGGCTAACAAAGTGAGTGCAGCAATTGCTCCTGTCAGGGTAGGGGACCGACTTGCCTGCCAGAGCAGCCGTAGACCTCGAGATCGGTCACCACGGAAGCCAATGATGTACAAGATCTTGTTGAGTGCGGGAGGTACCATTGAGATAAACAGGAGGAGGAGGCCAAAGCAAAGGCTGGTTCCCGAATGGATGAAATGGTCTACAGGGTGAGAGAAGAGATCAGGGTCCTCATCCGTGTCAAGTTTGGCCTGGGGCCTTTCGGCTCCTTTGGAAACATCGTTCTCGCTTCCTAGAGTAAGTCGAGAGAGTCGTCTCTGAGGGCTCTCGAGACTCCCATTAGAAATATCTTCTAGGGTTGTAGTTGACATTGACTTTGGGAGGGAGACTTTGCCGTCAAGCTTGGCTCCTGCATTTATGAATATTTAGCCTCAGTATTGTATGCCTACTGGTGGCCTTAGGGGTTCCGTACCTCGCAATGAAGCATCTACAGTGTGGGTTGTGGATTTTGAAGTTTTACCTGGTACAGGGCTGCCATCGGCAGAGCCGTGGCGTGAATCGGCTCCGCGTCTCAGGTTATGTTCTTTCAAATAGTTCTCCTCCATCTGAGCAATGCTGTCAAGTGCAATATATGCCTTTCTAAGCTTATAGAATGCCTTTATGCTTTCTGAAAAGCTCTCACTGAGTACACCAACAAGGGCAGCCATGAGTTGTGCCATGCATTGACATAACAAGTACTCTGTCCCAGGAGCATATATGTGGGAGTGATATGCATTAACAGCGTTTGCATTATGCTGAGCCTTGTTCTGGTCATTATAGGCACTTGTTTCTGCGTCTACAAGCCTAGATGCAGCTATATCAGGAGTCAATAGCTGGACTTTCTCGTTTATAAGTGCGGAGAGGCCGTACCTTGACGCATAATATCCTGCTCTAAACCCAGTGTAGCTCTAACAAAAGTAACAATGCCTTTTCCTAGCTAGATGGAGCAGTGTCAGCATTTTTGGTAGGGCTTGATAAGGCTTGAGAGATATCTAGCTGCTTACCTTGTGATATGATGAATCACCCTTCTCCAAGTCCCTTTCTGCTGAGTCGACATCATCATCCATAATATATGCAGCAGCTTAGAGAAGACTATATCAGTATAAAATAGTAGTATCAAGAGCTGTAGCCGGGTACCTTTTAATGCATGTTCAACTATAGGCGGATAATATCAGTAATCAGTTTAAAGAGGCGCAGATTCAGCAGCCTGAGAGCAAAGGAACCTACGATCTTGAGATTCAGTCACAGCATCAAGAGACTGTGTTGACGCGCTTGCTGGGGCTGCTTTGGAATACAGCCATGATCCCATGCGAAACATAATGTGTAATCTCACCAGCTGAATACGTCTTGGATAGAAGAAAGATTCAGAACGGGGATAAAAGAGATGGTATCAATAATATGAATTAATAGTTGTGCAAGATGCTAACAACAACCGCTCTTTGAGCGCCTTGTTAAGTATTAGGGATGCTAATAGAAAGGGAAGAAGAAGAAGAAGAAGAAGAAGACCTTGCCTACGAAGATGGCAGTATAATTCACTTCACCCCAGGCTTGTAACTTGGTGATAAACAGATTCAATACTTAGGCGTTGTTTTTTTTTGAGGCGGTGTTGGAAAGGAAAGGCCGGGAGCGGAACTTTTTATAACTCCCCTTTTATCTCTGTATCATGGATGCCTGGTATGATGCAAGATGACAGCCTTGTGTGTCTGTCCTTTTCCTTTCTCCCTTCTCCGTATTATAATAAGGACTAAATAATATAAACAGTAAGAGAGAGAAGAGAAAAATAATAAAGCGACCTCACGACGCCCCCCAAGCCGGAACCTCGGAAGGTTCGGAGGCGCAAGTTGACTAACTAAATTAGTTTCTCGCCTTTTCGCCAGTGATATAAGTTAACTCCTTAACTAGCTGTAGCTGCTTGGCTGTTTCCAGCATGGACAGACGCTGATTTGGTGGTGAGCAGAACTAAAACTACTTATGTCAATAGAGGCTGTTGACTCTATTTCTTTTGTGGCAATGAGGTAACGAGTTATATGCGGATAAAACAGGTAGTATTAGTAGCTTATTCCAGCGTTTAGAAGTTATACGTACAGTCGAACCAGCTCATATATAACCAGTACTCCGTACTTAGTACCTATTCAGCTTATCATGGCTAAGTGGTCGGTGGCTGAGCACGGCCAGATGTCCCGGAAATGGCCTCATTGGAACGGATCTTAGGGATGATAGCCTGACCACGGCCAATAATCATCTTCCTTCCATCCATCCAGATGGCAGACAAGAAGAGCTGTTGATAAAGAAGTTGAAGCGTTTTGGTTGCTTTTTGGACGGGCCTGCTTATGTAATCAGCAGCTCTTCAAGTTCAACGCAAGAGAAATTCGCATCGAGATATCGACAATTCTGCCTTCCCTCGCACTCCCATTACAGTTCTCTGCGCCGTGAACGTGTTGGCCCGCCGAAGTAGAAAGCTTCTCCTGCTTTTTTTTTTAAGTTGAGCAAGACACAGACACCATGTCGAGTCAGCCCGCCTCCCAAGGCGCCGCCAAACCGCAGCCGGAGACAGCACGGCCAGAGAAAGTCCAGAATCCTTCTGCACCTCTGGAAGAAGATGATGAGTTTGAAGACTTCCCGGTAGAAGGTATGCGGTCGTAAGATCATTCCCCTGGGCTGTGGCTGGTCTTATTCTTCTTGTTGATAGTCGTTTACTAATACTACTGTCGTGTGATTCTATAGATTGGCCTCAAGAAGAAGCTGAGGCTCCGAACGGAGGATCTGGCAACGACCATTTGTGGGAAGAGAGCTGGGACGATGATGATGCGAGCGAAGATTTCTCCAAGCAGCTTGCGTGCGTTACACCTGCCCACGATATACCCCCGTCTTTCCTCTGTCATATATATCAAATACTGATAAGTTGTTCCTTCATAGTGAGGAACTGAAGAAAGTCGAAGCTGCTAAGCGGTGACCTGGCCTTGCATGAGGAGTGAAGATATTGTCGATTCTGGGGGTGTGTTTTCTTTTTTGGGGGCTGTCCTACGTGCTGCTCCCTTGTTTTCTCTCATGGTTTTTCTCCAGCGGAGTTCGGGTAATTGGAGGGTGTAAGTAAAGATTTTTTATAGTGGCAATCGAGGAGATTGACGCTGCATCTGGTACTTCTTTTTTTCTTCTTGCTTTCTAGAGATATTACTCCCTTTCGTCATTAACACTGCTACAGTTTCAACGTGCTAGCGGCTGCACTAAAAAATCTACTTTATTCCAGTTATTTTCAACAACTATGCTTGGGAATCTTGTTTGAATATTTACTTAAGAAAATTTTGTTACATTATCTTTGAAAATACCAATAATAACACCATGATGGGTGGGGTGGGGGGAAACTTGAGGGGTTCCAAAATAACTTATGAGAACAGCTTACTTGCTCGAGAGTGCAGCAACACCGGGCAGTTCCTTGCCTTCTAGCAGCTCAAGGGAGGCACCGCCTCCGGTTGAGACGTGGCTCAGTTTGTCTTCAGCCTTAAACTTAGCAGCAACAGTAGCGGTATCACCGCCGCCAATGATGACTATGCTTCCCTTCTGAGCAGCATCGACTGCGGCGTCGAGGGTGTCCTTGGTGGCTTGAGCAAAGGAGTCGAATTCAAAAACACCAGGGGGTCCGTTCCAGAGAATCGTCTTAGCCTCTCCAATGACTTCTTTGAAGAGCTTGACACTCTCCTTGCCGCAGTCAAGTCCCATCCAACCATCAGGAATACCTTCGGCATCGGTGGCATAACCAACTTTGGCTTCCGCAGAGAATTTATCACCGGTAACATAGTCAACTGGCAGAACGATCTTGATGTTCTTGGCCTTGGCCTTCTCCATGATGCCTTGAACCAGTTTACTGCCTTCTTCGTCGAACAAGCTGTTCCCGATCTTTAGGTTGTTGAGCACCTTCTTGAAGGTGAAAGCCATGCCACCACAGATGATGAGGCTATTAACCTTTGTGAGGAGGTTGTCGATCAATTGGATCTTGTCAGAGACCTTGGCTCCTCCGAGAATGGCCAGGAATGGCTCCTGGGGGTTTTCGAGGGCCTTTGCAAAGTATTCCAGCTCTTTCTTGACCAAAAATCCAGATACCTTTTGTGGCAGGTCGACGCCAACCATGGAGCTGTGGGCTCTGTGAGCAGTGCCAAAAGCATCGTCTAGGAGTATATACTTGTTAGAGCAAGCTTCCTGTATCCAGAGAATGCGATTAACGTACTGATATAGACGTCTCCCAAAGCAGTCAGTCCCTTTCTGAAAGCTTCAACGGCACTTGGGTCAGCCTTGACTTTCTTGCCAGACTCATCCTTAGAGCTTCCCTCCTCCTCAGCGTGGAAACGGAGGTTCTCCAAAAGGAAGATCTGGCCGTCAGTGGCAGAGGCAATGGAATCCTCAACCTCCTTGCCAACACAATCGTTAAGGAAGGTAACCTGCTTTCCGAGGAGCCTCTCGAGCTCTGGGGCAACAGGCTTGAGGCTGAATTTTGGGTTTACTTTGCCATCTGGTCGTCCGAGATGGGACATGAGGATCACTGCTTTGGCGCCGTGCTCGACAGCATATTTGATGGTTGGGAGGGCTCCGACAATCCTTTGAGGATTGGTGACCTTGTTGTTTGCATCAAGAGGGACGTTGAAATCGACCTGAAGGATATAAGTTAGCTCTTATCTACGACTCTTGTCTTAATGGTGGGGGTTTTGGTTACTCGGATCAAGGCCCTCTTGCCCTTGAGGTCAATATCAGTGATAGCTAGCTTGTTCGAGAGCGACATGTTTGGTACAATTGACGAATTTAACAAAAGCACGATAGCAAACTTATCAAGAGGCAGAAGTTGTTGATATTGAAAGCACCAAGAAAAAGAGAGAGAGAGAGAGATAAGGGGCGGCGGTGGTGGTGGGGTTGATATAGAAGAAAAAAGCCGCTCCTTGTTTTTGTTTATGGCGGGGTGAAATCGGAGAGATGCGGGAAGTGATGTAATCCCAAACAAGCCCCCAGTTAGTTATATTTCAGTAAGCCAAAGGATGATTGATGGTAAGGACATGGATAGATTGAAATTGAGGAAGGCCTTGATTGACTCTGAGCTGGTTCTATGGCTTGTATGCTGCGGTTTTGCATTCGTTTTCTATCTAAATTGGCGGAGGCATGATGGTTCACAATTAACCAATTCCCTTCCGCCTCCTGGTAAAACAGCTAATTGTATTATGTCGATATTTCTGATGTCTTCTTTGCACGGGATCACTAGACTCCCCGGTGGCGCGGTCTTTGGCATGCAGCATGAGAAGACATATCAAGTAGAAGTATCTTTTTAGACGTCTGTTCCATGGTTAGTGCTATTCAAGTTCTTGCCTCCAGCTCACAGTAGCGTAAGTAGAATTCGAGCTAGCCATCCAAACTGTAAAGCAGAGTCCATTAGCCAGACTTCTGCCAGCTAGACATGACAGTATATAGCAAACGGTGACCATGCTTCCATCGTAGAGTCGATCTTGTGGCCATACTTAGTAGGCAGACGCAATATCGATCGTTATCAGGGATAAGACGGGCCTATATCAGTCTTGAAACAGCGGTTAGCTTATATCATTCTCAACTCGAAAAGGTGAACAGTGTTGTATGTTATATCCAGGCTTCAGATCAAGTGTATGTGAGGTGTCAACATTCAATTTCGCAGCTGTTACCCTGGAAATTGTCGGTATTGCAGAACTCTCTTGTTGTTCATCATTGGCAGGAGAAGAAGAATAACCGAATTAACTACTCACCAAATGTAGATATCAAGCTTATAACGAACAATCAAACTGTTTCTTCATGTTGTTTTTGTATCTAAAGAGAAAATAAAAAGAGAAAAAAAACCCTATGAAGCTCATTTGCTGACTAAGGTTTAATATCACGTGATAATATCCAGCTTCTAAACTTTCCCTTTTTGGCATCGCAAAAGAAGAAACCAAGTTTGAAAAATAATGAAAAAGTGAAGAAGAAGAGCAAAGAAATCCAGTTAATCGCTTCGTCTTGTTGATATTTGGCTGCTTAACGAGAGCCTCAATCTACTGTCCGCCATCATTCGCTCTCACTATGGCTGAATCGCCTGCTTCTCCCCTCTCCTCCCTCGCGTCAGAGGAGTTCCCTGAGGAGGTCAAGTTCGACGACCCAGGGCGCTCCCGTTCAAATTCGCCTCCCCAGGCGCATCCCTCAAAGCGCCGTAAGACTGGGGTATCGACATGGGACCACCATACCCCAATTTCTGTCAATGACGACCTTCCACCCCCATCTCCGGTGGCCTCCATATCATCAGATAGCTCCGGAGCTATACCAAATTCACCCGGTGCAATGGCAATACTAGGCCCTGAAGAAGACTACAGCGGCGCTGGGAGAGATCACATTACAGTCTGTCTTTGGGAGGGCTGCAAGGCAAAAGACTTTGGAGATATGGATGCACTGGTTAAACACATTCACAACGAGCATATCGGATCTCGACAAAAGAAATATCTATGCGAATGGGGTGACTGTGCGCGGAAAGGACAGGCTCATGCGAGCGGGTATGCTTTGCGGGCCCATATGAGGAGTCACACCAAAGAAAAACCATTTTACTGTGCACTACCTGGTAAGTAGTCGAAGCCAAAGCTATCTTACTATCTTGGACATTTTTTTCTAATAAAACGCGTATATATTTCAGAGTGTGACCGTAGCTTTACGCGCTCAGATGCTCTTTCGAAGCATATGAGGACCGTTCATGATACTGATGCCCTAAAATCACTCGATGCCCTCGCAAAACAACATGCCAACCCGGCAACGGCTACCCTCCCTAAGCCTCCTCGAATTAAACTGAAGCTTGCACCTCGCAGAGACAACGATAATGGCGAAAAACCGGACTGGTCAGAACCAAAAAGCGATCAAAGCAAAGCAAAGGAGCCAAGTGACGCACCGATTTTCGACCCAGATATTGGTTTTGATGAACACGAGCTTTCAATGCCATTGGATCGACTTGCGCGCCTGATACGACGACAGATCCATTGGGCGGAACAGGAATCTAAAACCCTGGAGAAAAACTGGGAGCTGATCAAGCCACAAAGGTTACGGACATGGAAAGAAAAGGAACTTATTCTAGACGATCTCATCCATAGTGAGATTCGTGTTTATGGCACTGCGCCAACCCCAGAGGAAGGGTGCTCTGGTGAGAAAAGACCCTCTAGCCGTGGTGGTGTACATAAACTGTCGCCAATGCCTGCCACAGCTGATCAGATGAAAGCTCCACCACCCCCGGAAAAGGGCAGCCCCGAAGAAACTGGTGCTGGGGATGAGCAGTCAGAGCAGCTAGCACAGGCATCCGAAGTGAAGTCGCACACTGATGACGATCGGATGTAGATGATATAATAGAACTGTACGATTTGTTCGGCGTTTGATGTCATAAGTTTATCTTTATTTTTTTTATTAACAGTCGCGCTTCTGTGAAGCGATTATAGCATGATGAATATAATGTTACTTCGGCCATTACATTTGAACCAATAAACAATTACCTTACAGAATACTCCTGTACTTTGAAATAATGTATAAAAAAGAGAAAACTACTATCTCATATTGCTCTCAATTCTTTTAAAGCAACTCTACTGGGTATGTATACCTCCCGCCCTCATCGCTCGTAAATCAAACGCGCCCTCAACTCAAAACAGAAATGGTTACGGCTTTTTGAAGGACAATAAAAGATGTGAAGGAATAAAGAAGCAATAATAGAAAACGTGGCACATCTAGAAGTACATGTAATCCAGACAAGGCTATGGTGAACATAACACGAAACGGAGGAGCGATAAATCATGGAAAAGCCAGGGGAATTATATTGAAATCAAACCTACTTCTTCCATAGGTTCGACGTGGGTTATGAAACACGCCGGGCGAGGAAGAAGTAGCATAAACGCCGTTCACAAATGCAGCTGACAGGGAATAGCAAACTCCAGCCGGTCCAAGCCAGAATCCAAACGTAAAAAGCGAATAAATAGAAATAAAAGCAAGAATAGATAGGGGGAGTAGAATATAATAAGATAGTGAAGTGATATCCGGCAGCAACGGGGCTGAATATTGCTCTGGATGCATCTCCAACAAGGTCGTTGGCATGTAAATGTTAGAAAGTAGGATAGTAGAAATTAATTCGACGCTTCTGCGCCCTTTTCAGCGGCCACTAGCCTGCTGTACATGTTGAGAAGTGCACTCCCTGGTGTTCCTTTGTTTGGCCAGTATGCCGCACAATAGTCCCTGTACATAGGTCAGTATAACGGATGAGTGAGGAAGATAAACTACTAAGACGAACCATAATCTCCCTTCAAGTGAGGCGGCGGCCTCTTGCCCATCAAGAATACCACGGATGAAATCTCCGATCATCCGCAGCAATCGACGAAGTTCGGCAGCTCGTTCTGGCTTGCTTGGGATGCTTTCCTTAGTGACCTGGGACACCCGCCTTAGATGCTCTCGGATTGGTTTGAAGATACTCCTAAGCATGTTGTCACCACCTGTAGGAGTGGCTGTACTGCGGTCGTCACTACGACGTCGTAGGGCCTCTTCCTTGGAATGTTTGCGTGCTTTATCAGAATCGGCGGGTTTTCCACGATCTCGTTCTCGCAGCGGTGTATGCGATCCATCAGCACTGTCACGGCTGCCACGGTTTTGCAAGCGGCGCCTTGGCTTTTCTGCTTCTCTACCTTTTCGTGGAAGAGATGGGGCAGGGGATGCGGAAACCGTCCTATGTGCATTCCGAGCGTTGACCTTTTTATTGTTACGGTGATGGTTTTCTAGGGCCTTTCTGGCTGCAGCGCTTGCGCCATTGCTTTCCTTGGCTTTAAGCACTGATATGAGGTAATCCGCCCTTCGAACAAGGTGTACGGCTCCAGGAGATTTTGACCCTTCGCCTTTACCACTTAACCGCTCTTGTTTGCGATCAACCCGGTGTTCATCAAGGAAGAATTTATCCCCTAGGCCTAGCTCGGGGTCATCACGGATCTGTGTCCACGCTCCGTAGCCGTGGCGAGCAATACCTAGACAAAGCATCCCGTCTTCTCGGGCACCCCAAGAACAGGAGTAGTCTGCGCCCTTGGTAGCTTCTGGTATGCGGAAGCTCGTTATATCCTGTAGGTTGGAAGTGGCTTCTCGAAGGAGGCGCATTTCCCCAGGCCTACTAACGATGGTCTCCGCATTTATTCGTTTGACGCCCTTGTGGTCGAAAAGGATTGCTTTTCGTTCCTTTTTCGTGAAGCTCTTACCCTCACGTTCAAGAGCACGGATTCTGTTGTTTTCCTCCTGTTCAAGAGTCGTAGCCCTGTCAATGACTTCGCTAAGCGCATCTTTCACGACTGTGAGATCCCGATTTACGAGGCGTGCTTCTTTAATAATTTCTTCTTCGCGGTCTTTCATGTCTCCGTATCTCAGATACGCACGGATGAGATGCCGGTACTCCTTTTCGCTTAGCGGTGCACTTGGATCCGGGCCTTCGGCATCGGATATGGCATCAGCATCCATGTTCACTTGTTGACGAGCTCGTCTTTTAGCTTTTCGCTCCTCACGTTCATCGCTAATGGCGGGGATCCCGGTTGCATTTTCATTGGGTTCTTCTTTCAGAGGTCGCCTTTGAGCTTCAAGTTCTTCCTCTGCCTTGATCTTCTCTAGGTATTCCTTTGGAATAATATCATCCCAGGAAAGGTCGTCAAACTTGACATCAACGTACTGACATTCGTTGATGAAGTCGATTCCTCCGCTAACCTCAATTGCGTCCTCCTCGACTGTCTTATGTTCTTCAGCATTGGCAAGGACAGCATCGATATCGAGCTCTTCAAGTTTCTTCTGGTTGTCGGATTGCTCGAACATGCGTTGTCCGCGCTGTTTGAGAATCCGCGAAATGTCATCGAAAGAAGTAGGCTCATTGACATGATGGCCAGCACGCGCAAGTTTGTCTTTGAGGTTGGTGGCTTCATTGTCCGTCACGCCCCTTTGAATGGTAATGAACTCTAACAAAAGCTTGTTCCTCGCTCTTTCTAGGACTTCCTCTTCAACAGTGTCCTTAGAAACCAGACGATACACGCTGACAGGCTTGGTTTGCCCGATGCGATGAGCTCGTGCCATAGCTTGCAGATCAGCTTGGGGGTTCCAATCTGAATCAAACAAGATGACTGTGTCAGCCGTCATAAGATTGATACCAAGGCCACCAGCACGTGTGGAGAGTAAGAAGGTAAAGTCAGTGCTGCCGGGGGCATTATAGTGCTCGATGGCAAGACGTCGTGGGCCGGCGGCAATTGTACCATCTAGCCGCTGGTAATTGAAGCCGCGAGCATCCATATAATTAGCCAATATGTTTAACATTCTCACCATCTGGCTGAAAATCAGGACGCGATGGCCATCATTTTTGAGCTTGGTGAGAAGCTGATCAAGCACCATCATCTTCCCGCTGCTGGTGACGAGAGCTTTTAGTTGATCTTCTCGCCGTGTGCTGCCTCCCGCTTGGTCTTCAGCACCCCAGAACATAAACGGATGGTTACTCGCTTTCTTCAACTCCATCATGATGTTGAGTAGTGAGGGCTTAGGTCCTTTGCCACCGTGATTGAGGGCGTCATAATTTTTGGTCAAGATGTTTTTATACAATTCGAGTTGAACATCAGATAGTTCGACTCGAATGATTTTTTCGGACTTTGGTGGGAGTTCGCTCTCGACCTTTGATTTGGTCCGACGGAGCATATAGGGTTGAATGGCTTGGGTCAATTCGGCCAGCTTTGCACTGGCTGCTTCAGAGTTCAGGTCCATGTTCTCGTCAATGTCAATGGCACCAGGGTTGAGAAAGTCCATCAGAGCAGAGAGTTCTCCCAGGTTGTTCTGGACTGGAGTCCCCGTTATGAGCAGCCTACACGATGACTTGAAATCGAGAAGTTTGGTATATAGCTGTGATTCACGATTTTTCAATCTATGCGCTTCATCAATTGCCATGAACTGCCATTTGATTTGGTTTAAGAAACTTGCATCTTGTAAAACATATTCATAAGTGGTAAGGAGAACATTGAATTTAGGACGTTTCAAATTGCCATCGGTCAAGAGCTCGTACTCTTTGATGATCCTTCGGGCAGGCTCTGGGCCGCTATAGACGATGTAGTTGACGTCAGGAGTCCATAAGTCAAAGGTCTCGCTCCAGGCTGGCATGGTACTTAATGGGACGATGACGATGAATGGTCCTTGCTGCTGTCTGACATGCCGTAGCCAGTTTATGAATGCCACAGTCTGAACAGTTTTTCCTAGGCCCATTTCATCAGCAAGGACAACATTACGGCCACGGACCCAGTTGTAGGCGAGGAAGTTGACACCCTTGATTTGGAACTCCTTGAGTTGACCGTTTTGTATGAAGTCTGGGTTTCCATGTATGGGTTCGAATTTGGAGCGGGTTGCAGGGTTGGACTCAGTCCGGGAGGAGATAGGAGGGTGAGAGCAGCGGTCGAGGTAGGCATCAATCTGGCTCTGAGCCATATTGCTTATGAGGCTTCCCTCTTCCCACGTACAGCCGTCATACGGTAATCGCTTCCACTTTATGTAGTATTCGGTGGCACCATCGACTTCACGGGAGCCGATGACACGCTCCACTTGTTTAAAATGGTCAATTTTTTCTATATACCGTTCGCGGTCAAGGCTCCATTTCTCTCGTTCCTCCGGGATTACATCTGGGTCTCTCATGAAGAGGATCTCCTGTTCTATCTCTCTCCGAATATAATTATCTAGACGCCGAACACCGCGACAGTTAGCCAGGGTATCGACGGTCTCCCAAGTGGCATGATAATGTGCTAAGCCCTGCCACTTGGTGTAATACTCGCAGTCACGGCGACCTAGGTCAGGTTTGGAGAGGTCAACGCCTTCCTTGAAGCGGTGATAAAGGATCTTGTCAATGGCGGGCGTGGTGTCATCCACTGTGTATGTCCACTCGCCAGGAGTACCCTCTTCATACTCATCTTCAAACATGTGGTCGTCACTCTCTTCGTTGTAGTTGCAGACCTTGTTTGCTCGCCTTGTGGAGAAGCGAACTTCGCCATGCGACGGGAGGTAGGAGTTTTTATTATTTTGAGCGTTCCGGCGTTGCTTTTTGCCCTGTCGGCTACGACGAGGGCCTTCATACGCGTCACTATCAGAGTCAGAGAATGAATCCAGCATCTGCACTGGAGAAGGACGGTCAGAGACACGCCCAGGCCGACGCCGTTTTGGGGGAGGGGCGACATCAGAGTCGGAGCTGGAGCTGTCTTGGTCCAGCCGTCGAGTTGGGCGAGCACGCCCACTCCGTCGTAGGCCGTATAGGGCAGGGTTGTTCCTGATATATTCTTCTTCATCGACAGAAGATTTACGTTTCACTCCCCGTTTCGAGCCCGGCGAGGACGAGAACATTTCAGACGGAGGGGCATCTACATCGTTGTCCAGCATGAATTCCGCAACGTCCTCGCCAGCCGCGTCTTCCGAGCCTCCAATGCTTTCATCATCAGAAGAATGGTGTGAGCTCACTCCGGCATCGACACCATTGACACTCTCATCGTCATCGTCATCGTTTGCCGAAGCTGCCTCTTCGGCATTCATGGATTCGTGAGAGGCATCGGAGTCATCCATATTTTCGCCATTGGAAGGGAACATCTCGCCATCACTGGGCACATCGGGCATGGAAACATTATCATGCAGCCCATAGGCAGGCGGTGAGCGTATAGGACTGTGTCCGTTTCGTATATCGAGGGGGAGGGTGTTTGGGATCACCACGGTCGAGGCTACATTGTCGCAATTAGCATTGAGGAGGCAATTGCAGGAAAACGCGGGAACAAAACGCATAGAGAGACAGGCCAGGAGCGTGTAGCCCGTATTATTGTATTAAAGGTAGCTATAACTCTCCAGGAGGGCGTAGGGACGCGGGAATAGATGGGGTCTGATGTATCTATAGATGAAATTTGATGGAAATGGGGATGGGATGAAGCGCTGCTTAGCATGAGAGGCGCGTGAACAACGAGGCCAGGAGAGAAGACAGAGAGACAGAAACAGCTATACAGACAAGCACGGCAGCAGCTGAGAACCTCGAGAGCTCGACTTCATATAACAAACCAGAGGGATAGGGGAGGGGTGGTCGGTTTTTGGGGGGTTTGGAGGGAGTATGGGAGACAAGGCCGGGGGCGTCTCTGGCAGTAGAGAGACGCAGAGAGACGGAGAAAACCACTTACGATCCATAGCGTGGTAGTCCCCCCACGGCGACCAGGGGCCTGCTGAGCAGTTCAGCGCAAAACTGGCGAGTTTGACGTAGCAAGAATGCTGTTCTGGCCCAGCGGAAGACCTCTTTTTTTTATATGGGCGGGTTATTTTTTTTTTTTTTTTTTTTTTTTTTGGGTTGTCCGGCGGAAGAAGAGCAAAAAATAGAAAGATGGGCGGATGAGAAGTTGGTGAAGGGTGCCTTTGCCTCTTTGGGGCTAGCGTGGATGAGATAAGAAGTTAGTCATCTTAGTCATGGTTTAGTCAGCAGGACGCACGAACCACAGGCGATGCGTTTGTGATTAGTAAGACAAGGACAAAAAAAAAAAAAGGAACACAAACATCTGACGGAAGAGGAAGAGGTTTTTGGTCGTCTTCGTCTTCTTCTTCTCGACAACAAACGACAGACACCAATCTCGTTCTCGAGTTCTTCCCGGACCTGAGTCGACTGTCGAGAACTACGAGTCGGTCGTCTTTGGCTGCTACTCACTTCGAGCAAGGCAGACTCGACCTTGCTAGCTGGTTCATTCTCTGCCCCTCCACAGAAATATATATCTAGATAGGAAATTTATCAGCCACCCGCCATGTCTGATAAACTGACTAGGTATGTTGTAGCCATGGTCATACAGATGATAGACTGACCCATTATTTCTTTTCTATAGGATTGCTATCGTTAACAGCGATAAGGTATACTCCCTTCTGCCCCGCCACGTTTTGAGCAGATACAGATTCTGATGCTTCGAGTTTTTTTCACCACACAACAGTGCAAGCCAAAGGTCAGTGGTCACCGGTATACTATGCGTGTTACAGATAACGTCCTAACAAACGGGAATGTAGAAATGTCGTCAGGAATGTAAAAAGTCTTGTCCGGTTGTTCGTACCGGCAAGCTTTGCATCGAAGTTGCGGCGGACTCCAAAATCGCGTTTATATCGGAACGGTTGTGTATCGGTTGCGGTATCTGCCCTAAGAAATGTCCGTTTGGCGCAATTCATATCATCAACCTGCCCACCAACCTGGAGTCACAGGTCACCCACCGTTACTCGGCCAACAGCTTCAAGCTTCACCGGCTGCCTATGCCCCGTCTCGGCCAGGTTCTCGGGCTGGTTGGAACAAACGGTATCGGGAAGAGTACTGCACTCAAGATTCTTAGTGGAAAGCTGAAACCCAACCTGGGTAGATACGACAACCCGCCTGACTGGGAGGAAATCTTAAAGTACTTCCGCGGCTCTGAGCTTCAGAGTATGTTTGCCCACCATACCCCATCTTACTCACGACAGACGATTAGATGCTGACAACCAATCCCAAAGACTACTTCACCAAGGTGCTTGAAGATAACCTCAAGGCCGTTGTCAAGCCACAGTATGTCGACCAGATCCCTCGAGCTGTCAAGGGCCCGGTCAAGGAGGTCGGCGCTCTTCTTGAGGCTCGAGCTCAGATGGACAATATGGAACACGTCATGGACGTTCTAGGTACGTACTCGCTTCCAAACTTCCCACAACAGACATCCTTTGCTGACCTTTTCTTAGAGCTTCAACAGGTTAAGAATCGTGAAATCGGTTTCCTCTCTGGTGGAGAACTTCAGCGATTTGCCATTGGCCTTGTCTGTGTCCAGCAAGCGGATGTGTAAGTTTTCCTTCCTCTCACAAGCGGAAGAAGGTGATCTGATAACCAGACTAGCTATATGTTCGACGAACCTTCTTCCTACTTGGATGTTAAACAGCGTCTCGCTGCTGCCCGTATGATTCGTGAACTTCTTCGACCAGATGACTATGTTATTGTAGTTGAGCACGATTTGTCCGTTCTAGACTACCTCTCTGACTTTATCTGTGTTCTCTACGGTCGCCCCGCCGTGTATGGTGTGGTCACTCTCCCAGCGTCGGTCCGTGAAGGTATCAACGTTTTCCTTGACGGCCATATCCCCACCGAGAATCTTCGTTTCCGAGAAGAATCTTTGACCTTCCGAATTGCCGAAGCTGGTGACGACTTTATGATCGACAAGGATAGAGCTTTCAGCTACCCAAAGATGGAGAAAACCCTTGGAAACTTCCACCTTACCATCCAGAGTGGTCAGTTTACCGACTCCGAAATTATCGTCATGATGGGAGAAAACGGAACTGGTAAAACCACATTCTGTAAGATGCTGGCCGGTGTTGTGAAGCCAGATGGTAACCAGACCGTTCCTCCAATGAACATCAGTATGAAGCCACAGACCATCACCCCCAAGTTCCAGGGCACCGTTCGACAGCTCTTCTTCAAGAAGATCAAGGCCGCCTTCTTGTCCCCACAGTTCCAGACAGATGTCTACAAGCCGCTTAAGCTTGACGACTTCGTCGACCAGGAAGTTCAAAACCTGTCTGGTGGTGAATTGCAGCGTGTTGCTATTGTCTTGGCCCTGGGTATGCCAGCTGACATTTACCTGATTGACGAGCCGAGCGCGTACCTTGATTCCGAACAGCGTATCGTGGCTGCCCGTGTTATCAAAAGATTTATCATGCACACCAAGAAGACCGCATTCGTCGTCGAGCACGATTTCATTATGGCCACCTATCTCGCCGATCGTGTCATCTTGTTTGAAGGAAGCCCTTCCGTCAAGGCAACAGCAAACAAGCCTGAATCCCTCCTGACTGGATGTAATCGATTCCTTCAGAACTTGGATGTCACCTTCAGACGTGACCCTAGCACTTACAGACCACGTATTAACAAGCATAACTCCCAGCTTGATCAAGAGCAGAAGTTGAGTGGCAACTTCGTAAGTTTTACCCGCCCTTTTGCTGCTCTTTATTCTATATCTAACATATTATTCTAGTTCTTCTTGGAGGAAGAGAGTTGAAAAGGTTGCCCAATGGGATAATCGCCATGATGGCCATTACCGTCGATGGCCACACTGGCAGGAGAACTACTGGAGGCGTATCAGGGATTGCCGCTTGCGCCGTGTCAGTATTCCCAACCTGATTGCAGGCCGAGGATGGCGTACAATCCAGTTCTTCGGTGAAATAGCTTCGTATGATGGCGACGATAGCGACGATGACACGAAGAATCCTCCCATGCATGAGGTCATCTGTATACTTGTGACAGAAGTGCCGGCTCATGATTTCTATGCCATCTCCTTCCACAATACTTGTGTAACGTGGAAAAGAGGCTCCCAGCGATGGTTATGAGGCTTATGGTGTCGAGACTCCATTGGCGGTGCCTTGGTTAACTCCCCTCGGGTGGTAACTAGCCATATGGTATGTATGAGTCGAGAATCTGAGAAGGATAGAAACAAGCAAATTGCATTCCAAATTGTTTACTTGCAGTTTCTTACTAAACAAACTAACTTTTTACTTTCATTTATTGCATTGTGGTCGCAGATGTTCCATTCTGTGCCTCATCCTTGGTGAATTGATTCAACATCTCCTCCCACTCTACGTTGGAATTAAAGCTGCTTTTATTTATTTTTTGAATGGATAGCTCATCCAACTCTTGATTATATTAATGGCCTATAATTGAGTCTAAAGTTCTAAACTATAGTAAACAAGAGTTGGTTGAAATTGGAAAGCAACTTTCGTTCATGCTCAAGCCTTAATCTTCTTCAATTTCCCCTTCCTCGCTCCCAGAATGAACTGCCTTTTCTTCCACCACAGGGGGTTTCTCTTCTTTTCCCTTATCTCGTCTACCGCCTTTGGCACCCACTGATCGGTCAGGCTCCCGTCTGTAGCGTTTTGCAGACCGACTGCCAACGCTCTCGGCATCACTGTCTCGACGTCTACGGCGTTCACTAGTCACACTTCGCGCTGCGGTATCAGTGTCGCCACCTCCATAATCTAGCTCATCACGGCTGGATCGGGGGTCAGCACGACTATGATATAGTCTGTCACGTTCATCTTCTCGAATGCGGCGGTCACGACGGTGTCGAGATGAGCTTCTGTCACGGTCTCGACCCCTATCCCTATCTCTTTCACGATCGCGGTCCCTATCTCGCTCTTTTCCACGATCACGATCACGATGGCTAGGCGGTGACGAAAACCCACTGGCTTTTCGATAGGATCGTTCCCGATCCGCTTGAGCTTTGCGGCGATCAGCTTCATATGCGTCGGGCTCAGGGGTGCGGCTGTGGCGCCCAGAGGCTGACCAGCGCTGGCCACTGCGATCATCTCGATCACCCCTTTCATAGTGATCGCGTCGAGAGGGTCTGTCCCTTCCACGCGCTTCGCGATCACGCTCAGCATCTTCTTCCTTTTCCTTCAAGCGACGGACAACTTTGTCAAATGCCGAACGGCGGGCGTCCTCTGAGTCAACGGCTCGGTACTCCTCCATCTTTTCAATTCTGGGCTTAACATCCTCCCAGGAGTCAGTTGCCAGGACTGGCGGCTCAAGATGCTTAATACGTGATCGGAGAAGGTCAATTGCCCGCCGTTGCTGTCGATTGGCCGCATGCTTCTCATCTTCCGTGCGCCGAAGGACCTTCTCTTGCAGACGGTCAAAGATAAGTCGAAGAGTTTCTTGGTCAATTGTAGCTGTACGACGATCAGTCCTCATTACCGCCTTAAACTCATCAAACGTTGTTTTCAGGGTTGTCTCAAAACGTTTGTCCTAGAATCATGATGTTAATATACACACAATGGCTGAGAAGGATGGTAGAAATGAAGGCTTACATCAAGAACATCAAGAACATCATTTCTTGGTCCACGTATAGCACGTTCTTCTTCTTCCACCATATCCCAGAATAAATCTAAAGGAGTAGATCCGGATTGCCCGAGCATCGCGGTGTATCGCGGATCCTCCTCGATCAAAGGATATAGATTGGCCCATTTGCTGCCAGCTTTGATCTTCCCTTGGGACCTGAGATCTCGTAGCAATGATATAAATGCATCTCTTGCTTGACGCTCTCTTCTAACCTTGTTAGCCTTTTGTTGTTGCCTGAGGTCGTTAAACACTCTCTCAAGAGACTTTATATGGTTCTCAAAGGCAGTTAGGATATCCGACTTGGTCAAAGCTTTGAACTTTTCGTCCCCTTGGATTTTTTCATTTGACTGGATTATCTCTTGGGCTTCTGACCAGCGAGTGTAGGGTTCCAAATTTAGTGTCTTCAGGATATCAACCAAATCATCTCTTGCTGACTTGCGTGCATTAGCCTGATTCTCTGCGTGTTCCCTTTTCAGTTCTAATTTATACTCTTCGAAAAGCTGTCTGCGTTCACCTTCATCATCCGTGGATCGAAAAATGGTTTCGCCTTCGATAATAGGTCGAATTGTTTTCCAACGCGTATAGTGTTTGATTTCAGGGTGGCTTTTCAGCATTGTACCGAAATCAGTCCTAAGTTTGGCAAATCTCTCCTTCGCCTTGTCCTTTTCTTGAGCGCGAACCTCAAGTACGTACTTGTCAAATGCGGCTTTTCGGTCTCTAGGATCTTTTAACGAGCGATATTGAGGGTCTTTAATAACCGCGCGCATCACTTGCTCCCAGGACCAATCCGGCTGAACGTTGCTGCGTCGCAGGAGCCTCATGAAGGCAGCTTCCGCCTCTTCAAACGTAGCAAACCCAGAGTCAGATTGCTGATTAGCAATAGCGGCTGCATTTGCACCATTGATATCAATACCTCCTCCGTATCCATGTCGTCGGTCGGTCATGCTTCGATCATGTTCGTCACGATCGTGTGCTGGAGCCTGGTAAGTAGGGAACGCGCCTACACCGCCAGCAACAAAGGTCGGGGCACTAAGAAAGGTGATGTTAGATCTCATTTCATATCAACACATAGATACAGGAGACATACACAGGAGTCGGCTTTGGTGTAGGCTGAGCCTGGGTTTGCGCCTGGGCTTGAGCATTTTTGTAAACTTCAGGCATTTCCCAAGAGCTTTGTTTGGTTTCGGTGTTATACCAGTACTTCCTCCCACCCGGAGCTGTATATTCCTTCCATGGTTGGTTTGCTAACGCGCGCTGAAGATGTACTATCAGTGAGAAGTTCAAACAACAGTAGGGAAATGAATACACACCTCCAGCGGTGTCATTAGATCCAACGGCTTGGTCCATTGGGTGGCTTTGGTCTGAACATTGTAATAGTAAACCCTGCCTTCTGCATTCCGTGCCTCCTGCCAGATCGCTGGTGGCATCGGTAGGCCCTCTGGTGCATTCATCGTGGTGGAAGATATTATCTCGTCTGTGTTCAGCTCGCTGGGTTTTCGTATCAAATTGGTGACATCGAATACATTATTGTAAAGAGAATAGCACAATGAAAATGACCTTATTCACAAACAACTGTCCATTAAGCCCAGAGGTGCGCTTTAAAGGCTTGTAAACAACGTCTTCAATAATGTTCAAAGGTTTTGAATAACTTTGAGCTTTTGCGCGCGAGAAATTTACGATTCTAGTCAATCACGTGACAATAATCCCCCTTCAACTACGACTTTTGCCTAATTGGGTGTTCATGAAGCTGACATTTCTTATCAGCTTTTATATCTGGAGGAGTCGGTTTTACATTGGTTATTCTCTTATTTTACAGTGTTTATTGCTACTAGTTAAAGGTGGTTAAGTTCGTTTTGGGTTCTACACTTATATCTCATTTTGTCTATCCTCGCTTGATACCCTAATGTTGAGATGTCAGAATATCAGTTCCTACAAGATGCGACTCTGGATACGGTCGTCCCTCAGGCCTCAAATCTGAATATAGAGGAGCTACTAGGATCTATACAAGAAAGCTCTGGAGATCTGGGTACATGTCTGACTAAGATTCAACAGCGACAGCTGCTATTCTTTGGTATGGACCTCATCCACTCGGCCACAGGTTGCCCTATTGCTTATACCAAATGAACAGATGAACGCATTACCCTTTATCTGGTACTTTGTCTGTCAGATTTTCCAAAAGACAGCTTAGAGTCTTGCATCTCGAATCTCAGTGTACACTTAGAGGTCTTCGCTATTGATGAGAGCAGCTCGGCCGAGCAAGGGGAAGAAGAGTCAAATTCAAAGGACCTGATATACTCTCATACTGTGGATAACAAAGATGACCCTTTTGTTGTTGTTAACGAATCTGTTGGCGATGGAGGGAGTGGAAATAACGCATATGTGATATGGAAATCAGAAGCTTTCCTCTGTTAGTATACGTCTACTTTCCGCCAGTGCTCAGCTTGAACTAACTTGCTAGACCGCCCTCGAGTACGCCTGAGGCACCCATCTGTTGTGTTTACAGCGTCCGCCAACTTTATCCCTCAGGGCTCACAGAAATCAACCATTGGCAATGACGACCAATACCTACCCGGCCTTACGCCAGCTTCCACAAATATTTTCCAGCCCCTCACCGCTGCCGTGGAGGACTTGGACCCATATCTTCCAGCGTCCCGAATATTACGGCTTGTTCCTTCTACCCAGCCCGAAGGATTAGTATACAATGTGCAACAAACGTCATATAATCCCATTCGTATCATCCCGGCTGCCAGCGCCAGGATTAGATATTCCCGCTCAGCTGCAGTATCAAAAAAATTATCGACGACTGCTAGTCTCGACTTCGAAGCGACACCGTTCACTAGCTATGAAGTTGTTTTAGAGGAAGCAGAGTTATCTTTGGCTAATGGAACCGTGGAGCTCCTGACCCAAGCCATCGGTTTTTCACCCCCTATCAGCTGCCCGGCTCGGGATGATATATCGTTGGTCTACAAGCTTGTATCCTCCGAAATGGCAGATACGGCTACACCAGTGACATCTACGCTCGATATTTCATTAAAGGTCACAGTTCTAGTTTCTCATGAGTGCCAGCCTAAAATATCAATGCGTTGGAGGACCAGCGTTGACTTTTCTAGACCTACAAACCAGTCCTTAGGAGGCGTTAGTAATATGCTGCGTCGAAGCATCGTGTCTCGTGGAAGCGACCAGTCAACACAAGAACCTTCTACACCACAAGTCACATCTTATTCCCCTACAAACCATGGGGTAAAAATATCATTCTTTGGTCCTTCCAGCGTCGAGGTTGGCAAACCATTTGATTGGGACATTTTTATTGTGAACACATCAACAAAGGCAAGGAAATTTGGGATTGCTGCCGTCCCATTTCGAAGACGTTCAGACACACGAGCACATGTCCCCAGACCTTCATCTACGTCCTCCATAACGAGAACCGATGAAGTTGCCGAGGCTATCGTTGACGAGAACATTGTCTATGCAATGCAACAAAATGCGGCCCCTCATGAAACTGATCTTATATGCCTTAGCACTGATTCGAAAATAGGGTGAGTCTTATAACATCATAACCTCTGAAATACGGTTGCCTCGCTGACCTAATTTCACCAGACCTCTTCTTCCCGGCACATGTCATTCTACGAGACTAAGACTTCTACCTTTGTCCCCGGGGCTTCTACACCTGGAGGTCGTGAAACTCGTCGATTTGGGGTCTAATGAAACCATGGAGATCAGAGATTTACCTGATATAGTAGCGTACACAAAGGCTGATCTTTAATGAGGCATCTACGGCGTTTAAACGGAACTCTTCTCTACTGAGGAGTCCCATCCGGTTGATGAATTAGAATAGATGACGGGCTATACTACCACCCTGTTAATAATGGCAAATACCTCCATCCCTTCCATGGCATCCTCGCTGATCGTCTCTAATGAAAATCATCTTTTTGCTCTCCTTTTCGTCACTTATCTTATGTAATCGTTTCCGCCACGCTCATTGGCTGCTCGATTTCTACGACTTGCAACTTCGAAATCCTGAACTTGAAGCCAAAAAAAAAAGAAGCCTTTGCGTCATATTACAACAGGACAGCGAAGGCATCTCCACGAACTTCACTCTATCCACCCGCACATCTCTGTCCATCTATATAACGGGGTTTATCCAAAGGAAGGCCAAGATGGTCTCCGGCATTATGACCAACCAGTCGAAATGGGGCCTGCTCAAGGCCTTGGATAGTCGATATATCTACGGTCGTGTGGTCAGTTGAAACTTTAGCACCCTTTATTGGATCAATATTCTTGCGCTTCCCGCTACTCCGGAAGACATCATGGACGCTGTAGTATTTTCATATTGTTCTAGAACTGACCGTTTCTTCACGACTAGCCATTGCTACATGCCATTATATTCCTCACCGAGATTGCCGTGACCATGAGGCTGATAGCTAAATTCAACACGTACTATGCTCAGAACCCTGGTATGCCCTAACCCTTGGCCATTACCTCCTTCTATGAGACCAAGATAAGAGGCTAACGGTTAGCATGATAGTTCTAACGACGATGGTCACAAATGCTGTAAGGATATGTCAATTCTCCTTTTGGCAATCTGGCATGAAATAAGGAGACACGGCCATACTGATGGAGAATACTATAGGTTCTAGGTGGAATAGCGGATACAGTTGCACAGTCTATATCTGCAATCAGTGTTAGATGCAAGGAGCTCCCAAAGCACAGAGATACAACCAGCTTTATCTCGATCGATTTGCAAGACCTCGAGAAGGAGAAACCACCGGCTGTTGGGGAGCTAAATTTTTACAGAAAACGCCCTGCTCCCTTTGACTTCGAGAGACTCACCCGCTTTATGGCATATGGCTTCTTCATGGCACCTGTTCAGCACCGGTGGTTCAAATTCTTGTCTCACATATTCCCAGTTACCCAAGCCCATGCCACCGTTCCGGCTCTTAAGCGTGTTGCCATGGACCAACTTATTTTTGCTCCAATCGGTATTTATCCCTCTTCCCCCCACCTTTTTCCTGGGTGGTCGAGGCTTGTGAAGCCATGAAGGTCACTAATCATAGTAGGTCTGGCATGTTTCTTCACATTCATGACCGTGGCAGAGGGCGGTGGCCGTCGTGCTCTGTCTCGTAAATTCGAAGACGTTTACCTTCCGACTTTGAAGGCCAATTTTGTGCTCTGGCCAGCCGTTCAAATCATGAACTTCCGTCTGATTCCTATTCAGTTCCAGATTGTATGTCAGCTGCTCCACCAAGCCATTCCGCCTCCATAATCTGCTAACTTAAATTTAGCCATTCGTTTCGTCGATAGGAATTGCCTGGACTGCTTACTTGTCACTCACCAACTCTTCGGAAGAAGAGTAAGAATGTAATAGTCTTTAGGCAGCTTCTATCGTTTTTCCTCTTTTGTTGGGTGGAGTTGGGAGTTACGGTTCTGCATGGGAATAGGATGTGAAACAATATTGACGAAGCGTCTTCTAAGGAGGTCATACATTTAATAAGGCTCGTACTCAGTTTCGTTTTATGTATTTTCAACGATTTTGCGTCGGTTCAACTTGGCTGTATAGATAGCTAATGAACCATTTTAATGTCAAATGGGAGTTCATCGCCTTGGGAGTTAAAACAGTGCCGGTCCATTCGAGTTTTCACCGTTAATAAATTTCTAGCCTTTATTTTTTAACACTATATATGTGACTTCTATTCACTGCGTCAATAGGAAAACCTGAATGAAGGATGGTCATCACCGAGATTGTTTAGTTCATCCTCAGGAAGTTGAAATCGGTAATCTCGCCCTCCCGCATCACGAATTCGATTTTCCCTAATGAGAACAAATAGAAGCACGACGCAGCTTATTCCACATAGCCAGAATGCCCCCAGTGTCGTGCCAAAGCCAGTCGGATATAGAGGCTTTTCCGAGTCCAAGAAGACATTGCTTGCAACCACACCACCAAAATTTCCAAACGCAACTTGGAAGGACGTGGAAAATGACCGTTTATAATGCCCCGCCATGCAATTGTTGAGCCAAGTCACGCAAATGGGTTGAGTGATAAAGGTGCCAATTGTAATGGCAAAGACGGCGAAGTATCGAGCTCCGACGGGGACGTGCTGTTGGCAGATAAGCAAAACATAACCGACGGTTGCGATGAGGCAGCCTAAGATGGTAAAAGTAAACCGGTGGCGTAAGGCGTCGGAAACCCATGCTAATGCCAGTGTGATGACAGTTGAAACGACAAAAATGGGGATACTCATCACCTGGGCTTTGAGGGGTTCCCAGCCGAACTGGTGGAGAATGGTAGGTGTGAAGAAAGCGGTGGCATACCCGGAGGTCACAGCTCCAAAGTACATGACCATCCTAGTGGAAATGTGAGTCTCTTCTGGCCTGGAGTATATGCAGGTATGATCGGGGGTATGTATATATTGTACAACTCACCCAAGATAGATCTTGATATCAAATAGGCAGCGTTTCAAAGCTGGCCTATCTAGACGGTTCATTTGTGCCCCTTTATTATCAAGGGCTAGGCGAGCAATGAGCAATTTTCGCTCTTCATCCGTTAGGAACTTGGCCGTCTCAGGCCAATCCACAATTAAGAGTTTAGATAGAAGGGCGAATACCACCGTGACAAGGCCTTCGATTATGAAAATCCAGCGCCATCCGCCGTAGCCTGCCTTTCCATCTAGACGAGCAATTCCATAAGCAAGTAGCTTACCCACGCCGTTAGCATCCACCTTGGGATAAAATGGTATCATAAGTATATATGGAGGAACTAGCTTACTCCACTGAAAGCACCGGCGATAATACTTGCTGAGAAGAAGAAGTTGACTCGCTTCTGTAGCTCATGCCGCCTGTAGTACATGGAAATAAGGTATACGCATCCTAAGCGCTTTGGTTAATATTTGAATTTCATTTTCAGTGGTTATAGGAATGAAAATACCAGGGAAGAATCCAGCTTCAAACATGCCCAAGAAGAACCGGCAGACCACCAAGCCTGCAAAGCTTGTAGTGACACCCTGGCAAATAGTAACCACTCCTATGCGACCAGTCAGCGAGATGATATTGCACTCTGAGCGGTTCTCGTTTGTGATGAAGTACTGACCCCATGCTGCAATTATCCCGCTTATCCAGGTCGACGGTGCCACCTTCTTCAGGATCAAATTGCTGGGAAGCTCACAGAGAATGTATGGAATAAAGAATATCAAGAGGGCGATGTTGTAGTCCCGGCCAGTCATGTTAAGATCCTCCTCCAGGCCCTGTAGACGAGCATTCCCAATATTTATTCGATCAATGAATGCAAGTAGGAACAAGAAGGTAAGAACTGGCACAACGTGAAGGTCACATTTTCGAAGAAGCAGTTTCTCAGCCTCTGAATTAGGATGACCATCCAACGGCTCGGCTTCAGCCGTTGGAGTTATCGAGACGGCCTCGCTGGTTGTCGTCTTCTCGTTCATCGTAATGTCCTATATATCTTGTCCTCCACACTGTTAAAATGACCAGAAGGCGTTGAACTTGATTGAACGAACAGCAGGCCAAAGGGAAGATAGAATCATCATAAATGAATCTAGCCAGCTTCCTGATATCGGATGTGGAGTCCATATCAAGAAGCTGGCTGCATATAAAATTACGCGGTGTCCATCGTATGGGCTGCACATGCGACTGGCGGAACATATCGCCCGTTAAGGGTTCGGCTCGGGGACCAGGATATATCATCTATCATCCCAGCACATACAGCAGAAGTAACACGAAAAACGACCATTTTGCCAATCAGATGTATGCATGACCAAGGCAGTTGCTGCAAGCTGAGAGGAGATCCAGGGTTGAGCTGCAGCGGGAGGCATCGTGACAAGGACAAGTGTACATAGTAGCCATACATACATACATAGTAGTAGTACAACAAACAGTCTTGCCATCCCGGTTTGGGTGTCTTAAAAGAAAATGAGACACCCGCCCTTCTTTGCAGGCCAGGGGACAGAATCCTGGAGACTTGAGGGTTCTCTTCGTCTGTACCAGAAGCAAAAACCCGTGGGAGAGAGTAGTTAAGCCTGTCGCTTGCAGGGTCAAGGAGCCCTTGAGAACGAGCTAGCTGCATAGTTGGTTAGCTGCTCCTGACGTGCGGCAAGCCAAGCAGACTTTGCATGTATTCAAGGCAGCGGGAGCCAGTAGTTACAGAGTACCCAGTTATGTATTTACATAGTAAATCTCTAATAATACCATGGCAGGAAAAAGTCCCTTGAAGAGATAGAAATATGATTCTTGTCAATTCATGTTGGTGTAGGATCTCAATGAGATTTTGATATTACTCGAATCAGTCCTAAGCACATCACGTGTAATTCATTATAATCTTTATAACTAGCCAGTGATTATATTTTAAATTCATATTTAGCAACTGTGTGGTGTTTCTGGTTGGTTGGCGCCTCTTGTGTATTAAGCAAGCCAGGCTATTGGACGCCATCTTAGCCAATAGCAGCTATATATTTCGTCCGTAAATCTTGAGAAAAGTGGATTACATAATGCTTACATGGAACATTTATATTCCGAAAAATTAGTCATCACAACAGTCTTGGAAGGCTGCCTGCTTGGCAGTTTATTTAAGCTTAAAAAGGTTTGACGATTTTATATTGACTATTCGTGTGTGTATACATGAAGCAATCCCCTAACCAAAAGATATCTACAAGTCTTTCGTTCTTTCGTCCGATTCTCGGATCCATTTATCCAGCATTGCTCGATCACGGACCCTGAACCCGACCTTGAACGGCCGAGGGTCTAGAGTGAGCGAGGTCTTGTTGTCAGTGCACTCGATGGGATCGAGGACGGGATCGTCCGCCCTGTCTTTGGCGGGAACAATCGTAAAAGCGGAGATTATACGAAGGAATGCAGTGAATAGTTCCCGGTTAGCGAGATGTGAGCCGGCACACATACGACTGCCTGCGCCATATGCATAGTGCGGTGTACCCGCCCCATCAGAGACATCGAGATAGCGTTCTGGTCGGAATGCGAAGGGCTCCTTGAAGTGGTTGGAGTCGTAGTTGGCGGCGTACGCGTTCTATATGTTCATTGGTTAGCGTTTTCTTTCCTGGTTTAACGTGGTAAAGGGGAAGATAAAGAGGGGAATGCTTACCATGAAAAAGGTCGTGCCGGCGGGTATGACTGAGTCCTTCCAGGTGATGTCTTTGATACTGACACGAGGAAGGCAGATGGGAATCACGATGAAGAAGCGGAGGACTTCTTTGACCAGGGCTGTGATGTAAGGGACTTTCTCCTCAACAAGGCATTTCTCCCACGCATCTCCGTCCGGGTAGACCTTCATGATTTCTTCATAAGCACGAGCCTGGATCTCCTGGCCGTGCTCGGAGGCCAAGTATGCGATGCCCATGATCAGGTTTCCGGGGACAGTGTCAAGACCAGCGGACACCATGGTCAAACAAATGGATTTCCGCTCCGCTTAGCCCACAAATCAGTTTAGCAACGTTTTTAAGAGGCCTCGAGAATGTGTGTTCGACTCACCTTCGTTGAGTTTTGCTTCAGGGTCTTTGATGATGTTACCCGTGATGCACGGTTTATCAGTTCCCTTGGCTATACGGTCTGTCAGCATCTCGAGCAACTTGCTCATGTACCTGTCCCGGCGCTCCCTAAATTCGATCGACTGGGTGTTGCTGGTAGGCCATAGACGTAGGAGTGGAATATAGTCCTGCCAGTTGTTGCTGGTGCTTCTGAAATTGCTGACCGCACGCTCTACCGTGACGATCTCCTTTAATAGCTCATCGTCGATGCTGCCGTCAATACGGATACCGTAGTTGAGAGTTAGGCTGGTGTTCAGAGCGAAACGCTGGAAGTAAGGGTTGGGGTCGATATCGACTGCCCCGTCTTTGCTGTCCGCCAGCAGTTCCTTGATGCTTGTGGTTGACTCTAGGTCGATGATGGGCATATAAGACTGTACTGCGGGGCGGTTCAGCGCAGTTGCAGCAGCTTTGCGGCGTCTCTTGCACGACTCGTCCCATGGCGATGTTCCAATAGTGAACCCTTGCGAGCTAGAAACGACGGAGTGGAATGTGTGTAGCTTTGGGCGCGAGATCATGGACGACTGATGCGTTATCCACAGGTACTTGACCGAGTCGAAACTGTTGGCAAAGATCACTCTCTGTATTCTACGAATTAGCCCTCTGCATTAACTATAATTGCATGAAGCACACTCACCCTGTTGCCCAGTCGAACCTGGAAGACCGGGCCATACTGCTTCACCCAGGCGGCCGCCCGTTTGGCATGCGAGTCTCCCAGCTGGAGGAGGTTACCGAACATGGGAACCCCAGGTATCTCCGGGAGATTCTTGACTTTGGCAACATCGGTCTTGTTGAAGTACTTGAGGAGCAGGTAACCAATAGCCACCAGAGCTATCACTATCGTGTGGGCGGCCATCTTTTCATAAAAAGCGCAGACTATAAAATACCGCTTCAACAAGCTACCATTGGCATAACCAGCACCTTCGACTTCTTGAGACCAAAAAATTCGGGGAAAGGAGGCGGCCCTGTTTGAATATTAATATGTCTATCCCGGAAAGTAAGAAAAGGTGGCCACGTCCATTGGTGCCCGCCAGCATCCAGCTGCATCACCACAGCAAGCATACACACTTCCACTCCTCCAAAGTGCCGATTCCACATCAGCGAGCAAGTGATTGGACGAACATCTCCATGCAGCATCCCGTATGGTGCGGAATCTGTTCCGCCTCCACCTTTTGCCCCATGCCCCTTTTACCGTAGAGTAACTGGCTGGGGAATGGTTGGTTGGGCTCGGAGATCACGTCGAGGAAGTACAGTGGCTTTTTGGGTGGCCAGGGATGGAGGAGCGACGGACCTAACGTCCAGTGAAGCCATGGTTTTCGGGGAAGAGAGTCATGCTCGGGCGTTGGAGTATCACTGGGATAAGAGTCAAGGGGAGCTCGGAAAGCTGAGGATGTGTATCAAGATGGCTGGTCGGGGTGCTAGGAGCTGGGTGCAGTCTGCTACGACGCCTCTACCCTGAACACGATGCTGATGGCAATGGTAGCTGTAGATGCTTCGACCTCGCAGAGCATCCTGGATAACTAGTGACGATATAGCCTCTCAAGGTTAGATCTCCACATAACCCCTAGTTCTCCATCGGCAAACCACATAGCAAACTCCATCCATGGATGGTATAAGAATCAGCAGCGAACTCAAAAGAGTCTACGGTCTGATTCTGCATCATTTCTAGTCTCGGTCAAGGAAAAGTTGAGTTGCTTATTTGCGAAACGTGTTGAAGCTCTTTTTATGGCTTTCTCGGAGATATAAAAGTCGTGGCTGTATATGTGTACATAACTAGCACAATGCATAACTGTACGAGCATGCTTCGTATAACTAGGTCGTCATCCTAAAGATAATAGATCTCTCGGGCGTTTCGCCGAAGAGACGCCCTTGGGTTATCCGTATGGCTGATGGCGTCCATGTAGCGGACAAGAGGCCGAGTTCAGCTAACGAGAGCCAGCCAGTTACACTAGTTCCATCTCAGCCCCCTCATAACGGTTTTACCGACGGGCTGGTGGCTATAAGTATGGACGGGCTGTTTTGGACGGACGTTGTTAGAAGATTACTAGTATAATAGAAAAACACTTACCATGACAAAGACGCAGTGGCAGGCCATCAGTGCCGCAAAGCAAGAGGCCTTGCTCGCCTCGATTCCCCCGGAATGGATGATTGATGCAGACATCCTGCCGCCAGACTCACAGCAAGACGTCTCAGCCTGGCCTGAAACCTCTGGATGGTTCGGCAGGACAGAACTCGAAATTACTTCTTCTCCAGCGGCCGTCATCCTCGAGAAGACGACTTCAGGGGCCTGGACGGCCGAGTCGGTTGCTCGTGCGTTCTGCAAAAGGGCCGCCGCTGCTCACCAGCTTGTATCTTCCCATATTCCCAAAGGAGAGAGATATCCGGACTAACGTGATATGCCAGACAAACTGTCTCTCAGAGATTATGTTCCTTGAGGCCATCAAGACTGCTCAGGCCCTTGATACCCATCTCGCCACTACTGGCAAACCGTTGGGACCGCTACATGGCCTCCCGGTCTCCATAAAGGATAACTTCAACATCGTGGGTAAAGACTCCACGCTCGGGTTCACTGCTTGGGTCGGCCAGCCGGCGACGTATAACAGTACCCTGGTCGATCTGCTGAGGAAGGCTGGCGCTGTGCTCTATGTTAAGACGAATGTGCCTACGGCTATGATGATTGCAGAGACGGTGAACAACGTCTTTGGTCGGACTACTAACCCCTTTAACCGCTTTACCTCGTCTGGAGGCTCGTCCGGTGGCGAGTCAGCCTTGATCGCATTTGGTGGAAGCCCCCTAGGTGTTGGAACTGATATTGGTTAGTGTCTTCACTACCTGTCTCTCATCAAATCCAACAAGGCTAAATCACACACATCCAGGTGGTTCTCTGCGTATACCCGCTGCTCTCACTGGTATCTTCACCCTTAAACCTTCCTTTGGCCGTTTCCCCAACTTCCAGACCAAATCGGGCCTCGCGGGACAAGAATCTGTTACTAGCGTCAACGGGCCTATGGCACGAGACTTACGCTCCATCTCTATCTGGGCGGAAGCGGTCGTCGGCTCTCAGCCCTGGATGACCGATCCCAAGTGTCTCCCTATCCCCTGGAGACAAGTCGAGATCAAGAGGAGTTTGAAAATCGGCATGCTGTGGAATGATGGCATGGTCCGACCAACTCCTCCCGTCAGACGAGCTTTGAAAGAAACCGCAGAGAAGTTAAGGCTGGCAGGGCACGAAGTTGTCGATTGGACACCGATAGGTCATGCGCAAGCTGCTGATATCCTGGTACGGTTATCTAGAACATACGATCTTCTACACAAGCCCTACCTAACATCACCCCTAATAGGACCGTTTCTTCCTCTCTGATGGCGGGAAATCGGTTGAAAAGCTACTTGCCATGTCTGATGAGCCTATTCGTCCAGAGATGGAACGATATGGCCGTGCAGTCGACCATGGCGTATATAACCTATGGCAGCTCCACAAGGAGCGAAATACACTGCAGAAGGACTACTTGGATCGATGGAACGCTTTAGACCTTGACGCCATATTAGGTACGCTCATACCATTGCGTCTTAGAGAGCTGTATGCCGACTGACGTTAATGCAAATCCAGCCCCAACAGCACCGTTTGCTGCTGTCGAACACTCTAAATTCAGACACGTTGCTTACACAGGTGTATTTAACATTCTGGACTACCCCTGCATATCATTTCCTTGCAATGTGATTGTTGACAAGGAGGTTGATGTATATGCTGCTGGAGAGGTGCCATTGAGCAAGGAGGACTCCTTGGTACAGAGTGAATGTATGTTCTTCTCTTGCTGCCCTATTCTTATACCTTGCTGATAATAGATATAGATAACCCTGGTGTTATCCACGGAATGCCTGTCAGCCTTCAGCTAGTCGGGCGTCGTCTTGAAGAAGAGAAGGTAGTAAAGATGTGTGATGCCATTTTACAGGCACTATGACTATATGCTTCTGGAATACTTCGGATATAATTGGCTCATGTTACGTGTATTCTTGGAGTTAGTACCAGTAGACGGGATGGCAGCATTATGTACCACTATCTTTACCGAACATCCATTCTCATAACTACTAGGCAGGTGATTTAGTGATGAACTTTCCAGCATTTATTGAATCAACTAGCATCTCCACTACACGCTGTTAATTTTTTTTTAGGGAGCAAAAAGGGGCTGAGTGGTATCATCGATACCAAAGATCAAGACATAAGGGCGGAATATAAGGGGGGTGGGAGGTAAACCAGTTTCGCCATCGAGTGGCGAAGTTATTATAATCGGAACACGGAGGGATGAATATAGTAATCTGCTGCCATCTTGTTCTGTTTGCAATAGGGTGCTTTGGGCTGACAAGATGATATAAACACAGCTTTGGGTGGCTGCGTTGGGCTAGACCTGGGCTCTGGGGTTAGGGATGAAGGGTTGGAATACGAGAAGAGACACTGCGAACGGTGAAGAAGAGCGAGAACAAAAGGGACAAGCAGGTGGGGGAAAATCCACATTTTGCCTTAGAAAAAGATTTTTGGTAAATACACTCAGAAGGCAATCTCGAGTTTAAGAACTGGGGTTTGTGGTAGAAATATGGGGAAGAAAGGGAGGAAGAAAGTTGCGGAAAATGGAATGGGGAAAAAAAAGAAAAACGACGCCTGTATGAATGAAACCTGCTAGGGGAAGATGTTGATGCAAAGAAATACCAAAAGACATTTGGGGGTTACATGACTGTGAATCTTGTGTATCATGATATAACGTTCATTACAAAGGTAAAGAAAAGGGAATCAATGACGAGGGGGATAATATGGAAATAATATGACTGGGGAAAAGGATCAGGAGGAAAATGATGCAGGGAGATAGATTTCAGGACGGTAGCAGATGGGAAAAAAAAGGGGGGGAACATAAATATCATTTCTGCTGATGGTAGGACTCCGTCGAGAGCTAGGGAGGAAAACGAAATATTCGCCAACAGGATGGTCGACTATGTCTTTTACATATCCATGGAGTCGCCATTGGCAAAGTTGAAGGTGCCAGTAGACTGCTGGTTGGTGCCAAGGGCAAACCCGGTCTGGGTTTGCTGGGGCGCAAGCTCATCAATATCAGCACCGGCTTCATCATCATCCGAGAAGTATTTCTCGATGATGTTGTATGCCTTCATGTAGATCTCCTCGTTGGCATTGTTCTGGCTATCGTGGATCTTTTCCATGCCACCGGCCTCTTCAATGAAGAGAGCGTATCGGTTGATGTTGGCTTCGGGACCCTGGCCAGCCTCCTTGTCCATCTCGCCAACCTTGAGGATGTTTTCTAGACCATCGAGAGCGACCTGGATGATCTTGTTGTCTGGACAGGAGAGGAGATCGCAGAGGGGCTTGATGCATCCTTGGGAAACAAGGTACCGGATCTGATCTGGCTTCTGAAGACCACCGGAGGTTGCGTTGGAGATGGCCCAGCAGGCCTCCTTGCGGGTCTTGAAGTCTCCGTGAGAGAGCAAGTGAATCAGTGGAGGGATTATATTGGCGTCGATGACGGCCTGAATCTGTGTTGGGTTGCCAGCGGTGATGTTGGAGATGGTCCAGCAAGCCTCTTTGCGGATACCATCCTTATTTGAGCTCAAAAGTGAAAGCAGAGCAGTGAGGGCACCGCAGTTGATGATGACTTGGGTCTGGATATCGTCTCCGGTGACAATATTGCCCACCGACCGTAGGGCGGGGGTCTGGACCGATGTGGAAGCATGCATCAAGAGCTCTACCAAACGGCGGGGAATACCGGCCTCGATAACGGCCTGGATCTTGTCGTTGGGGCCATCAGAGAGATAAGAGATGGCCCAACAGGCATCGATAAGCACTTCGTCATCGAGCATGTAGATGAGCTTCGACAAGATTGGAAGAGCTGGGGCGATCTAGGGGTGGTTGTTAGTAAAAAAACATTGCCACTACAGAGTGTCCAAACAGTTATAAATGAAGGGCCAGAGGTTCACGTACGGTAGGCCAGTCTGGCTGGGGAGTCTTTCCTCTGCAGAAATTGCTCAGGGTCCAGGTGGCATTGCGAAGCATGGTCAGCTTTCTACCATCACCGAGCAAGGTGAGGAGAGGACGAAGAGCACCGGCACCGAGGACGAAGTCACGGCATTGCGGGCTGTCACCAGCAATATTTCCAAGCGCCCAGACAGCCTGCTCCCGTACATCAGGCTCATGGCTGCTGAGGAGCTCAACGAATATGGGGACAGCTCCGGCTTCGATGACTACCTGGGTCTGCTGCGCCGATCCAGAGGCGATGTTGGTCAGAGCCCAGGCAGCTTCGAACTGGACAAGAGTATGGGGGGATCGTAGGAATTCGACAAAGCGGCTGACCACGCCGGTTTCGATAACACGTTCAATTGGGGGATTCCTCTCCTTGGAGAGCAGTTTTCTGAACTTGGTGGTGGACTGAATCTGCAGTTCAATCTGGTCTGAAAACACACCTTTGACCATCTCTGGAAGATCCGCATCCAACTATACCGGAATACATCAGTTAGTCTTGCAAATAGAATAATTGCAATAGTAGCAGCAGTAGCAGTAGCAATGTCAATAATGATATAGCCCCCCATCGCAGTGGTGTCATGGAAAAAGTCGAGCGCCAGAGAGAGGACAGAGGTATGAAAATGAACGCAAGCATACCTCAGTTTCGATAGGACCAGGTTCATCGTCGCTGTCTTCAGGCATGCGGCCATCACCGACCCCTATTCCACCCTCGCGAGTGCCGATGCCTCTTCGTTTGGCGAGATTCTCTTCTCTCTTCTGCTTGCGGATCTCGACCTGCTGTTCCTCACGGCGACGACGGAGCTCATCCTGCTTAAAGGTGCCCTTTGCCTTGAACTGGGTACGACGATGCTCGGGGATGTAGCGTTCAGCCATGTTGGCGGCTTGATATCGATTCACACAGCTAGTTTTTTTTTGGTGGTGAGGGGCTGTCCCTGTTACAGATGTTCGAGCCTGAAGCGCGAGTCAGATAAGAAGTCAGCGTGAAGAAGAGAAGAGAGAGGACGAACAGCCTCAAAGAGAGCTAACCCACAGCCAGATATCGTTGAGAGAGAGAGAAAGAGAAAAAGTAGGTGGTAGAGAGAGCGTTTGCAGCGTGGGAAGTTTGGTGTGTTAAAAGAAGATGTTTTGGTCGATGGTGGGTTTGTTGATGGTTTTTTTTTAGGTGGGCTTTTGGCTTGGCTCTAACATCTGCTTCTAACCGCGCACTCGTTGCAGCAAGATGAAAGACTGAAGAGATGATCGAAAGATCAAGAAGAAGAGACACACAAACGAGGAATTGAGATTTTAGACGAGTCAGAAACCCATCTGAATGGTTGTCTGGCTGCGTTTCTACCATGGTTGACTCGAAGTTACAGTAACTACAATATACCACGAACGAGAACTCAAGCAAGCTGTTGATATACCGATAGAGGATGCAGCCACCTCATGGCTTCGATGTTGTTGCTACTGCGCAGTCCAAGTCGTATGGGCCGGTCAGTGTCATCGCCGTCGTGGTGGACGCTCTCAGGCCGGCTCCAACGGCCGGCGCGTCCTACATGTGTACCTTTACGGTCAAGGACAGCGATCTTGCCTCTGAGCCATGGAGAGGACTCAAGGTGAAATACTTCCATGAGCGCCAGGAACATCTCCCGGCACCAGAAGAAGGGGATGTGATTCTGCTGCGGAACATCAAGGTTGGTTTTCACGCTATATATATGTGTGTATCGTTTTTGACACTGCTATAAACCAGCCTAGTATTGTCAGAGGAGCCCGTATGTGTGTGTCTTCGCATGTTGACAACGTCTGCTGGAGTCTGTGGAGGAGACAGGGCCGGTCAGCCGTGTATCTGGTCAAGAACAAGCCTGGTACCTCTGGTCCCACTGCAGAGGAGAAAAAATATGCGTTGTGGTTGCTCAACAGCGGCTCTACGCAAGGTACTTCTCGGAGCCAGCAGAGCGAGGCTTCAATTCCTCGAAGGCAGCATACTCTAAGCCATGAGGCGACGACAGGTCTTCCGAGCCGCAAGTTTTGCCTGCTCAAGGATGCTGCGTTTTCCTCCTTTGTTGATATTACTGGCCAGGTGGTTAAAACGTTCATGGAAAATGATAAATTCCTGCTCTACGTCACCGACTACACCTCCAACAAAAACCTGTTCAATTATACCCTTCCCACCAAAAGAGATGATGACCACGAGTATCGCTACATAAATGCCCAGGGAAGTAGACAATGGCCTGGGCCGTTTGGCACGATGACCATCCAGGTCACCCTCTGGGATCCTCACGCTAGCTTTGCTCGGGAAAAAGTCAAGGTGGATGACTATGTCTCGCTGTGCAATGTCCATCTCAAAATGGACAGGTATTCCGGTCGGATGGAAGGGGCTCTTCATACTGATAAGACTTACCCTAACAAGGTCCAGGTATATGTCATCAACGACCACGACACTGATGCCCATGTCAGAGAGCTAGTGGAACGGAAACAAGCCTATTGGCGAAAGTTACGCACAGAACTCCCCAGTGCATTGGGAGAGGAGGAAGATAGTACACAAAAGCTGCCCAAGGAGAGGAAGAAACGGAGTACACCGGAAACTAAACAGAAAAAAGAGAAGGAAAAAAGAAGGACGGAGAAGCATTTAGATCAGCCAGAACTCTCCCGTCCGGTTCGTACTACAAGAGATGAGCTTAACCCTCATAGTATGGATTGCCCAGACCTACATGTATCATCATTGATCAATCTAACATGCATTTACAGTACGAGCATCATACACAGCCAAGCCTTGCCGACTGATCAGAGACATCTTAGATCCCGATACTCATACATTCAGGGGTCCTGACGGTGTCGAATTTCAGCTACCTTTCCAAAACGTTTGTTACCGCTCATCCGTCCGTGTGGTCGACTTCTTTCCACACAGCTTAGAGGATTTTTCCGTCTTGTATAACTTAGACAACGCAATACGTTCCCCAGACGGAGGAGACACATCCGACGATGATGACCCTGATGCTCGCCGGAAATGGGAATGGCGATTTTGTTTCCTTGTTGAAGACGGTGGTCCAAACACCCCGCCTCTCCCACGGGGGCAAACGCGAGAACGAATGCCGCTCTTTGTTTCTGGTTCTGATGCAGAGTTCCTTCTTAGGATGGACGCCGTGAAGTAAGTGGCCATGATCTCAGTCTTATCCCCTTGATATTAATGTAACTAATTTGTATCTATATAGTTTACATAACAACCCGGAGATGCTAGCCCGACTTCGGGAAAAGTTATTCCTTCTCTGGGGTGATCTGGAGGAACGAAAGAGTGCAGACATAGATGCATTCTATGCGGGACGGACAGATGCTGTCTCTGCAAAGCCGTTCATCTGCTGCATTAAGGAATATGGTGTCAAGACTAGAAATCGAGAAGCGTTTGCAGATAGTGACAAGGAATGGAACCCTCGTTCTTTAGGATGGGAACGACGTTTTCAAATGTTTCACACTACTATATTGTGATTCTTTCTTTTTCATCCTGGTAAGTTTGTTTCTTTGTGATATCCTAGGAGTTCTGCCACACTTCTGATCTACATAATACCCCTTTTGCGTTTGTTTAGACTGGTGTATGCAGTCACTTTCAGCCTCAGCATCTATTTATATCTATAATCTAGACGATATATAGGATAATCTGAGGTGGTTAAAGTCTATTTTTGAAGTTTCTGAAAGTTTAAAGGGTTGATTGATATGATTAACTAGCTAATAAATCTAGCAATTAAAAAATTGGCTTAATTGAGCGTAAAGTTGCATATAAAGAAACCAAATACAAACACCTCGACCATAAGATACACGAGATATGAACAGAACCCGAGCTATTAGACTGATAAAACCAAATGGCTTCCTAAAGAATGACAACTGATACTTAACTAAACAAGATATCGAACCCCTTTCAAACCTTGGTAAGCTTAACAATATTAGTATCAACACCATGGGCATCGGCATCAAACCGACAGTTTGATCCCCAATAGCAATCCTTCTTGCCAACCTCACTGAGAGGACATCGGTGACCGTAAATACAAGTGGCATCGTCACATTCGGTGCCGAAATGGCAAGGTGTCATCCTTGCCACCACTTGTAAGACAATTCGTTCTTGTTTTCCAAGCTTGTAGTCGTGTGTATGATAGCAATTGGGGTTGGGACAATCGCCCAGAAGGAAATATAAATTGCATAGTTTCAACTTCTTCACACGGTTTAATTCGTCTTTGGGTGCAGCTTTAAAATCAATTCGATCGACTCTCTGGCCGTATTTGTTACGTTCAATAACAGGTGGGGATGGGGTACTTGGCTTGGACGGGGTTAAATCTTTGAATGTTGTATTTGCGCTAGCAGCGATCGTTGACGCCCAAGTTGTTGGTGCGGTACCGCTGCTGCCAGATGTAGCTGAGGCAGCAGAAGTAGTAGTGGCTGTTCCGTTGGAATTAGGCGGAGTTCTGCTCACCGCTCGAGTATTTGACAGTCCCGTATTCGATGATGAAAACGAGTTTGCTGTGGTGCCAGAGCCCTCCCATGTATGACTAGGTAAAGTGACTATTTTTGATTCTCGGAATAGGTTGTCAAACTTCGTTACTCTATATGAGCCTATGAGCGAGGCAAGTTCTCTTTCAAACGGAAATCCCTCCAATAGAGTTATTCTTCTCGTTAGTTCTATATCAGCTAAATTATCTTCAAGGAGGCGTGCGTAGCCGTTATCGTGGGAGCAGCCCAAGAATATTTGCTGACAGTGGCAATTGAATAGATTCAACTTTAGAATCTCTAGTGGCGGAAAGAACACGTTAGCTTGTCGTCTAAAGACATAAACTGATAATGAAGGAAATAGGGTCGGACAGTATACCTGCAATTTTATCGTCTGCTCTATCCTTACCGCTCCCAACATCGACAAAATCAAAGAGCAATCTGCCCCCATTAAATCCACGAACAAAAGCCTCTAAAATAGAAGGCTTATCAATAATTCCAGCTCTAAAGAGCGTTTCACCTAAACCGCGGACATTCGCATATATTCTTGCCACGATCTTGGGCGAGTGTATGTTGGTGAAGGTCTCGGAAGTGTAGTCACGGATAGCTAACCAGAGCTGATTCGCGGCATCTTTCCCACCTTGTTCTCCTTGCTGAACCAGTGAATCCTGAAATATCATGCCATCGCCATCTATAAGTGCAATCACAAAAGGCTCTTGGCCCTATTTGAAGATTGGCTATTAGCTTGGGATGAATGCCATTGGAATAAAAATGTCCTGGAGGGCACAGGTGTACCATGGCGGATTTGAACCTCGTCAGCTGTTCCATAAGCTCCATTTCGTGTATTTGCACTTCACGATTAAATTTGGCTTCCCTATCATGGTCGAGTAGCTTTTGTCGATAAGCATCTTCAAGCTCCGTAATTCTATTTAGTAAATCCTGCAAGAATGTCGAATTAGAATTCAACGTGCCAACTGAAAATTGTTGTAAAGCATGGTGCCAATGTAGGAATCCAGAGCCAAGGATACTAACCTCTATCAGATGATTTTTGGTTTGCTCAATGGCTTTCAATTGCTCGTACCGGTTGAAGAACTCCTGAGCAGACATCTTCAGTGATTTACAAAAGAATATATTAAAGACAGGAAGGAAACAGAGAGAGAAAATGTGGGCACTGAAGATTTATCTAGATCCCCAGAGTCAACACAATAAAGGGGAAAAGGGAGGTTCCCAGTGGGTGGTAGTGGTATAAAGAACGATGCTGCTATCCTCCAGGGCGCTTGCATTTTCCGTTTCAAAAAAAGAGATGAAGCGCGCTAACGAAGCCGCGCGGGTAACCGTCTGCTGACTCAGCGATATTGATTTTGTATACGTGGAGAAAAATGCTGGAAAAGCCACACGAACACTACAAGCAAACATCGCACCGAAACTCATCTTCACCACATTCTTCCCCGTTCTTTTCTTCTCTGTCGTTGCCGTACTCCTGGTACAGCTTCTGTCAGCATGGGCAAATTCTCCTTTCTCTCCCTTGCGCTCCTCGCAGCCCAATCCGCCTTCGTCAATGGCCAGGGATCTGTATGTTAGCATATATATCTAAACCCAGACGTCATTTAGCAATTGGCCATTAGCTAACGGCAGTAGGCTAACGCTGAGGAAAAGACGGAGGCTCCGGCTGACATTCCCAAGCTGGGAGTGACAGTATCAACCACATTCCCTAAGGCTGAGGTGTTTGGCGTCAAACTCGTCAATGGCCAACCTACCGAAGCGCTCCTCCAATTCTCTAACACTGACCCAGAACCGGTGACCGTAACTGTTATCGGAGGCTCTCTTTGGACTATTGAAGCCCCAGGAAAGCCATCCATTAATATTCGAAACCTCACTGCCACCCCGTACGGCATGGACATCCCAGCGGGAGACCAGATCACCCTCCCTTATATCTTCACGAATGAAATGCACCCTCAAGATTTGACATTGAACCTTGCTGCTGTGATCAGTGATAGCAAAGGGATCATGCATCCGATCACTGCCTACAATGGTACCGTCAGCGTCGTGGAGCAAGATACTAGCATTTTCGACCCACAAGTGTAAGCATCAACCGTTTTGAATTCTGTTATACATATCGATAATATTTATTTTATATCCATTGGTCGCTAATATACCTGTTCATATAATAGTCTTTTCCTCTATGTCTTCCTTCTGGCTTGCTCAGCGGGATCTGTGTATTTCTTCTATACTCTCTGGATTGCGCCTTACTTCCCCCAGAAACGCAAGGGTGGAAAGGGATCGGATCGCCCCCGAAAGTCCGCAGGTGTCTCGTCCTCCGTAGATGCAGACCCGGCCTCTGCTACTGACGGAGCCCCTTCGACGAAGACATATGACACCGAATGGATTCCGGCCCATCATATCAACAGGCCCGAAGCCCGAAAGGTCAAATCCGGCTCTGGCCGGGCCAAAACTCGAGGATAAGCATATTTTCTTGGAAGTTCGGTTTAAGGCTCTTGGGATATTAGGAGCATATGCTTGGATTGCTTTACAGCGGGCGAAGAATGCCACATCTTCCCCTAATGTACTTACAGCAGTATCTATTAGATTTGGCTGTGATTCATGCTAAATCAATATTCTAATGTATATTACCTTTTTATTTGCACTGATCTAGCCAAATATTTAACCCCCAGAGGGTTACGCCGTTTGCTTAAAAACTGACATGACACGATGCATGAGCATTCGTCTATTCCACTTTTTTTTCCTCCCAGAGGCGAACCGAAAGCACCTATCCAATAGATTACCTTGCATGGAATGAGACCCAACAGTAGCAACCAATCCTGTTTAAAAATCCTGGCCATTAAGCAAAACAAGGTGACGAACAACTTCAATGACTTCATCTTCCTCCACATTGAGGCCAGGGTTATCGATTTTTCGTCTCAATACCTCATCAAGCATCATTCTCAACCTAGAAATCAGAACTCCAATCCGAGCCCAACCTCTGAGTCTAAGCCATTCATCAACCAGTACGCCTCTACCAAGCGTGTCCAGTGTCACTTGCCCGGTGAATAATAGTAATGCATAAGAGTTAAATGCTATTCGGATTGGAATTAGTTGTACACGCTCAGCACCTGGGATAAGAAGAAGTACTCACGCGTCACATCTCGAATGAAGACTTTGCTCGTCGCCATTTTGGTAAAGTAACTCACGTACTGTGCAGAACCCGAAAATACTTGCGCATCAAACAAGGTTGAGCTAGGGTGCACAAATACTCTTCCATTCTCTTGGTTAAAGTATTTGATCGTACGGGCTTCGGGGTCAAGCTCGATCGTCCCTGTCATCGAAGCAGCGAATTTCTTCTCAGGGAACGAGATCGATGCAATCTGAGGATTGAAGGCACCCGAGATCAAAGCACGGATCAAATAAGTATTTTTGTCGTGACGATTCCATCGACTCTGACTTTCAGGGTCCTTGTAATCTACAGGAAGAAGTGCAGCATCTTTCAATGACCCAAGGAGCTGAGCTCGATTGGATGAGATATCCTGTAGAGTTTGAGGAAGGAGAAAGTTGTCCCGGCACCATGTCTGGGCTTTTCGGTAGCCCTGCTCTCGAACCTTGTCCACCCACTGTTGGTATGCAGCTAGGTCGGTAAGAAGGTCCCCATCTCCACTAGAGAACGAACTTCTAGCCTCCTTTGCCTCTTCACGGGCTTCCCTTGGGCTTGCAAAAGGGCTCTTAACAGTTAAAATAGCAGCGATGGTAAGGCATGCTTCAATGCATCCGAATATAACGCCATAAACCATTAATTTGGCACAGCGCAAATCCGCTGGAATTATTGACAGACAGCGGCCGAGAGCTGTTAGCTGATCATTGTCAAGAGCTCCCATACGGTGAAGCATGTGCAGAGCTCCGCCCACGGCAACATTGTCTGGAGGAGTAAGAGTGTTTGCAAGAAAGCCGGGTACGTTTTGAATCCCTCTCATCGCCTTTACGGAAAGGCAGAGTTGTTCAAGTGGGACACGCCGAATTTCCGGTTCAGGTCGGGAGGCCATATTCTGTTCCGCGTTTCGAGTGTATAGTTTATAACAGGTACCATTACGCACACGTCCGGCTCGACCTCGGCGCTGTTTACAAGCTGCTTGGGATGCCCAAGTTTCTTCTAATCGCACTATGTTGTCGACAGGGTTATATCTCGTTTCTTTCACCCGACCGGTATCTATTACCGCTACAATATCATCAATTGTAATGGATGTTTCTGCAACATTTGTGGCCGCGATTACTTTTCGTTTTCCTTGTGGAGGTGCATAGAAGACTCGCTTCTGTTCGCTGGGGAGCAGTGAGGCGTGTAGGGGTAGTAAATGGGCGAAATGAAGATGCCTCATGGAAGATAAACACCGATCTATTTCCATAGTTCCTGGTAAGAAGATCAGGATGCCACCGGGTTCGTCACCCAGCTGGGAATCAATATGCTGCACGGTGCTTGAAATGAGGTCGTAATTGATTCCACCCCCAAGTCTCTGGATGGTTTTGCCCAGAGATGGCTCGTTTTCATCTGAGTGTTCATATGGCATATTTGAATCAAAGCCAGTATTTCGGAGGATATCATCAAGATATATATCGTCGACAGGGAACGTTCTGCCAGGAATTGTGACTCTTCCCACCTGTTTATCTCCGCCAAAATAGTTGATAAACATATTGGCATCAAGAGTGGCACTCATGAGGATAAGCTTAAGGTCCTTTCGGATTTTCAGCGCTTCCTTTAGCACAGCAAGAAGAAAATCAGTATCCAGGCCACGTTCGTGGACCTCATCAAGAACCACATGGCTGATATCAGCCAAAGCCTCAACCACGCTTTCACCAGCCGTTTGCAGACGCCGCAGCAAAACACCGGTTGTCATGAATGTGATTTTAGTTACACCTTGTGTAGATTTTGAATCTCCCCTGATAATGTATCCAACATCATCACCAACTTTTGAACAACGCTCTGCACTGACCCGATCAGCAAGGCCGAGGGCTGAAATTCTTCGCGGTTGCGTACAGACAATGTTTGCCGACGAACCAAGGTCTCGCCGGATCAAGTCATCCAATATAAACTGGACGCACTGTGTACTTTTTCCACTGCCTGTCTCGCCAGAAACTATTGTGACCTGGTGCGAGTACACCTCATCCAGAATTTCATCTTGAATATCCCACGCTGGCAGAGATTGCCTTGCCTTGAGCATATTTTGTTGCTGGGGTGTTGACTGTTTGGCTTCCCAGTTACGTCGGATGTCATCGCTTCCTGGACCCTTGGGTCGAAACTCCATTCCTCTAGTCGACTTCGATTTTGTGTCAAAGGTTCTGGATGCCTTGCCTTCATTATTCACATTATCGCCAGACTCAACGGATATGCTTCGTAGTTTCCCGGGGTTCTCTAAAATACGGCGCAGGTTCTCATTCAGCCAGTCAATTATATTAAATATCATCGGCTCTCCTCCGAGATCAGTCAGTGCATGCTGTACAGCCTGCCTCGTTGCACTCAGTCTAATATAAGCAGGTATTTCCTTTGTGAGAATGGCCACAACTGGGGGGGCTGCCGGGTAAGTAGCAATAGCCGGGTTCCAGAAGGAGTATGTGACAGTTGGCAAAGACTCGGTCTCCGACGTGACTTGACATGCATTTTCAGACAGCCGCTTATACTTGGTATCAAAAATAGCTTCTAGAGTTTGGTGTTCTTCCTCCCAAACGGCATTAACATTATTTAGAGCACCAGGTTTAGTAGCGAGATCTTGACTGTAAATTAACATATGCTGAAGGGCTTCAGCAGCGAGTCGTTCATCATTCCCATATTTATCAAGAACTGAGCAGCACAAGTCTGCTGAGTATCCGGCAGCAGTGAGCCGTTTGATCTTAGACTCTCTCACAAGGTCATTGCTTGCCAATGTTATGCCAGCAGTATAGCCTTCCGGTAGACTCCACGGAGGAAGATCATCCTCTGGTATATGGATGAGTAGCCACTCAAGAGCCTCCTCTCTATCTTTACATTCCGAAAGTGCTTCCTCAACATGGCTCTTTCGAAAACCAAGTTTGGTGAATTCATCCACCATGCTCTTTTTCCCAGCTTCAGATATCTCAACCCTATATGGGTTCCAGATGGCTCTTCGCCGAATAAGGTCCTCAACTCTTCCACGAGCTTTGTCACCCATGTCAATTTTTGGTGCCTTTAGCCAGCGACCTGCTGTACTACCATTACTCCTACCCTCAGTAGATGCGATCCCGAGTTGAACGCGATCTTCTCGTTGTTTCGATGATTCCTTTGCTTTTTGCTCCTTCCGCCGTGTAAGCTCAGCAGCCGCGTTATTTCTTTCCTGAAATGTGGTGAAGGGATCAGCTTCATACATCCACCCATTCCCGTTCTTCACATCATCTGCTTTGAGTGTTGCAAATTGGTCTTTCCAAAGATCACGGAAGGTTGGCGGCATCATCATGTGTAAATTTAGCCTGTTGCATACTAGGAACAGAGTGTAGGCGGCAGCAAAGTGACGGGCCTCCACAGCTGTTGGCTGCACACCCAGTTTCTTATGTGAGGGCGGCAGTCGAAATGGTGGTAGAGTCACTGTTTCGTTCGTCTTCGGGTTGACTTTTTTCAATATGACGCCTGCTAGAAACCCATCTGGAGTTTTGATCTATTCCGTCAGCATCACAAAGATCAAAAGTAATAGCACTTGGAGATAACAATAATCTAAATAACCTACCGTTGTATACTCAGGTTTTACCCACTTTTGCTTTTGGCAATGCTCTGAAAGCATGTTTACAGGTAATTTCCCCGTCCATGACGCGCCTCCTACAACCGCCCTCACAGAGGGCTTCTTGGGCTCTTCTGAGTTATTTGATGCCTCTCCTCCAGCATCTTTCTTTTTGGACTTGGCTCCAGCTTTCGTCTTTTTAGCCTCATTTTTGTCGCCAGCAGCAACAAAGTCAGAAATAGAAATCTCTGCCGGCTGCGAGCCTGAGGTCTTCTTGGGCCCAACACGATTTCCGCCGCCCCTTTTTGGGCCCATGATCTCGAGAGCACAACGAAGAATCGGCTGCCGTCCGCCAAAATATTCAACTGTGTTTCTTGAAGGCGAAAGTTGTGTCGCGAATTTAGGCGTCTTAGTCAGCCGTCGATAAGGCTCGCTCAAGAACTCCAATACTCCACCACAGCTTGCGAAGAAGCTTAGTTAGTCCATGATAAGGAAGAGCAAAGACAAGAACCAGAAAAAGAATGCACTTGACCCTGTAAACACCACTAAATATACAGTAATATCGCATAATCTGAAGCTGTGCTTTAAAGCAACATTCCTGCCAATAACTCCATCCGTCGGAATCGTCATTCGTCAATACATTTCCCTTATCTTACTCCTCCTAAACGCCAAAACCACCCAAACTTTAGAAACATTAGCAGCATAGAATCTCATCAAACATGCAAAACACCAAGTAAAGCCAACCAGGGAGAGTAAGCGTTGAGGAAAAAAGAAATAAAAAAAAAGGCCAAACGGCGAGAAACCACTTGTACCAGAAAGTTTACAGCCCTATCCCCAGGATGGGAAGATGATATTGGCAAGACCGTAGGAATTGGGCAACATTGTTTGCATCTCGGAAATTGAAGTACTTCGTGAGCTCTGCAGTGAGCACCACCCGGTAACACAAGGGCTATCAGACTTTGACGTAGAAGCTTCACTGGCGGCGATAGAGTTGCTGTCACTGTATTGGAAAGCCGGGAATAGAGACGGGATAAGCTTTGATAAAGGGATTCGAATCATTGGAAGACAAGCACATATGATGGCTGTATTGGCTTCGATAGTCGTCCATAACGTAGATAGTGCTGTTTCTTCATTCACATCGCTTGCTTTAGATGATGTGTTAAGGGTAAGCATCCTAGTAATTGAAGTTCCACAAACACTAATTAGCAACAAGTGTTAGCCAAAATAACTTTATGTTGTAGCATAGAGTAATGGTGGAGATGGAACATACAATACACCAAGGGCAAATACCACAATCAGTGCAAGCTTTTGTCTTTGAGGTAACTTCAGCCCCTTAATGACCGGCATAGGGAGTATGAGGATCATAACATCTGTCAAAGTATGCAACGCAGCATTCGCGTACCAGAATGCCGTAAGATTAATGCAAGAACCAGGAATTGCTCTACTCCAGGCCTTGGGAATAGGGTCACACTGGAAAATTGTGACTAAAAAGGTTGCAATTGTGTAGAGGATTATGTAGATGAATAAGATGTCACAAATGAGTTTGAATCGAAACCTTTCGGTGTCGAAAATCTTGCGATAGAGCAGGAGAATTGACAGTTTTGTCATATTTATAGTCACCCTATAAAGCATCTGGAGAGCGAAATACAACTATTATAATAAAGAGAGTCAGTGTAAACATACACACAAAGATATGATAACTATGGACAACTTACTTCAAGGGCCGTTTGCAGATCGCTCTTTGAGACTTCAGATGAAGGACGGCCATAACCATGATTGACAGCTTCTTAGAAGTTAGATATACGGAACCGTAAAATATTTGTGAACACGTATAACATGCCTACAATATTCACCGTGTTCATCGCCACGCAGATGACCTGGCATTATTATTCCTAGTGAGCGATCGAGAGCAACCAAACGAGCTGGTGGAGACTTACCAATGACCCGATGATAACATAGTCGTCTGATGCCAGTTTCTTGCTTGTTATCAAACGAACAACAACGCGATTCAAGACAAGGGCAATGGCAACGCTGGTCATCACAATATCTATGGTTACCATGCTAGAAGCCGGTCCACCGAGTCCAAATGAACGCGTTGAGAGGAGAACGCGAGGCGTAAAATGGTCAAGGATCGGTGCCATCGCCGAGCTAGAGAAAAAAAAAATGTACAAAAATATGAAAAAGACGGTGCTTAGCAGAAGCAAGAGACAATGCACAGCTGGAAGAAAGAAAGAAATAGAGCAGAAATTGACAGAGAGTAAAAAACAAAGAGCAACGTGAAGATATTAAGTGTTTTAAGGAGGGATGTAGTGGAAGAAAGATAAGAAATAGTTCAGGACATAAAGGGAAGTAGAAAAGCCAGGCGTCACGTAGACAATTTGTTAATCCAATAAAAAGTAGAGATATAATATTGGGTATATGAACGCGTGAGTCCAGCACACGCCAGCCACAGTAAAGAGAAGAATCAAGAAAGTAGGATGGAAAAGAACATCAAGCTCATCCGGTGAGTTTGAAGATAAAAACGGAAGGGTGAGTAGATAAAGACTAAGAAGAGCAACTCTGGATATGAACCATTACATATTTATCATAACCCCAGCTATCCTCTGCAGTTGGCTGGAAAGAGGTTTATTTCCATAATAGCAAAAGCCCTTTCAACGTTTCTAATGAAGTTGACACAGCGAGGTACAGATCTTCTTGCTGTAAACAAGGAAATGCAGGTATGGGGAAATGGAGCCACACGCATAGAAGGGTATCTGAAACATGCGCTCGGATAGATTCGAAGAATTGAGATATAGGAATGGTTTCGTCGTTCGTAGGAAATAAGAGATAAATAAGGCGTACGTTTGAAACAGGCACGCATGCCATGGCTAGGGCCGATCCGCAGTAATGTAGCAAATTAACAGGTTATGGGAACCCACCACCAACGTTGGGCATAGATAACGGGGTCTGTCGCGCCAAAGTTGCTTCCTTATGCAGATGAGTAGCCTCGGGGGCCACTGTGTTTTTCTCTATAAAGGATCACCCTCCAAGCCATTATCTGATACTGGCGAGCTGAGGAACCAATAGTAACAAGTAAATGAGAGGCCAAATATTCTTATTCTACCCTTCCACAAGAGCTGAGGATATAAAGTCCTAGATAATGGGGGGTATAAGCTGACTTGTGTTACCGTATGGGAAGCCTGAACACGATGGAGGCACCCTCAAAGCCGTTAGCAACGGATAATGTGATGCTTTAAACCAACTATTATCCGGTTTCATCGAATAAAAGCAAATTGTATATATACAATTGCATATTAGCCAGTAAGAATAATCAAAATAGATTAAGGAAATAAAGGAAAGTGGCCTTGTATACATAGTATGCAGAAAGGGTCCTGCTCAGCCTTAAACTCAGCGCTTGCATAGAGACGTTCAAGACGAGCAAACCATAAATAGATCACATCACGCTAAAAATCTCGCTCCTAGCTGAGTTCTCAGTAAATAAAGGGCAAGATATAAGCTCATTGGTCAACCCGTAGATACGCCTTAAATGTAGCCACCACAATGTTCTCTTACATCTTTGTTCTTCTGACGACGAAGAAAAGCATTTGGTTGGAACAAGGAGTGTCACATGACTATCACATGATGCCTTTAACCTTCCAGGCGGTACAGCGCCAAGAATAAATATACGGCCCCGATGTCAACCTTAATTTGTGAGGGGATATAAAAGCTAGATTAACACTTCAGAAAAGACTGCCAGTTCGTGCTGTCGACTAAAGGCGCAGTTCCTTCAATAGGGAAAATGCATTATCAAATGGGCTTTGACTTGAGGTATGAGAATTGAGGGTAGAGAGAATTCCAAGCTATTAACCCTCTTAAGACAGAAGTATATAATGATGAGAAGCATCCTGCATTTATTCCTGCGCTCCTAAGATCTATGAACATCGTATTCCATAAGTCTTGTGGGTAGTTTCTAACCTAATACCCTTTTAAACAGGAGGTTGAAACTATCTGTGGGAACCTTGTTTCCTAGACCTTCAGCATCAAAAGTACAATTTACAACATGCACGGATAATAAAAGCGGAAGGTAATCGATTCTGTGCAGTGGCGAATTGTATGGAAGTCTAAGAGCTTCAAGCTAGCTCTGTAAATCCCTTCTCTTTCTCGCGTGCCTCTGTAAAACTGCAACCATCTGTCCGGAACACTCTAATAGTTCGCACTCATCATAATTGGTGTTGTGAACTTGTATTCGCAACGGGGTCTGCTGAGGTTTCCCTGGAAGGGTAGATATAATATATACAATATTGAACCGGTGGCATACAAAGGTCCATAATGTATTCGGATGATAAAAACCCTTCACTACTGGCTAGGTGAGTACCCATTCTCCATTTAGAACCATATATTGAAGCCCCGATCTCATTAGTAGCAGTAATAGTAGCACCGGCAGTTTTTGTAGTAGTAGGAAATCCAAGAGAACCGTGAGAGGTAGAAGCAAGAATTTTAAACACATCGCTAATCTTAATCTGAACTAACCCGCAACGTTTGCAGTAGCAGCGGCTGCTTGAATAGGCTCAAAGAAGCCGACCAAAAATGACGGTCGCGATGTTGGGGAGAAAGCAGATAGAGTGAGGTAGTCAGCGCAGCGGAAGCATATGGACAAGACAGAGAGACATGTCCGATGAAGTTCGATGCGGTCCAATTTAGCGAGCTTTACCTAGTTCAACGATCTGCTGTGCCGCTATAGTTCTTAGAGTAGCTCAGCTAACCCTGTAGAAAGTTGTCGAATTCTGCCCGTCGGCCAAAAAGGCGAGCCCACGTTGATTTATGGCAGAGACTAGTTATTAATTGTTGACATGGGTGTATTGGCTTCACCGCATGCTCTCTGATGAATAGAGTTAGTATTTAACTGCCACTATCGGTTCCCTGCATTGCGGACCGGTATAGAATAGTGGTACCATGTCATGATGTGTAGTGAGGACCACAACAAAAGATGGCTAGGGGAATATAGATCGGTGTCTAGGTATTGTCCAGACGGCCTTTAAATACTCTACTTATGACTTGGTTGGCGACTCTTCTTGGAAAATTCCATAAATCCGGGTTGAACAAGCTCGCACACCCTAGAAGGGTAGTCTCTTGCCACTATTTCATAGCTCTGTATCTGGGATGCTTGCTTGTTTATCTACTCAACGGGTATTTAGACCTTTTCAAGAGGAATTTGGGGAATTTAAAAAGTACCTGTTCCACCCATGAAGGCCTTGCTTGCCTATCTAGGCTCTCTATGTATCCACTGTACGTTGGATAGATGGCTTGGGCTTTTCTTTCGCCTTGCTTCGGACAATGAAGTTATTAGAGGGATATGGACTAGGGTGCAGCGGGCGAACCAAATATCTCTGGTTTGAAACAAGATTGAAGTTTCTAGGAGATATATTTTCAATAAATAGGTATAATGTCGATGAAGTGAAGGCGTAGTATATTCACCACAAGGCTTATGGTCGAATGAATATATGTTTGCTGAATAATGAAGCTGTTGGAATGTACGTATGTAGCCACTTCACCTTGGCTAAGTATTCAGAGGATTGCTGGAATAGGAGATCTTCAAGTTGTATTCACTCCATAGCTATAACCAGTTAATTATTATATACCTTGGGTACGAAGTACTCCGTACAGAGTAGTTAATATCAAATGGCAACCAGTTAGTAGCGGGTTGGTGATTCAATAAATTTGAGCCTTCGGCTTGCAGGGCCAGGGGCCAATACGATATGATATGATGCTGGCCTTTTCTACCACGGTACCCCTTAGAGATACCGGAGAATATCGCTAGAGTTCAGGTCACAACGCTTCAAGAAGGAAAGGAATGATTACTTTAGTGGCAAGCAGATGGCCGTGGGAAGCCCCTGGCTTCTATGTACGGAGTACCCTATGTGAACTTGTACATATGAGTCGGCGATTCGAGGATGGCTCGGAAACAAGTCAATGTGGAAACGCTACGCATAAGCCCTGTCAGGCCAAGTTTCATGCAAAACAATGCTAAGGTTAACGGCGGGAAGCTTGGCTGTGCAGGGCCTGGGACCCTTGTCATCAATATATAGATCCTGCAATTGATATAGATGATGGGCATTAGCTATACGTCAAGCCAATATTAATGACAAGCTGATAAACACGGCAAGCTGGACAATCACTCGTTTGATCATTCTGGAGCCTATTCCCCCATTAATTAGACAAGACAAGCCGTTTGCGGCCGGACTCCATGGCGCATCTCAGGCAAAACTGTCAATGCACTATCGAAGCACAACTTCTTTCTAGATGACTCTAAACATAAACTTACATAGTATAACCAGCTAACCCTTATGTATCCCAGGTGCTCTAAAAAGTATACGGTACACTTCGCACCATGGTAGTATGGACACGCAAGTTTATCACCATACACTAAATAATGAGATCGCCATCATCTGCCACAGTCCCCTGCTAACCCGGGGTTTGATATGGGGCAAGAAAAAACTGAGATCGACTCATTTGGAGCTCTTGGCCGGGGTCAGGGAACGGCAAATGATGGATTCCAAACTGATCGACACTCTAACCCGGCTTCTGCGAGTATGAGTGAGAAGGCTTGAATATCGCCATGCATATAAACATGTATATGCCCTTGTTGCCCACTAGATATAATACTCGTAAATCTGGAAGAGAGCGGGAGAGAAAGAAAATCCGAATTGAATCCATTGCTGCTGGAAACCTCGAGGCTGCCCAAGATGCAGCGCTTCAACCCCCTTGGCATCTCCTGCCTAGCTACTCTCCTGACTACCTACCTCGGCGCAGTATCAGCACAGTCGGCTCCTGAACCGAGCCTCTGGCCGCTGCAGACGTTCCAGAGCACAGATATCCAGACACCCTTCTTTAACGTCACAAAGAAAGGCCAAACGGAACCTGGACTCATCTTCTTCAGTCCCAGAGATACGCGGCGGAAGATTGGACACCCCGCTATCTTTGAGGATAATGGCCAGGTTGTCTGGAAAGGCCCGGACGATGCAAGTACCTATGGCTTCAAGCCGCAGCTGCTTGACGGGAAGCCTGTAATTGTCAGCTGGTTTGGCTATGTCAACGATACTGGTTTCGGGCTAGGAGCTATGAGCATCTTTGACAGCTCGTATGAGAAGATCCATGAGGTTACCCTCCCCGGCGACGGTGATGACTACTACAAGACAATCTATGAGCCCAAGACATTCCCATCCTACATGGACAACCACGAGGGTCAGATCACCGAGCAAGGAACCATTGTCGTGACAGTTGTCAATGTCACCGAGGCAGACCTTCGTCCCGTTGGCGGACCTGAGAAGGGCTGGGTCGTCGATGGAGGCTTTTACGAGATCGATATCAAGACCAACGAAGTTCTCTTCCGCTGGAGTGCTGCTGAACATCTCGATGAGATCCCAGTCACCTTCTCTCGCAAGCCACTCGAGGGTGCCGGAACTTCTTCAAAGGACCCATGGAATTACATCCACATCAACTCCGTCCACAAGTCTGGTGACTCTTATGTCGTCTCCTCCCGATACTCATGCAACATCTTCCTCATCTCCAAGGAAGGCAAGATCATCTGGCGGCTCAACGTAAGTTCTCTTTCTCTCCCATAGCCCCGCCCCTACTCCATCTGCTAATCTGTTTAAACACAGGGCATAGACGGCGGCGACTTTGAGCTAGGCCCTGGAACCAACTTCTGCTACCAGCACGAAGTCCGTTTCGTCAGCCACACCGTCGACAAGATCACCCTGAGCACCCACAACAATGAAAACGCAGACTTCACGCCTGCCAACGAAACCAAACCGACAACCGGCCTCGTTCTCGACCTTGATCTCAGCACCAAGAAAGTCAGCTTGAACCGCATGGTATGGAACTCGGAGCGCCCTGTCGTCTCTCGGGCCCAGGGGAGCTACCAAATCCTTGGCAACGACCACATCCTGATGGGCCAGGGAGCCATCCCTGTGATCGAAGAGTACGACGCCAACGGCGCAATCGTCATGGACGCCCGCTTTGGCCTCGACAACACAGTCACTTCTTACCGAGCCTACCGCAGTGCCTGGGTTGGGACCCCGAAGACCAAGCCAAGCGTCAAGGTGTGTGGCGCCGACCCCAACGGAGCGGTGGTGCTATATGTAAGCTGGAACGGAGCCACAAACGTCGAGGCATGGAAGGTCTATTCCAGCTCTGACTCTGGAGAGCAAGAGATAGCCACCGTGCAAAAAAACGGGTTTGAGACGAGGATGGAGCTGCAGATGGCTGGCAGCAAGTTTGTGGTCCAGTCAGTAGGAGGACCAAACGACGGTGTCAAGTCTGACGTTATCACAGCTGAGAACTGTTAGACATGTGTATATACTGCTTTACGACTGTAATATGTTTTCCTGTTATTCATACTTGTTATAATATTAGTTGTTGAGATGTTTTTATGTCCATCGAGGTGTTTTCTACTTGGTGCTGACTAATCTCCAACTACCTGTCAAAAGAAGATTCCCGAGGTCGCTTCATTCGCACATGAAAGGCTCGATACTAATCCATGGATGGGATTGGGATTGGGCAAATCGCGATAACGAGAGGTCCTTATATATATATATCAAGCCCTCGATCTTCATATGAAGCCCCGTTTTATCTACTTCCCCTTTGTCCGATCTCCCACCTCTTTATCTTACTGATTGGTGACGAGCTACTGCTAGCGACCAACTAGTTCAACAGCTAAAAGACTCTTATCACCACCGCGCTCTCCGCCATAAAAGAAAGAGGCCTAGAAGAGACCTCAGGCAGGAGACAGACAAGTATGCTGCATGTTCTCGGCTGAATCAGGCTTCGAGGTTATCTAGTGGTTATATGGGGGGGGGTCCGGGTGGTGTTATAACCCGGGTTACTACGTACGTTATGCCAAGCCGCAGTGTAACCGATTATGTAAGCAGTTATAGCTTTATTGCGTATTACCGCCACTCAGGCCTCTTAGCCCAGCTCTGCTCTACTCTGCTCTACTCTCTCTACTCCCCCCCCCTGTACCCCTGTATATTTCGTACATACAATGGGCTAATGCGGCCAAATAAGTGAACAGATAGGTATTTACCTTACTATATACCGCATACCCTATTTCCGACCTTTATATTACCCCCTTTCCTCGTCCAGAATGGACCGTGCAGACGGCAGCATGAGTGCCCTGGACCGGCAGTCCAATATCAACGTTGCCCTGTTCGAGAACCAGGAGCGTACGCTCCTATATACCCAAAAGAACCGGCCTAAGAATACGCAGATCGCGTACAGTGCCCGGCAGGAGGAGTGGAGAGTATATACTTCCCTTTCTTACTACTATCTCCCGTCTCTTATCCCCCCGGCCTGGCTCCCTATCAGGCTGATATATATATATCCTTATGTCCCACTGCCGCATGTCTACAGGCTGACTGTACGGTATATCGATCGATTCCAATCCCAATAGGCATGGTGCCAAAGGGTTGGATTTGCGGACGGAGAGATTGTGTCCGAGCCGAAACTAAATATGTTCTTGCAGGAGGAGGTTATGTACAGAGAAATCAGGCCATCTCGATATAAGAAGAGCCGTACGAATATAGAGGGGGAGTCCGTTAAACAGACGCTATCAGAGGCATCGATCAAGGCGTACATTGCCGCTCTGGTGGACCTCTGGGGCGTACAGGTCAGCATGAGGACAAATACCCATGCATCCCCCAGGGGTGCACTGGTAAAGGGCCTGATTCGTACACGCAGACAGCAGGAGTCAAAGAGGAAGAGGGAGCAGTACGAGGACCGTGGCCTCAACTCCCTTCAGGATGGATATACCTCTGCTGAATTCGTACGGCTCATCCGATTCTGCTGGTCCTCTGGGTACAACGTTTCTGGCCAGCTGGAGCCGTTCCTCCGTACGGCGGCCGACCTTCTCCTTGCTCATACCCTTCTCCTCCGTGGTGAGGTACGGCGTAAGGTTCAAATGGCCGACCTCTTTACCCTGACTCTGGATAATGAGGGCCCAACTCCCTGCCATGCCATGGTTGTACTTATAGATAATGGCAAGACGAACCAGGATGGCCGCCGCGAGTACGGCACTGCTGTACGGCATAAGAACCCCCTTCTCTGTACGATGGCCAGTATTGGCTTCTACTTCTTTATGCGCTGGAATATTATGGGGGAGACACCACCCAACTTCCAGCGCCGGGAGCTCTGGTACGACCTTCTTGTCATCAAGGGCCAGAGTAATGTCAAGCCAATTGCGTACGAGACCCAGCTGCAGTGGTCAAACCGTGTGTACAAGGGGATCGGCCTTGGGATAAAGAAGAAGACCCATGCTGGACGGTCCCAGGGGGCCAAGTTTGCTGAGTTGGCAGGAGTAAATGAGGGCCAGATTCGAAGGGCTGGACGGTGGAATTCTGACTCTCTTACAACTTCCTATCTTACTAATATTCCCAGGAAGTTCGTACGTGCAATGGCAGGCTTCCAGCCGGTAGAAACAGGGGCGTACTATCTGCCGCGTACAAAGATTGAGCCGCCTGCATCCCTCAAGCAGGCACTCTGGCCTTGGGTCGATGAGTGGCTGCTCTGGCAGGCCTCGTACACCGGCTCTGGCTCTGAGGACGTACAGCTGCCTCCAGAGTCAGTGAGGTTCGATAGTGGGAAGGTGGACCACGGGGATCTTGCCTCGCAGGGGTTCCTCTATCTGCTTGACTATCTTCGTACAGTCATTCTGCAGGACTCTGTTCTATTTATGCAGGAGTTCCCCGGCCATCCAATATGGAGCCACTCCCTCTTTGCACGGGATGACTACCTCTGCTTCTCCCAGCTTGTACGAGACTCCCTGATAGATGTGGAGGAGCCGCAGGATGTCCAGCTTCGCCGTACGGTTCCTGCCATTGCCACGCGGCTGCAGACCATTGAGCAGTCCATTGTGCAGACTCTTAAGGTATCAGAGGAGCGGAATGTTGGATTCCTACAGACAATTGATAGGAATATCAAGGATATAGTGGACGGTACAGTGTCTTTCACCGTACGAGCCAATGCTCCAGGCTCGCCTCTGTCCGCTGCGGCCACTGCCACCGCCACTGCCGCCTCCACTCCATATGCCACTCCTAGGTGTATGCATGGAGCCATTCCCCATCCTTCCTTGTCCCCTTCCTGCTCCCCTCACCCCCCCTCTTCCTCTGCTGTAGCAGCCGCTCCCCATACTGGCCCCCCGCCCCTTTCTATGGGCTTCTCTCAATCCCGTACGATTGGGACCGTTATGGATCTCTGGCGAGAGTGGGCTGAGGGCCTTGGTGGCCGGCCGTCGGTACGGAGCATGGAGGAGGCATATGGGCCTAGATGGCGCCGCCACCGTCCTGGGGAGAGCATGATGTTCTCCCGCAGGAAGGTAGTGGTTGATGAGATCGTACGGAGGCAGCGCGTACAGAAGAAGAGCCTGTCCGTTGTTATTGAGGAGCTGGAGACAGTACGGGTAAAGCATGGCTTCTCATTAAATGCCTTGGTCAAGCACCTCAAGGAGATAAGGAAGCTAGCCTAAGGGAGTCAGTATAGGATATCTAATATAGAATATAGAATATGGATTGGTGTACGCTACTCTGTTCCTTACCGATATATATTTTTAAATAGGATTGGCCTCTGGCCTTGATAGATATACGTAGTAATAAAAAAATACTCTTTTCTTATACTTATACTCTATATATTAAGGTGTTGCTTGTACGTTGTTACTAGAAGAAAGGCTTCCTAATCGGGTTAGGCTGTACACGCTCTCGCTACACGTTGATATCAGCTTTGGCCTCACCTCCTCCCTCTTTTCTCCTTCTCTTCCTTCTCCTCCTTAGCCTATTCCACGTACACGTCCGGTAAGTCATCCCTTTTGGACACTATTCTATCCTCTCTGTACTCGTTTCATCGTCCAGAGCCGAGCTGCAGCCTATCCTGCCATCTAGGCCACGTCTGGGAGTCCTTGTACTGATATCCGGCCTGGGAATATGTGTACAGAATAGAATATCAGGTATGTTATGCCCTCCCCCTCCCCCCTCCCCTCTCCCCCCTCCCCCTTATCTGCCCTCTGCCCTCTGTACGATGCAGCAGGCATAGATATAGAGAGGGAAAGGGGGGAATAAATACTATTTGTACAGCCATAGGCCATAGTATACTAACTAGGTGGGTATAGGATAGATTCCAATCAATTAGTACCCCTATACTCTTTCTCTCCTCTTTTTTTTCCTCTTTTGAGATGTAAGTACGGCCTATTATCTATAATATCCTATCTATCCGTCCATAATATAGTATATATTAGTAAGGATATACTAATAAAAGATGGGATAATAGGCCTTTTAACAACAACACTGCTGGGGACGGGATGTAAGTTATATATCTAGCACCCTCCCCCACCCTACTCCGCCCCTATCCCTATCTAATACTGTACAATGCACGGCACGGGTATACTGACATGGATATAGGGCCCTTGTGCTGTACGACCGCCAGATCGCCCGGATGACGGACACGCCTGGTATCCTCAGGGTCGGTGGCCAGGAGCTTGCCCCGTACGTCCACAATGACTTGGGCCGTGCGGTATTGTCCCTCCCGGGACTCCATGTGCGCTATGTGCCGTACAGCATAGATGCACGGCAAATACTATCGCATCGGGCCTCGTACATTAACGGCCTGCTGGTCCAATCCAGAGGGAGGCCTGAGGTGCATGCCTGTACCGACTGTCGGGGACGTACAGGTCTCAGGCCTTTCACAGAGTGCGTCCGGCTCCCCGGCCACTTCGGCGGAGCATGTGGTAACTGCAAGTGGCGCGATCGTGCCTCCCACTGCTCCGTACGGGACGAGATACAGCAGGCACGTACGGAGGTCATAGTCCTGGACGATGACTCTGGGGATGACCGCCAGGTCATTGACCTAACGGGCGATGGGCCGGTACGACGGCCAAGGGCCAGGATAACTGGAGGAGGAAATGGGTCTTCGGCCAGCAGGGCCATTGTGCTTCTTTAAATGGGTAAGGACATGATTTCATTGATATCTTTGGACTGAGTGACTGCGTTCCATTTGGATTTGGGGCTTTTGCCCTACTGCACCCATCCCAGCCGTACGGGCCCTGTGTACGGCACCCTGGGCATGGCCTGCACCTCTCCGTGGTGCCTGGGACGAGTAGTCGAGCTTCAATGTACGCCCTCAGCCTGCATCTTGCAGTGCAATGATGGATGGGCAGGGAGCATGTACAAGAAGAGCTCGATGAAACTAAGCAGGCCAGGCCTTATATAATGATTACATGTACGTTGATTGATTGGATGAGCTTACTTGTACTAAAATTAACCTGAGGCATAACTTGCTGCTCGCCAAGCGGCCATATAACCCGGTTATATGGGGGGGCGCAGGCGTACGGCAGGCAGTTGTAACCGGGTTATATGGTGGGCAAGTTATAACCTGCGCTAACTTACACCTTCTATACCTTCGCTTACTATGTATATGCCGTCCCTCTCTCCTTCTCTCGCCTTCCCAGGGCCCCCCCCCCAGCCCCTTAATCTGCCTACATATATCCCGTAGGCAACAAGGAGCCGCGCGATCCGAGGCAACATCCTTGTTTGGTAGCGGCCAGTTCGAAATACACGTGTGTCTGCCTGTCTTGGCCGGCTTTTTTCTTTTCTTTCTTCTTTTCGGAAGTTACGTTAGCTCTACGCTGGCTTGCATATACATAGTACATACTCTAGTAGGGGGGGGGAGACGGGTTATGCGTATCCTTGTTCCGGGATTGCTATATATTCTGCTCTTATGAATGCAATTCTGCTCACACCCTGCTCAATCGCTGCTCTTTGGTCTGATGATTTATTGCTTCTAGGAACAGGCTACTAATGGAAGGTGATGTATCAATATTCTCTTTCTCCGCTCAGAAATAGTGTATGTATGTAGTGGGGGAGCTGAATGAATAGCCGGGGGGGTAAGGGGGGGCGTGGCCGGTGATAACGTATATATAATATATATATATATATATATATGAATACATATAATTTCATTCCACGGAAATGTGTGAAAATATCAAACATGAAACGCAATCCCAGTGATTAAAGCATGTATAGCCAGTCAGATTCTATATTTGGCGCCAAAAATAGAGTTGAAATGAAAGGACAAGATGCATAGACGTCCCTGCAGGAGAAAAGCTGTCTTCTGGATGAAAAAGGTAAATGATAAAAAGAAGAAGCAAAAAGAAATATAAGCAGGTACAGGTCGTTGGATAGACTGTTGAACGGATTAGAAGTATAAAAGCACTGTTGAAGATAATCGCTTCTTCCTGTGGGGCTAAGGTGGTTAGTTCGTATTCGATAGAAGACAGGGTCGAAAAAAAAATTGAACGAGGGACTTCGTCTAAGCGTTCATGACTTGGTTTTCATCAGTCATCTCGATGGGAATGGGAATGGTACAGGTGGATCGATACCGTTCTATTGGTGCCGGCTAGAGTATGGCATGCATGTATTCGCTAGAAGGGGGGAGGTTAAAAAAGGAGATAGAAGACTGTCGTAATCGGACATATACTTCGTTTAGTCTAGAGATGACGATAGGACAGCTTTCAGTCCGGTCCCCCCCGCCACGTGGGAACCGCAGAGGGAGGGGGAAAACGGGCCAGGTCGTGATCGATGGGACTGAAGATCCCATACTCTCAGCCGTTGAGGCTCGCATTCTCAATTTTGGGGGGGGGGGAAGATAAGTGAGATATACTCAAATAAGCCCTGGGCGGAAAAGCGGAGGTGGGACTAGCGGGTGAAAATTTTCCGCCGGTGGGTAAAAATTTCCGTACTCACGTTACCATCAAAGGCCACATGCCATGTTGGTAGGCAATGACGGAATAGTCGGCGATTGAGATGCAGCGATGGAACATAGCTAGGCGAGACGAAGCGAGTGGAACGGGGTTTATCTTGGTAATGGCCTGCAGGTTCATGCATGCCATAGGTACCGAGATACCCGCATTCGCGCAGCAGCGCATAAGCATCGCAAGCGGTCGACAAAATGGCTCCTCCCGAAGCTGCGGGGCGTCGTAAGAGCTGGCAAGGGAGGATGGTCCAGAGCGGAAGGGAGGGGGGAGCTTAGAGCTGAGATGAGCGGTGGTTGGACCAGCGGCCCATCGTCTCAGCTCCCCGAGACCCGAGAGATTTTTCTTTTCTTTGCTTGGTCATTCAGGCTACAAGAACCCTGACTCAGTAAGCAGTCTACATTGAGAAAGACGGGAATCATTAGCTGATTGGTTAATTCTCTCAAGTCAATCATAAAACGCTTGAAAATAAAGCCATAGATCCCATCAGAAGTTAATCCACAATCACGGACGAATAGAACTTATCAGGATGAAGGAGGGTGAAAGCATTAGTATCAGCAGCAGGTATGAGCAGCACGTCGTCGAAGGGTGAGATGATCCTGGGCCATGTCGATGTAATAGCGATCAGCTAGGCTGAATTTTTGCGACTTTCTTTTCTTTTTCTTCTTTTTTTAACTTGCTTCGAGGGTGTCGGTGCTTGTCGCTTGTCGCGTTTTGCTTTTTCTTTTCTTCCCCCCCCCCTTTTTGCTAGGGTTTTGCTGCTTCGACTGTGCCACAAATGCTTATAAAGCCTTGAGAATTTCCCAAAGACCAGCATTGCGGCACGTGCGCCATCTCAGATGGCGCATCGCGATAACCAAAAAAAGAACATCTGTACAAAGAACATCGCAGGGAAAAACGGGAAACAAGAAGGGGGGGTGACGCAAACGGGGAAGTAAAAAGGGAGAAAAAGAAAAGAAATGGGGGGAGGGCTTAGAGAGGAGGGACGGGGCAAGATCAATGTATGCCAACCGTTAGGGAGAGTGCAACGACCGATGGATCGTAGTAGTGTTTACCATACCTTGCAATTTTCTCATCTTCCCTTTCTCGGGGCTCAATTTCAAGGCTGCGCTCGTACATGTCGTGCACATCGCCAGCCGCCTGCATGTTGTTGAGCACATACTCCTGCAGCTCAGGCACAGGTATTAACTGGTAAGGCGCATTCTGGTACTGTTGGATGTCACGGATGACTTCCGCGGTCTTGGTCCGCTTGTTGAAGTTGATCAGGTCAGACTGTGTAAGGGATGGTATACCATCCTCGATAAAGGTGAGATCCGTTAGGTAGACGCCTACAGGCTATTAGTCATGCTTCAACACCTACAACTAAACGAGAGAAAAGGGGAAATCATTACCGAAGAAAGGAATGCACGGAGGATTCGCCAGATGGAGAGTCTCGCGGTACTCGCCAAAATTCTTAGTGCTAGCCATGACTTTACGGATCATCTCGAGAGTTCCGGCCGTCTTCTGGCTGACTTGCGCCCAGGTACGGGCCAGTCGATGGATTGGCGCTGTTCCAAGTGCAGAGATGATGGATGTCAAGGTAGAGTAGTTGTTTAGTTGTCGGCATTTCTATTAAACATGTCAGTAAGATGTTAAAACACTTAAAAAAATTATGATAACCTCCACTTACATCAGCAACAGAGACAAAGTGTTTAATAACAACAACTCGTCTCCTGACATCTGACTGGGTTAAGATCATCTCTGCCACCCAGTTAGTGAGCTGGTTAGAATGTAGAATTAGCGCCTTGACGTTAGGCGCTGGCTCGGCCTCGCCGGGTAATGCTTTTTTCTGCCATGTCTTGTTCAGACATTCCGTCGGCTTGATCTTAGCATACAGACGAGATTCAATGATCGTCAGCTGCCGTGCAAATTCCGTAGGGTCAATGTCTAGGAACTTGATTTTCTTCATATTCTTTGGTGTAATCGGCGTCGGTGCATTAGAGCTGATGGTAGGCACAAGACGTTTCGCTGTAGTCTCCTCCCCACGTAGGCGTTGCTCTATCAAGCTGACTAACTGTTGGGCACCAGGAGTCTTAGTCGATGCCACCGCTTCAGTGACGAAAGAGTGTATACGACCAAGCAAGCGTGTGTTTGCCTCGTCATTGGGCTCCATCCAGAAATTCTCAAACCAACTCTTAAGGATGTTCACAACACGGATCCGAATGGGGATTTGTTTCTGCTCAGTCCAAATCTGTAACTCCGCCTTGGTCAGGCCGTATGGAGGCTGTAGCGTAAAACGGTGTACTACCATCTCAAATAGCTCCGAAGCAGTCGTGAACGACCTATAGGTGAGAAGGAAAGTATCCTTGAATGATGGATCAAGCTTATCATGGCGGGTAAGTTGTTCGACCAGCCCGGCTAGCGTACCGCACTTGAGCTGCTGGGTATCACCTTTGACATCATAAAACACTTCCGCCTCATGGTCAAGTTTCAAGAACCAAGGTGTTTCTTCGGGCTCCCGAGCAGAGGCAGGCTCTCTTGGCACTGGTTGGCCAAAAAATCGTTGCGCTTTATCCAAGGATCGCGGTGGCTTATCCAAATCATCACCAACGCCATAGCTGGATGGTATTCCAATAGAGGATGGTGGACTCTTGCGTACCTTGTGAGGTTTGTATCCGTCTCCGTTTGATATTGAGCACAATTGACTTCCCTGTGGAGCTTGCTCCAATAGTAGGGTCAACGAGAACCCGATCTGCTGCATACAATTTGTAAGCTGCCTTGACATAAGGCGGGTATTGTTCAGACGAGTTTCGAGCGAATCGCCTCTGATTTCTGCCCATTCGTCACCCAGGGGTGCAGAGATGTGCTGACAGCTCATCACTAGGTCCGAGATTCCATCGTATACGCGCTGTTTCTGGACGCTGAAGTCAGCCAATTGCGGATTCTGAAGGTCTGAGCCAAAGTGTGACAGGTCGATGGACTCAATCAACGCCACCCACGGGCGAAAATTTTCAACTATCGGCACGCCAGCTTCACATATCGCGTCTCCAATCTCGGCATGGCTTTTTGGCGTGACTATTTTACCCTTGAAAGAAGAAAGTTGCTCTTCTAGCCGGCGAGCGCTGACAGCTAGCATCTTGCGAAGCTCTTCGATTCGCTCTAGAAGCTTCGAGTCAAGCGAGATAGACGGGCTGCGGTGTGATTCAGACTCGTGCTCCAAGAAGGAGGTTGGGTCCCTTCTTGCAAGGTTGTTATTCTGCCAGTTACCGCCAGACGTGCTGCCAGCAACAAATCCAGGCGTTAGGCGACGGATATCGTCTCCTCGTTGCTGCTTGGCAACTTCAACGTAACCGTAAACACCTTGTAGTACGCCCTCAGCTTCATGGAGACATTTGGTCGCGGAGTCTGGTCCCGGCCAGTCTGCCGCGGCAATATGTGAAGAGAGGACGAGTTTAGAAAATTTCGACATCATATCTCGGAAATGAGGGTAGAGCGCCTTGTTGGTGGAGATAATTGATGGATTTCCCGAGTGGTTATCGGTAGTGTCCGAGCCGGCAGCCAGAAGCATCCGTAGATGGTCGGATACATCCTCTGCCCTTCGGACGTATTCTGAACGCCGGCCTTCAATGATAGCCTGTCGATAAGCCTCGATTGCGTCTCGCATGTTACTGACAAGCGAATTCCAAGTTGGCTGAGGGGCCATGGAATCATCAAGGAAATATCGAGGAATAGTGGTAGAAATACCGAAGGGAAGAGATCGATCGGTAGCCGAATGCGAAGACATTGGAGTACCCATGATGGGCATGGAATCCGTGTTACCATTTCCAGCTCCTCCAAAATGTGGCGGATACGTTGATTTGAGGTCATACTGTTTTGTGATGGGCGATGGATTGATGGAACCTAAGGATGTTGCAGGAGAGACGCCATCAGATATGAACGATAGTCGCCGCCGCGATGCCATTAAGAGGGAGTCACCTTCAGCCTCTGAAGCAGAGCCATCATAGTCATCTTCATAGCGATCAATACCACGGGCCATCATTTCTGGAGGAGGCCGCGTGTGTTCGGGCACGTAGATGTTTGTGCGGTCACGAGGACCTGATTCGTTGACAGAAGTGGGCGTTTCTAGAGGTAATTCCATCGTGCTGTAGCCGGTCAAGGTGTTGTAGTAGAACAAGCGTCCGTCTGCGGTAGCCTGAGGGATCCAGAAGGCGGCCTCCTCTGGCTCGCCGTCTCCCGTGCTATCTATGGGTAGGATGGTGCCATCTTCATCTCGCAGGTTGCTATCAAGACCGTCGACATCATCTTCATATTCGTCATCCGCGCCAGACTCGGCACTCGCGTCACCAGCATGATCGTTGACAGCATCTGGTCCAGGAACGACAGCGCAATAGTTGCTTGGGAACCAGCCACGAACATCTCCAATAACGCCATCCCACCAGCCCGTCTCCAGCTGGTTCAAGACCTGAATGATATCGCCTTGCTCGAAGCTAAGGCTGGTATGGTCGTCCGACGTGTACTTGTACAAGGCTCGAACATAGAGAGCTGGAGGAGCCTCCGTCGGTGAAGCATAGCCTGGATACATTGTTAGTTGCCTTCATGTCTTTGTTTCCAAGGTAGTAGTAAACCAGTGCAGAGAGACGTAGAGTAAAGGTAAGAAAGAAAAAGGAGGAGGAAGTACAGACCATCATCAGCCGCCGTAGCCGCAGCGGCACCAGCACTGCCCTGGCTGGCGTAGCCATCACGGTTCGTAGCCATGACGCCTCCGAGCAAGAAAATCAGATAATACCTCGGCGGTCCTATTCAATGTGACGAACACGGCGTGCCTCCCCTTTCAGCCCTCTGGTGAAACACAGAAGGGAGGGAGAGCAAGAGAAAGAGGCAGGCAAGAGCAGTCCACTAGAAGCAGCAGAGGAATAGTTTCGAGTTGGTAAAATGGCTAATGTTGGTGTTGGCGTATGTGATAAGGGTACGTGTTCATGATTCGTCGAAGCGGCCAAGGCAGAATGATCAGAGTGTCTCTATTCTTCCGTCTGTCTGGTCTGTCTCTCCGTCTGTGTGTGCTTGTGTGTGTCTCTCTCCGTCTGTCTCTATTTTTTTTTTCTTTGAGCCTTCCGTTCTTTTTAGCCCATATCCGCATATACAGGCATAAGGTTCACTCTCTGAGGCCTGTGAATGAACTGATAAGGCAGAGAGAGGGAGGGAGAAAGGGGTGATATCCGGTCCAAGGCTGTCTGTGAATGGTTCGTCGGAGATGTTTCAGGCCTTGGGTCCGGAGTTCAGGAAGTACCCGTCCAAACGGATCGTGCGCAATGAAGTTCAACGGTCCAAACGAGAATATCGAGAGCTGTCGGGGTCGTGCTGGTATATCGAGGGCGTGGTGTCGAAGGTGTGTGGTGGTGAGGTCGGAAGACGTCGAGGGAGGAAGAAGTGGAAGAACGTCAAGTTCTGGACTTTACCGAAAAGGCTGGAGAAAAAAAAAAGGTGGGGACTTGCGATCGATAGAGCGAAAGAGGAAGAAGTTTTTCCCCTTTTGGGCGTTTGGAGGGGAGGCGGGTGGGCTTATATAAGCGGGACTCTTTGCCCCCTTTTTGACGTCGATAATAAAGACAAGTGAGGAGGGAAGATAAAATAAATGATATAGAGAAGACAGGATGGCAGAGAAGAGATGATAAGGTGCTCTCTCTACGGAGTACTCGCCACAGAGGAGAGATTTAACCTGACCATCAGTTCAAGGACATGGGACTCGAGGACAAAAGACTAAAAACGGAGAAAGAATATACGCTTCACAGCGTCTCGCTCTTCGCTTAATGGCCAGACCAAGAAGTGAGCACGTTATTTTAATGGAGACTTCGAAGGCCCCTTGGACGTTCCCAGGATGTTCGATGCAGCTAACAGTGAACTAAGGCCTATGCGGGCTTAGTTGGTGTGCTCGACCCTCTGCCGCCCTTTACCGCGCCATGTTATGCACCCCCTATACATATATACACTGCTATGCCTGCATAAATATCTAACTATGTATAATATATATATACATATATATATATATATATATTTACCATGCCGAAACGTCTATACAGATGTGGTTTGAAAAAGAGGGATGGGAAAATATGACGCGTATTTTGGGATATGCCACTTGTCATGTTTCCCATGATCCAACCGATGTTCCCTGGGAACTGTTTCAAGGGCTTGATGAGGGTGCTACGATGGAATGGAGGAGGGAGGCAAAGACCCCTCTCTTACACCACGAAGGCAACAGGACGATCTCCTTACTCAGCGCATATCCAGGCACAGGAAGACAAACTCCATCCTGCTGGCTGCTTTTTCTTTCCTCCCAGGATGAACCAAGTCTCGGGTCGAAGGGTATGTATGGCACTGGCTCACGACTCAGCCTTGTCCTTACTTTACACCACTTACATCAGGAGGAAAGAAAAACAAAAACAAAAACATAAAAAAAAGAGAAGGAATGAAGGAGGGAGGGAAAAAAAACAAAGCCTATGCATGCGTGTTGTGCACATCGATCGGTGTATTTGGTGGGCAAGCCACACGCCACAGCAAGTGAAGAGATTTACTGAAGAAGAAAAGAGAAGGAAAAAAGAATATACGATGATGATGAAGATGGGATGGCTGGAAAGGGAAGGGCAAGCCACGGGCTGAGAGGGATTCAATTAGTTCTTGTGATTTACGACAGGGAACAACCATCGAACCTGCACATCCGAAGACGCAGAAGAAGAGGCAGAGCGAGGAAGAAGCAAAGGATGCAGACGACCGACTTTCGGTTGGAAGTTTAATATCCGAACCCGTTTTTCCTGGTCGTTGTGCAGAAACTCAATTGATCGATTGTGAAGAATCAGAAGGGGCAAATTTGTCTCTTTCTCTGACCATCTCATTTGCGTCTTTCCATCATATTCCTGTACTCCGTATATTTATGATACACACATCTGTTTATTAATATAATAGTGCTACTGTATACTCAACCCTACGATACTACTATGTATGTTCACCGCTACTGGGCCCCCCACTGACTGTGAGGGCAGATGGACATCTAGGCTCCATCATCAGCCCACCAAAAGCAGGTAAGAATAAAAGTACGGCCCGTATCGTCGGTACGGTCCAGTCCGGTTATGAATTGTGAATAGCGTTCTCGAAGGGTTCGGCACTAGTAAGGAAGTTCTTGATGAAACGGCGTAGGTCTGGTAGTGTGGCGGGTTCGATCGCACAGTACATGTACATACTATGTAGTATACATATGTTACATAGTATATACTATGGACATATCGAAGTATCCAACTAGTATATAGAGGGGGAGATCTGACTTGTCACAGATGATGCACGGAGACGGGTTTCTTTTTCTGTTGAGATGGACAATGTTTTCTTTTGAAAGGAGAGGGGCGAAGTGCCCCTCTGCTTTGGGTTGTTTTTTCGGTGTAAGTATATAAGTACTCCGTAAGTGATGCTTTTTGGTGTTGCTGTGTGAGAAGATGTTGGTCTGACGAGTGTCAGCTTTAAATTCAGGGGTTCGCTAGCCTCGGATCCTGCATGGTTCCCAGTCTGCCATCGACCTACATACATACACATATATATTTATATGCATGAACGGAGTATATACCTGACTCTTTTGTTGTGAGTCGTTATCTAGTCTTCTTCACCTAGGACTATCTTTATATCCTACCGCTCCGTATAAACGCAAACTGTCTTCTTGTGTGGGTGTAGATGGCGGTGAGGGTGGGCCAGGGGAGGGCCAAGAAGAGCTTTTCAGGGGGGGGGCTAGGGGAGGCCCGAGGCGGGAAGTGCCCCCACCGGTTACCGTACCCGCCGTACAGCCATAAGAGTAAGAGTTTATCAGAATAACGAGTAAATAGATCCAGTATAAGTAGATATAAGGGTATATAAAGTATATGGAGGGGGAGGACCATAGACGCAGTATCATAAGGAGGAGGGGGTGCCCACGGCGAGTTACAGAAAGGGGAAGAAGAAGCCGGAGAAAGGAAGGCGAGTGAAGAGAGAGAGAAGAAGAGTGAGGCGATCGATCGGCCACGCTATTATTGCTTGGGGGGGGTTGGGTTGGTCAGGAAGCAAGTACCTCTGGACCGCCAACCCGGCGACTTTTGGCGGTGACCTTGGAACGAAGTGACTTGGACGGTGACCACCTATCCTATGAATGTATTGGGTGTGTATTCGAGGGGCGGTCATGTACGGTAAAGAAGGGAGCGACAGGTGTATCGGTCTTACAGGATGTGGCTGGGTGCATATATGTATATTATATGTTCACTACCGGGTGGTAATATATGTTAATAAATGTATCGTGGTAATACGGTGTATGATGATACCGCGTATTCTCCCCCCGTTTTATACGCGTTTTTCGCGGGGAGGAAGAGGTGGGGGCCGTGGCGTTAGCGGGAGAGAGGGACGTGGCTTTAGGCCTTCAGCTCTCCCCTCGCTTGCTTCTTCCACGTCTTGCCCCTCGCTCCCCTCTTCGGCTGGCTTGTCTTACTGCCACTAACACCACGCCAGCCTCTTCCCCTTCCCTCTTCCTTTCTCTGCCCTCTTTTTTTTTTTTTTTTTTTTATTTCCCAAATTTTTTTTCGCCTTTTTTTTTTCAACCTCAGCTTCTTCTTCTTCTTTCTCTTCGACTTTCAACATCTTCAATCATCCTTAAACATCTCATCGATATCACTCCTAACACCGACGTTGGTCTCTCTCTGGCTGGTCCTTGCAAATCTCGTCGCTGTCTACTCTTCTCGATCCCCAAAGGAGGCCCCCCCCCGAAAAGGGAAACTCACAAACAACCTCCTTATCCCACGCTCATTTTCTTCCCTCCCTTGCCCGTCAGCTGCGTGATAATCAAGGCATGCTCAGTCCTCGACAGCCTCTCACCGTCACCACCGTCACCGCCGCCGTCACTTTCATAGGAGGAGCAAGATAACCCGTTTGGCTGGAGAGTCTCGCTCGCGTGGTCTCTCTCCCTCCTTTGCCCTCTCTCCCTCTTCCACCCCTTCTCTCTCCTCCCCCTTTTTACACCTTGAAATACATACTATACTCTACATAATACACTACAATGGCTCCAGCAGCTTCAAGTTCGACGAAGAAGGCCTCGATGCCGCCGGAGAGGAAGTACAAGTGCCAGTTCTGTCACCGTGCGTTTAGTCGGAGTGAACATCGCAGTCGACATGAAAGATCTCGTATGTATCTTTTTTTTTTCTCTTTATAGGTTTATAAAACACTGACAGATGGTAGATACCAAGGAGCGTCCGTTCAAGTGCCTCAAGTGTAGAAGTACGTTTGTAAGAAGAGACCTGCTTCTTCGACATGACCGCACAGTCCACGCCAAAGATGGTGGGATCCCTCTAGTTGCCGAGGGACGTCGACGTGGTGGAAAGGCCGCTGCAGCTGCCGCCGCCGCTGCTGCCACGAATGCAAACGCCAATACTGCCACCGCTCCACAGACGACCACGACAGCGGCCAAAGCTAGTCCGCCCAAGTCATCTGTCACCATCGACCCGGCCGCCCTGGAACAGATCGAGGCCAGCAGTGACGGAATGGTGGACCTGGAGACTGCTGCTATGCTCATGACCGACTTCCAGCACAAGGCTGCCGCCGCCGTCACCTCGAGTCAGCACCACAACCACGGGCACGCCCAAGAGTCCTTTGCGGATCGCGCCAGCCTCATGGAACCGTCGGTCTCGTACATGTCCGGTAACGCTACTCTGCCCCAGATGCCGTGGGACACCTTCATGGCCGATGTCAAGCCCACCAAGGAGTCGAGGGCCTCGCAACCCGTCTCTTCCTACCCAAGCACGCTCCAGCACCAGACTTTGGTCGCTCCAACCATCGAACGAAGTGCCTCAAGTGATAACTTGACCCCCACCATGCATTCCCTCGTCCACTCCCTGCCTGTCTCTGGCAACTCGACTCCCAATGCACTCTCGCCTTATCCGTCCATGACCGGACCAGTCTCCCCAGTCAACTACAGACGGTCTCCTGGACCCAGCCAGATCCTCACTCAGCCCAAGACCCCCCAGATCTCAAGCGATGCTGAGCGACAGGCGATCGTTGACCGTCTAGAGTCAAGTGACAACATGAACATTCTCCCAGAGACCTTCAAGATGCCATCAACCGCAGTAATGAATCGGTATCTATCCACCTACTTCAACATGTATCACCACCATTTGCCGTTCTTACACCCAGCAACTTTCACTCCCAAGGATGTCTCCTCCCCGCTCCTCTTGGCGGTATTGTCGATCGGTGCTCTGTACACGTTCGAAAGGGAAGACGCCTTCATGCTCCATATCGGCTCCAAGATGCTTGTCAACCAGTTCCTCCAGCAAAAGGATAACTTTGACTCAAGAAAATGTCCCCTCTGGGCCATGCAGAGTACCTTGCTTAATATGATCTTTGAGAGCTGGAGTGGTGACTCCAAGGGACTGGAGTGGACTTGTTCTATAAAGAGTCTGCTCGCCAACATGGTCGCCGGCAACAGGTACCAGCTCAAGCTCAGAATAGATGCTCGCGAAGGCTCCACCCCCCGACACGCCGAGTGGATCGAGGACGAGAGCTGCCGACGGACCTACTATGCCGTCTTCGTCTTCTTTGGTATGCTCAGTCTTACCTTCAATCACAACCCAGCCCTCACCTTCAATGAGTTTGACACTCTCGAACTCCCTTCCTCGGAGTCCCTCTGGAACCTGGAAATCTCCAATGAATACACCTGGCGTCGGGCCCTGGGAGGCAGTTCAAAGATCCTCACGTCCGACAGGCCCACGACAGCCTTTTACGCGGCGAGCCAGTCGCTATCCGCTACGCTACCC